TGTATCTTATGATCAATAATTGTATAATCTATATAACAAATATCACCTAATGAGATAAGATTTGATAGTAGTAATATTAGTGGTAATTGTTGTATTTTTTTAGAAAAATTTTGAATAGGATATAACTCTACTTAAATTTTGTTTTATCAATACACTGATCTTCAATTTAATTATTTGTAAAAATAAATGATAAATCAATAATTGATGAGTTAAAAATAAAATAATTAAAGACTAAGTTAACACTATTTTTTTTATTGTTTAAGACTGCCTATATTTAAATATTGCATTGAGTATCTGATTAATTAAAAGTAAATTAAGTAACATTGAATGATAAATTAAGATTTCTTTTGTCACTTATTTACCTAATTAGTATAATTTTAAAAATAAATCTTTAAATTAATATTGTTTGAAAAAAATTTAATCTGATTTTTTTTTTTGCCACATTACTTATAATAATTGCACTATGTATGTGCAATACTCTAATGAAAAAAAAAATTTAAAATAAATAACTTAATAATGAGTATATTATGTGTCACAATTAAAGATAATTTTGTCTTTATTAAAATAAAATTAGTATTGTCTCCTACATAGATAAAATTACTTATAATCGTGACACACAATAAAAATATCAATAATTTTTTTTTTTTCCTTTCTCTTCTTCTTTGTCTCTTCAAAAAAATAAAATATAGCACAAGTGACGTAACAATAAAACTCTTAAATAAAAATTTAGTTTCTAAGTAACATTAATTTAAAAATTTATTTTTAAACATATATTAATTAGATTAAAAAAAAGCTACTTTTTGTTTTCTTACTTTTCTATAGGACCGTAAATACTACATTAGATACTCAATGTATCTAATACAATTGTATTCCTAAATACTTGTATTTAAAATTTTTAATTTAATTAAAAATAATCTCATCTGAATTGATCTTCTTAATTAATGGCATTGAAGTTACTTCTTAATATCTATACTGATTTTAATTGTTTATAATTTTAATGACCTAAATTATCTTTTATTAACTAGTTTTTTAATTACTCAATTTTATTCTTTACTACTTAATTTATCAAATTATATGTAATCCTATTTATAATAAATAAGCACCACTATTTTTTTTTTAGTCTAAAATATACTAAACAAATACTCATTCATATATACATTAATTGCTAAATATTTTATACTCCTATTTATTGTGAGATTAATATTAATAAAATATTTACTTATTAATCATATAAGTAAATTCATATATACATTAATTGCTAAATATTTTATACTCCTATTTATTGTAAGATTAATATTAATAAAATATTTACTTATTAATCATATAAGTAAACATATTCATTCATGTAAATTATCAATGTAACCATTTGTTACTAAGTTATTTGAAATACACTATAAATTTATAACTTATAATTATTTTTAATTAATCAAAATGAATTATTTATTTATTTCTAATTACATGTAAGACATTTTAAAAATAATAAAAACTATTTATTAAATGCATCATTATATTTATGTTACACTTTTTTTTGTCAAAAAATTATAGAAAAATATTAACCTCATGCCTAAAGATTGAAGATAAAACAATTAAAAGTGATAAACTTTTATTAGAAAGAAAATATTTATCACTTTAAAAATATAAAAGTGTAATAATAGTATATTTTTAATTAAAAAAATTACTATTTTCCTTTGCTTAAACTGAACAATAAGATTTAAAATTAACAAAACTAAAAACTATATTAAACGCGAAAAAATTAATGGCAAATTAATATAGTGTTAACTTCACTATCGATTAACTAGACTAAAAATCTATTAGAGTCAGAGAGAAATGATATCATAAATGTATTCCAGTGAGATTATATTTTTAGGTGGGAACTGAAGTGAACTGAACCTTTAACAAAGTCTCTAAAATAGCTCTAAATATAATTATACAGAATACTTTAGAATAATACAAAGGGGGGAAAAACAAATCAAGGCAAATAAAATTTATGTAAATCTGCCTATTTGGTGCAGCCTTGATATGAAAAGATTGATACAAAGGAGGGGTAAGAAATACATCTCAAAATAAGAACTGTTTACTAAGCAGTTCCAAAAGATGAAAAATAAGGAGAACCTGTCAACTTGCTTCACTTACATCACAGTCAGCGAGCAATGTTCTTATGGCACATTGAGCATTTGTGTACACTTACAAGTCCAAAATGATTTGAGAAAGAGGGCTGTGAACAACAGATGAACTAATCTACACTGTGTGCTCGATCTGGTGATACTCAAGATTGCGGAGAACGATTCTGGCAAAGATTTTAGCTTCAAGTGGAGCAGTTGCTGCTGCAGCCGCACCACGCAGTACTCTTGCTGCTCCTGCAGTCTGCAAGAGGCTTGCGTGGTGCACAGCATGTCGTCCACCAGGAATTGTAAACTGCAAGGAAGATCAATACACATAAGAATGTTATAATTCAAACCACATATAGATGAAAATTACGTATTTTGCTACTTTTACCTGGAGAAGAGCAAATGCTGCACAAGCCTTCAGTATAGACGATGGATTTCGTAGCATAGCAACAAATCTTCCAATTTCGGCACCACTGAGGAACAATTATTATAAAATATGGTTAAATATTCTAAACTGAATAAATCATGCTCGGACACTAGAAAAAGAAACAGAAAGAACAGAAGGTAGAACTATAGAGCACAAGATAACCTATTAAACTGAAAAAAGGAAAATAAAGAAACAAATAGAAATCATAACAAAACTGTCCAGTCTCTGGATCTGCAGTAACAAATCTATAATCAATGCATGAGACAAGTTATAAACACAATCCTATCTCAACATACCTAGCCGGCATTACACTGCAAGAGGCACTAGCCACAAAAAAATTTGACCTCCTTGTTTATGCGTAGTAATCATGCTTAAAGCAAGATTTATATAATAATTGTGTGAATACACATTTTGGAATTCCTTCCAGTCTTAATGGTTCATGAATTAGACATGTGGGAGACCTATCAGTCATACATAATGTATTCTGTTCACAGCATGATTGGTCAAAAATTATCCACTATATGCCCACAATAAATATAAAAGCTGAATGAATGGAGATGAAGGAAGAACAGCGTTAAAAACTAAAAACTGTATGCACTATTGCAACAGATAAAATTTTGATGCTGCAAACAAGAATATCAAAGGAGAAGGCAGCTGACAATGGCTTTGTATCATCAGAAAATAAGACTTTAGTATGAGGTAGTAAGTAACGAGTATAAGAAGGAAAAAGAAACCTGCATCTCAGATGTCCTGCTTCTTGAATGCGAGCACCTTCAGTAACTTGTGCTAATGCTGCAGGAGCCGATGATGCAGCAGCAGCCGCAAATGCTTGTGGATCAGAGAACATAAGGACAAAAGCTTCAATGTGTTTCAAAGCCATCCTTCTAGCTCCATCCAAGCTCACACTCTTAGAGACACTTTCAGACATGGTGCCTACTAAAGCAAATTCATCCATTCTGCAAAACACATCACATTGCTCAAATAATATGCATAAAGTCGTATTTTTTATCAAGTTTAATTGGTTTAACAATTTATACACAGTAAAGCCATTTTCATTTTCTAGACATATTCATTCTAATAATGGGAGCTGGGAGCAAAAACAGTAACTTCTCAGTTCTCAGAAGTCAGAACCATATTGATTCAATATTTGGGTAACTAATTGACTGTAAGTACCAAGTACAGAGGAAAAAGTTGACACTCGTGAAGGGAACTAAATAATCACCAATTAACCATGATGCACCTTCTAAGGTAATGTTAAGAAACTTGGGCCTAATTCACTCCAAAAAGCTTAGCTCAAAGGAGGACTGCCCTAACCTTTATAAAGAGTATTCTGGCTCTATTCCTAGTAAGTGAAAGACATCTTAACAGGCAAGATGTATAATTGAATGTTACTAGAGTCAAAATTAGCACTAGAGAAAAATTGACCTGACTATTTATTCATATACTAGCATTTCACCTGCATAATTGCATGAACACTTTGATAACAAGAGATTCAAATACTGTCAAAAAATAACAGTTCCCTACCAATATAAATGATCTCAATCCTTACCAGTCAATCTTCAGTTTTGGGGAATAGAGAGCATATCATCAACTCCAAATGAACATACTGTAAGAATAAGCTTGGAGATTGAATCTAATTCATGCCCAAAAGCTATCTGAGGAGGGAGAACTATCAAAGTTTTATAAGTACTTTCTTGGGAGATGCAGGACATATTAGCTCCCCCCCCCCCCCGCGCCTCTCTCTCTCTCCCCTCTGTCTCAACAGAGGACTGGACATCAACTCAACATCAAAATTAAATAGGCTCTGATGCCATAATAGAAATGGACATGACCTAATTCAATCCCAAAAGTTAGCTCAAGGGAGGAAAATTGTTCTAGTCTTAAGGAATATTTTGAACATATTCCAAGACGATGTAGACCATCTTAATAGCCTTCAATGAAAAGTAGAATCATATGAAGCAACTAGGTCCTCAACATTTGGTTCTCATAACAAAATGCAAGGTTCTCCACATCAATTCATACCTTGTCTCAGGCTTTCATGAATGAGGACCATACATGTCCATCATTGTTAAAGTGGAAAAAAAAAACAAAGAAATAGACTGACAGAAAAAATATCAACATTGTTTGCGTAACCTATATTTGACTATTCATACAATAGAGTTCATAAATCCATAATCAAACCCTGTTTTCTTGTCAAGACACAGGATATAGACCGCACAAAAAGTCATCAGTGGAACTTTAATCTATACAATAAATGACAACCAAATAAAAGAAGATGAGCATTGTAAGAAACAAAACAGAAAGGGTGATGGGGACACAGTAGGTTTAATCAAATTAATTACCTCCCGTCAAACATGTAAGCCAATGCCAATGCAGCCATGAACCGTGCCATTTTTGATACTGATGAAGAACAGAGATCTACAAGTGCAGATACTCCACCTTCCTCTACAATTCGTAGAGCATTACCAGGGTTGAAAGCAAGATTCCATAGTGCTCCTGCAGCAGTTTCATGAACATCCTGAAAGTGGAACATGGCTTGAATTAATTAGGATTTTACATGTATAAACAAATAAAGATGTTAAAACGACATACTGACAAAAATTATTTAAAACATTTCTGAGATGATAAATACTTATGGAGAAATTATGAAGGTGCCAGAACTCACATATACTGGAATACACATATTCAACAAGAGGCTAAATATGAAAGCTTAAACAAGACCAGACATTTATGGAAGCCCACAATGCATTAAAAAATGCACCAGCTACCAAGGAGATTGAGGCTTTTTGGCATAATGGTTATACTTATATATAGATGTATGAAACCAAAATTATTAGTTATTTTATTCTTTCTGTAACCAGATTCATGTGGTAATGGGTTCAGTACATATGGTGAGAATTTCCAAATCTACAATTATTTAGAGATGTAATATAAATCATTCATGTGTCTTCACCTAACAGCTTAAGCTTATGGAATTGTTGGTTTATGACAAGGTATTAGAAAACCAAACATCATATAGTCTAAAGTTTGATTCTTGTCACCCACATTCTTCTAATAAAAAATTGGATTGCCACACAGGATAGATTAGCCTGTGCATTATCCACACTCCAAACCTAGAGGACTCTTGCGTGAGGGTGTCTATTAGAGATGTAACATAAAAACTATTCATATGTCTTCACCTAACAACTTAAGCTTTTTGACATTGTTGATTCATGACACCATTAACTCAAGGTAAACTTTTCATCATAGCAGCTAGCAGCAAATATAGGCTATTCTATTGAACACCTGCTTGATCCATCCAGGCCCACTAAGGTATGATATGCATTCAATCAACCAGTTGATAAAGAATGTTGTGCACTATGAATTAATATGAAATACTATCAACAGCCCTAAAAGAGAAGAAGGCTTAAGGAACACACCAATGTAAGTGCAAACAGCTATTCCAAGGCAACTGAAAAGATTGTAAATAATAACAAGACCAGCAATGAACTAATTGATCCACCAAAATGGGATACTTTGTTTGGCATTGTTATGCAGTAGTCTAGTATTCATTAATAAACATATCCATAAACATTGAACATGAAGGGAATAAGTTACCTCTGCTTCTGATCGTGCCAGTGCAATCAGAGGTGCAACACCTCCTTCTCGTCCAATGGCAATGCTAAGTAAACAAAAACCAACATTAATGAATATTAGTACAATCTAGAGTGGAAAGTAAGGGAATTATGGCATGAGTACTTGTATGATCAAATTCAAATCCACATATCAGTCAAAGGAAAGTAAAACAAAATGTTAAAAATCTTACATTACAAGCAAGAATGATTTAGAAGACATCAATAAGGGTTAAAAAAAGCAAAGGGCATATTGAAGTATTGAACTAGATCTTATTAGAGAAACTGAACAATAGACCAGAACAGGTTTTCTAATCATTTTCCATTTTCAACGAAGTCATTTAGTTGGAAACTATCTATGATGCTGTTAAGAGGGTGAAAAGAAGCATAGCTGAAAACTGCAAGTAAACTCACTACGGACAACTGGATATATAATAATCTAATAATGAATACACAAGTCTAACTTCTCTAATTACAAGATATAAACTAACAAATATACAGTGATCTTGGCAACTACATTAAGTACCAAGACTAACAGCTTTATGGCGGGTTTTTGGCAGGGCCAGGGTGGGAGACCCCTAAACAGAACATTGAAATTCCATTCCAATATAGCAAATTATCAGTCTCCTTCCAATTAACACATATTCCATATGTACACCTTGTTTATAACCCTCTAATTTTTTTCCTTCATTCTTCAGATCTAGCTGAGTCATCATTTTCCCACATACCTACTATAAAAGGAAACAATTAGCTATATATAGCTTTGGCCAAGTAGTAAGTGCTCAATCCAACAAGTGGTATAAGAATCAAGGTCATGACATCAATTCCTAGAAAGACACAACTGTCAGAGGCAAGTTCTAGATGGGAGGGGGGTGGGTAACTTTGGGTAGTATTCTGCATTGACAAGGCCAAGTTTGGTGGAAGTCTGATTAATTATAGTATAATAAAAAGTGCAATTAAATAGAAAAAAGTTGCACCTTGATTATTGGTTATAACTTTTAGCCTACTGATTAGTGCTCTATCCAAGTCCGACAAACCTAATCTCCAGCCAGAATTTTCTTTCCTAAAGAGGTTAGTTAACTCGTACTTTCTTTCCCATCAGCAGTTGAATTACATTTCCATTTCAAACGATAAGTCAGCCTCAAATTGAAACTTTAATCAACTGAGTTTAGCACTTACAAGAGAAAATGTACCAATTGCAATTGCACAAGAGCCCAACATTCCAAAAGGACCCAGCAGAACAATCACCCTCCCCTCCTAGCAAATTAACTGAATAAAGACATTGTTTCCATGGTTACACATCCCCATTCATACAGTTGCGCCATGTAGTGCCACAACAGAATAATTATCACCACTAAAAAGCTTTGCAACACTGAGAAACTAAGCTTTTTCACTGCATATAGTATAGTCATGTCAAAATGTCCATGTTGTGCCCAGTTTCCGTGTTTCATAATGAAAGTAAGTTTGAAGATTTCAAAACATCAGGTTTATAAATTTAAGAAAAAGAGAGAGAGATTAGTCAGAAAGGAAGTAAATGAATATAGAAAGAGGACCCACAAAAAATCCTTTACTACCAAAAATAGGGGATAAAAAAAGAAAGGTAATATAAAAGCAAAAGATCAATACAATAAACTCACCTAAAAATTTGATAAATACTACAATCTGAATTCTGAAATTATGTAATCAATCAGTCATAAAAAGAAATAACATTTTCCAGTCAACAAATGGTCTACACCAATACTCCATACATGACAAGAGTTTTAAGTTTTAAGAATCAAGATTCAGAGACCAATATCATTGGGACAAATTATAAATGGAACTCTTAAAAGTACCTATTGGCTTCAGAGACTGACAATCCCCACAAAGCACCAGCAGCCCTCTCTTGAAGTCCAGCAGAGGCATTAGAACAAGATTGGGCAAGAGCAACCTATATAAACCACAATGTCAAAACATTAAAAAAAAAAAAAAGCAAAAATTTTCAGTATCCTACAAAATCAATGGAATGATAAAAGGATTTGTAAGATCCATAAAAAGATTGTATTTCTTCAGAAAAAAGAAAAAATAATTTTATTCATCTCAATATCTACTATGCATTAAATGTCAAATTAAACAGAAAAAGGTTGCGAAACATCAATCCATAATCTCTCCAAAAATATTATCATCCAAAAGCATGATTGCAATAGTCTATTAACATTTGTCAGAAATCATCTATAAGAAAGCATTTTAAAAAGCATTGTTTCACATTTATGATCAAAACTTGTTCCCTAAAAATTGATTAACTTCAATTTTCCTTCAACATATGGATAATCAAATTAAATTATGACACTCACAGATTCCCCATTCAAAAATTCAGATCACCAAGTAACCACATTGATCCAGAACTAATTCTGAAATCTGACATAAACTATAATTGGGTAAATTATGAAAAATCAAATCCCCTTTTCCAATGTTCTGGTAAATTCATTGCATTACCAGATAAAACTAAAAAAGGTTGTTTTTAAAAAGATACGTGCATCCCACATTGAGTATAATAGAAAGCTCGATATGGTACTTAAGCCATGAGACTCCCCCACTTAATGAACTAATCTTTTCAGTTGGACTCTCCTCATGCACTTATGTCATAACAAGAGCAGGTTTCTTCCTTTTTCCTTCCTGGATTTACAATACATTTCTTATACTCCCCTGTACCTTTTTCCTTTTATTTAACAATTTATTTTTTTATTTAAAAAAAGTTTGCTAAACAGGGTAAGAAACATACCAAGGCCTGAACTCCACCAGCTGCTGCAATGGCCTCTCGATTTCTATCGTCAAATGACAAATTCCAGAGTGCACCAGCAGCTTCTTGCCTGTAAAAATATGATTTGAAGTTAACTCAACATAGGAGTGATTGCAATTTTTGTCAAGGTAAAAGATCATATGTCAGAGAAGAAGCATTAAAGGTAAACCTATCATGAACCTACTATTCCAAAGCTAAGTTGTTAAGTAAAGGCATGAGTGAGTGGTTTTATATTTTGGGTTTTGCTAGGGCAATGGTTAAGAAATCAAAAATGGAAAGATTTTATTGGAAATTATGTTGGACTGCATTGGTAATCACAGGGGCAGGTGCATTAATAGCATTTGCCTTATATTTTTTAAAACATCTCTCACATACACCCTCAATCTCATGCAAGAGCCCTTCAGGACTGAAGCATGAATAATGCATACAAGCCTCCTTACCATGCACTTAATTTCAGTTTAATGAGGAGAATTGAGAGGCAAGGACTCAACTCCAGACCACTTGATCAGACACTTTTATACCATGTCATGATTCAATAATCCCTAAGGACTCATTTCGTAAACAGGATAGGGCAAGAGATCAATAAAAGATTAGGAAGAATATGTGCCTGAGAAGCTCTTATCCTATCTAATACTTGATGCAAACCAAATAATCCAGCTGATAGTGACTGTGACATAACTTGTATGCAAATAGCAAAACTACAGTACCTATAACCAGGTTGGATCGAATGTTCAGCATGGATCAGGTAAAAAATTTTCATACCCAATTCGTTCATGTCAAATCTCAGTTTAATAACATTTTTAAACATGCCTGACCCAAATCCACATTTTTCCTTTCTTAATTTTTTTTCCTATATTTTCAATGGCTGTTTTTAAAATAAATAAATAAATATTTTTTGTGAATCTAATGACCTGACCAGAAACAGCTCAGATTTGATCAAGTTTGTTTGTATTGGGATAAAATTTGTCAAACTCAACCTCACCTTATTTGATAGGTCCGAACCTATTAAGAATAATAATGAGATGTATTGAATCATATGGGACTCAAAACCTATTAAGAATGAAAGTGATTAGCAGCTTTGAAAATGAAGCCCACACTCAGACAGTCAATCCAACCCAATAGAGAGAGGAAAAGAGAGTTACCATTAGTGATAAAAAAATTACATTAGAAGTCAACATGTGTCACAATCCTAGACAGATTTATTATTGGTATAGACAAGTAATTGAAAAATTATAAAACAACAATCATATTTAGGAGAGGGGAGACAAAGGTCATGTAAAGATAAGTTCAGCCTACAGCCCTCATTTTTATAAGGTAAGCTACAAGGTGAAAGATGATTAAAATAAAACTTTCACAACACACTCTATCAACCATGTGATCGTTGGAGCTTCAAACAATCATTATCGGAGTCATTGTGAGCCATATTCAAACCAGAGCTAATTTTCATTATTCTTAATACCTTCCCAAAGGTTTTTCATTGTTGAAGTTAATTTTGTTGATTACAGCTTCCAAATGATGATTGTGGTGAATTTATAGAAGTAGTGGATTTTGGGTTTTGTTATGCATTTTCCATTCTATTTGTGTCTTCCTACTCCTGCCGTAAGTATCTCATGCTGTGCTTAAATCAATCTGTGACTGTGCATCCGTTCTTCCAGTAGTCTAGCCAGTTTCCAAGGGTAAATCTGGCCAACAATGTTGTTTTCCTCTATTCGTGCATCACTCCAGCCATCTATACCTGCCATGTTGCCTCAAGCAATGCCCATTTTCTTCAATCATATTGTGGTTCAAGTCATTGTTTGTTAAGCCCATACAAAAGTTACAAGTTTAAAGGTTAATATTTCTTTCATTTAAGTGAATTTATTTGTAGCAAGCTTAAGCAAGAAAGTTGAGAGTATACTTTATTAGTTCAGGTGTTAAGTCAGTGTTTTATATCACAATTATTCAGTATCTCATCAGCAAAACATATTTTCTGTGTTTCCTCTCTCTGTCTTTCTTCTATTCATCCAATCCCTAAATTTTTGACAAAGCAATATGTAAGTGTAAGAACACATAAAGAACCAGTTAAAGATTACCTGACACCCTCATGGGGAGAACGTGTAAGCTGAACAAGAGCCTCAAGGGCACCTGCTTCTTGTCCAACAGCAGCATTGTTACTGTTGCTATCTCCATGAGCAGCTAAATTAGCCAATGCACGAGCAGCCTAATGTTTGACAGTAGTTATGTTAATTATCCCACAATGGAAACAATATGCTTACATTCCTCAATGGAAAGGAAAGGTATTAAAAAAAGCACACAACTGAAGAATCAATTTAAGTTAAAAAAAAATGCACATGCATCTTTACTTAATGTAACCTTGAGACATAACAATCCGTAGGAAGCAATATAAAGCACACCTCTTAGCTAGGCTGGATCATCAATAGCATTGTCTATATTTGCAAAATCTCAACTATGACATGTAATGCGTCCCATATGTGGCACATGACCATTGACCAGAATAAGCCACAATGTACACTACATCTCCGTCAAAGCTTAAATGACATATTCAAATTATTCTTTTCCTTTCAATATATTTTAAAAAACTATTTACCTTCGTGAGGAGCAACCAAATGGTCCCAAAATTAGCATAAAAAGAACATACATACATTATCTTGAAAATCACATGTAGAAATAGCTGATTCATGGTTCTTGTTCCACTTTTCTGTCTACACTATCTATCCATTATAGGAAATACAGGATAGACAATATAAGTCCAAAAATTCAATAAAGGAATCAAGAAATGGGCTAAAATAATATATGCAAGTAAACCAGCTTTTAATGTGATAGCACATCAATGTCAAAGGGATTTAGGCATAGCTAACCATCCAATTTCCAAGTTAAGGACTAGCAGGTAAAAATTCAAATAACCCTATCAATCACAGTGTCTCACAGACCCCACCCCTGGGAACAAGCAAAAAGGAAATAACAATAATCAACCATGAATGCAAATTACACAATCATTAAAGCATTCTAAAACAACTACTATGAGTTCCAATATTCAATTGGCAGGTATTATCTACAAAGTGGCTTCAAAGATTTTAGTAACTAAATATATGATGATACACATAATAAATAGTAGTACTACCTGCTCTTGCACTCCCTCAAATTTGCAGTTACGAGCAAGCATCACCAGAGCATGTACACCTCCTGCCAGTGCAACCTCTGTACTACACTTGTCATCAGCTGCCAAATTAGCCAATGCACCTGCTGCACGTTCCTGAAAATAAAAACAAAGTAGTCAACCAACTGCTGCATGCATTGTAAAACAGCAACTTCCATTACTGGATATAAGAAGCAATATAATAAAGGGTATTTAACATGCTCATAAGCATAAAATCAGATAAACTTACTAAAACTCCATCTCCACTAGAGGACCACTTGAATATAAGATCCACTAAAGCTTGTATTCCCCCAGCTTCAGCAATGGCACCCTAAGAGGAAGCCTCTTGAGTTTTATCTTTAAACTTTAAGCATTAAATTTCAAAATTTAAAATAAGATACAAGATCCAACCTTGTGCTCTTCTCCAACAGAGAGATTCCACAATCCTCCAGCAGCTTCTTCAGCCACCAGCTTGTTCATTGACCTAGCCAAACCAGCAAGAATCTCAATCCCACCCTCTTCTGCAACAGCTTTGGCCACATTGGCATTGACGGACAAATTTGCAATGGCCTACAAATTTAGAAAATTTGGAGGATAGATACACATTGGTTTGTCAGATTTTCCTTTGGTCAGATTACTGAGTGTAACATTAAAAAGCATCCAATGGTGGGCACAATGGTTATGCATGCAATCGGCATTGGATATCAAGAGCAAACAACAACAACAACAACCAAGCCTTATCTCATTAGGTGAGGTTGACTACTATTGGATATCAAGAGCACCTTAACAAAATATAGAACCATTTTTTTACAACAGTACAAGTAAAAATGACTAGAAAAAACACAGTAGAATCCTATATACACAAATGGGAAGACAGGGTACCTTAGCCGCCTCAGACTGAAGCCCTTCCCTCCAAGATTTTGCTAGGCCAAGTAGCAGGCGAATGCCACCATCTCGCATAACTGCCTCAGCCCTTCCACAATCTATGCTAGCATTTTCATCATCAATTACAACAAAAGTTGCAAGACCTGTGGCTGCCCTCTCTTGAACATCCTCTTGAGAACTCTGCATTAGACTAAGCAAAAGCGCTCCACCTTGTTCAACCCAGAAATTATCAAGACCTTGTTGAGGACTCTCAGCGGAACGCAAAAGCGTATGGGATAGCATCCACTCAAGCCAGGGAATAATTTCATTAAGGTCCTTATCATTATTCTTGGAAGTCCTCCAGTCCAAAAACACATTCTTTCCTCTCTTTGTATTATCAAAAAATAAAGAAGCTAGTCCTTTAAAAATATCAGTAAAAAGGGAAATTAATAACTTGTTTTTATATTTACTAGCGGAGAAGCTAGTGTCTTCTTCAAGGATAGGACAATTCAAAGCAATTAAAACCCTCAAATGCTGTGATAAGGATAACAATCTGGAAACAGCAGATGGACCAATATCAGTTCTGGAAACATCTAATCCAAGCAGGTTTGGAAGCTTATGCCAAAGATGGGAAACCACATTCCACTTCGTACTTGATGTTCCTGCAACAGAAAGGAATCGAACCGATAACACGTTTCCCAATGCAAGCTCGTCAACATTCAGGCAGTCAATAAACCCAATATCAGTCAAATTTGGACAATGCTTAGCCAAGGCATTAATAGCATCAGCATTTACATCCCTGATGCCCGAGAGCCTAAGTTTATTTAATCTAGAACAGCAATGAGCTATGGCTTTAATAGCATCACTACTGATTCTCTCACAGAAATCTGGTCCAAGCTGAAGACTCTCAAGTAACTCATGCCGAGCCGCAATCACCGAAAGAGTTGCATCAGTAATTTTCCTGCAATAGTCGCCACTTATTTCTTGTAAGTTCCTTGCTCGAAGATGAATTATTGCATCAGCAGACTCTGCCCCACGAAACCTAAGCTTCTGAAGATGCACACACCTAGGAGCAAGTGATGATGCCATGCTGGCATCAAACCTGTGGGAACGAAGATCCAGAGCATTCCACAAACACGGGGAGCTACCAAGAAACCTCCATGTCCTACAAGTTGACGATAAGCTAGCTCGATCTCGATAACTCAGACAAGACAATAGCTGAATTACTGTATCATCAGGTAAGCTTCTCCAATCAACAACCCCTTGTTGTTCTGAATCCAAAACTTCGTCTTGAATTTCAGGGAAACTAGGCAGCACCACATTCCCTTTGCTTCTCCTTGCCACCTTCCTCCTCACTCTACGATTCATATCTCAACAAAATCACTGCAAAACCAACTCCAACACCTTCAAACTCAAAAACCCGAATCTCAAAACCACTGAAACAATTCACCAAGACAAGAACCTCAAATACACAAATCCAAAAACCATTGAAAAATAGAATACCACCCTCCAAAATACAAGCACCCTTCCACCCAAGAAAACCCTAGTCCACAACCAAACTTAACAAATTAAAACAAAAAAATAAACAGAGCTGAAAACCCACAACACAAAGCAACCCAACCCCAGATATGGAAAACCAGATAAAACCCAGAATTTATATTCAGGTAAAAACACAAAAAAAAAGAATTAAAAAATGCTTTTTTTTTCTCCTTTCATTCAAACCTGTGAACTCAATATATGAGGTCTCTGTTGGAAACACAAATCAGATGCATTTAAGAGAATTTGCAACGAAACCCACGAAAGAAAAAAGGAGTGAAGAATGAAGTTGGTTGAATGGGGTGTGGAGAAAGAGAATTGAGAAGGAAACCCAGACCCTGAAAAGGGTTGGGCTATGTAAAAGACCCAACAAGTTGAAGAGAAAGAAGAAGGTGATTGAGGAATGAGGGTTAGAATGAAAGGTTAGAAAGGAATGAATACAAAGAGAAAGAGAATTACAGCATTGGGGGAAAGACGAAGAATGATGGGATGGGAAGGAGAACAACGACGCTGTGAAACTACAGCTCATAAAATCAGCATCCTTTATATTAATTATTTCATTACGTAAATGTTTTAGACTTGAGAGCTTTATATATATTTATATATCATATGCTTCACCATTAATATAAGGTTAAATAGACCACATTAAAACAGGCACGTTGAATCTAATAAAAGAGGTTAGTCCCTTGCAAAGGATAGATTATAATTTGAATATTTATTAAAAATATATTTTTAATGTGTATTTAAATATATAAAATAAAAGTATAAATATATTATAATGTTTAATAAAAATATTATTATTTTTTTATTATATGCTTCAATACGCATTAAAAATATATATTTTTAATTAACTAACAGAGGTTGAGTCTAACGATAAAAATTAAATTTTTATAAAGCATATCAAACTATAGCCACTTATATTTAGTGTTTGATTATATCTTCGGCAAAATTACTTTATATGAAATATACATGTAAACAACTTTAAAAAAATGAGAGATATACTTTAAAAGTAAAGTATGAAATTATAACTATTGACTTAGAAAATGTGAAATATATTTAAGCATGTAGACATATATGTTATTAAATTAACCATTATAAAAACCTATTAAGACATATTTTTACGGATTTATATTTTTTAAGTAAAAGATATATAAAATAAAAAGATTGAAATTTATCTATAATCCATAATCAAATGTCGCTAATCAGTATTAATTAATCATTTAAAAATAAATAATTTGAGTAATATTTTTATAATTAACGTTCATTAATCAGAGATGAATCACAATTATTATTGATAAAAATATATTTATTAAGTAAAAAATAAATAATAACCTTTTACGGAATATTTATTTAGTTTATTATCAATTAAACAACAAATAGTAATTATTCACAATAAATATCAAACTAATCGATCACTTTAACAATTTTTACAGTCAAAATAATAATAATAATTCAAATTATAATTATTCCAACAATTTATATCAACACAAAGGTTAACAATATACTTTTATTACATCTTTTAAGTACGTCAGATATAATTGATTGAGATTTTAGAAAAATTAAAAAATTATGAACAATACTTTCTAAATAGAGATTTCAAAACATCACTTCATATTTTTTTTAAATAACTAATTTTAAAAATGTGTTAAAAATATATTATTAATTGATCAATTAGATGCAAATGATAACATTGACCATAAAATCTTAAATGTTGACAACTCAACTATGTGTTGATGATTTATTTGGTAACTACTCATTCGATATTAATTAGTGACCATTATATATTAATAATCATCGTTAGCAAAATAAAATCAAACCATTGACTACTCAAAAAATTGCTAACTATTCAAGTGATAATCATTTACAATAACTTGAAATCATCAAGAAATATAGTTTCCTCTTGATTTGCAAGCAACTTACTTGTGTGGAAAAGTCCCCATATATCAACAATCATAAACCTATGCTGATTAAAAAAAATCATAGACCTAGTTTTTGTGAAAAGTTTAAAAGTTCCTATACATGATTAGTCAATATATATCTATAAAGGCAAACTTATAAAGAACAATTCTCAAACCTTTATTTCATTCCATAGTTACCTAATTGTTAGTTCTCTTTAATATAGGTGCGCGGTACACAATCCATAACTATATAAAGTATATGGTACACTATAAGTATACTTAGTTGGAATGTTATTTGGACTTATAGTACACTATTTGGGTTTGTTTTATTAATATTTTGTTATCGATTATCCGACCCAGCATGAAGTGCAAGAGGCTAAAAACCTTTCAAACCTTGTGGTAAAGCTGTCTAACATAGTTAACCCCAATTCAAACAAGCATGCAAATTAAACCTCAAACCTAATTGGGTTAGTGGCAATCTGAAACTTAAATTCTTATTGCTTTAGTGTTTGAATTACATTTATTCTACTGAAAAACTTTCGAACCATAATTTCACTTTTTAAAAATATCTATACCTATTTATTCTTGGAGGCTAATAATATATAGTTTCTGTACTGATAAGAAAATTTTTAATTCTGTCAATTAATGCTTCCATTCTGCCTAAAGGTTACATGTGCGATACAAGATTTAACAATTCAAGTAATCTCACAAGGTTGAACAACAATTTTTGGTTTGACATGGATCAACCATCAAAATTCTGAATGCCAAGAGATTTTAGTGCACAGCGAGCAACTGAGCAAGCAGCCTTATAAAGAGTCCATTCAACTTCGAATCATTGCAATTCAAAAACTGATTTTCATTCATGCGCTGGTGAGACCACAACGTTTAGAAACCAAAATCACTACCTATAGTTGCCAAATCCAACTACCCAAGGCTACCACCTTAATTAGATAATTTTATGCAAAGAGACACACAATAAATAAGGTGTGTCATAGGTCACTGAAAAAACATAGTTGCACGGGAATATAACTCTTCACAAAGTCGATGGAACAAAACATACTTCGAATAATTTCTTGGATATAGTACATAACATTTTGTTTACATTATTATTGAATGTAAGTGATATAAGATTGCTTCTTGTTACAATAGAAAAAGACTTTGCAAACTAAAAGAGAATAAAAACAAAAGTTATCCCTAACTAAAAGGAGTCAATCATACTAATTCATCTACAGTCTACACCAACTTGTAGTAACAGTTGTTTTCAGAGAGGAGAACCTCATAGCCTTTGCCACACGGACACCTAAAAGCAAGGCTTAGGCACTTTTCTGCCCACTCTACGTTAACAGCTTCCTCACAATCTTCTCCTCCCAATTCATCCTGCCAAAAAGTATTCATTAAGCATAGCAAAACATCTATTAGCTCAAGTTGCAATAAAACCACATATCAGAAAATCATAACAAATGATTATTTTATAAGCATATATAATATCATTTTCTCTAAAATAATAATAATTTATTAATAATAATATATTAAATGCTTCAATTTTTAATAAAAATTAATATTTACTAATTTTGAAATATTTGATCTTTAGACATTCATTAAAAAATTGTTATCCAAGGAGTCAAAGTGAACATTTTCCCTTAAAAAAATGGTATAATGTATACATCAAAGATATACATACCTGAGATGGGACTTTGTCATCCTCTCGCACTGCACACTCTTCTCCCTCTTCTTCCTCTTTGATAACTTCATCCCACCACTGCCTCATCTCTTTCAAACGATCCTTCATCCTTCTGAGCCTCTACAAGCACACCCCACAAAAAAAGAAACAAACCCATCATTCCAAACGCAAAAAAGATTCAAACTTTACCAAGAACAACGCGCGGTTCAATCTGATACCATGTATTCAGGAGCGGTGGCAGTTTCTTCAGAGGCGGAAGAACGAGAGAAAGCTTTATCCGAAGAAGGAGACAGATCGGAAACGCTTCGCCGAAGGGTTGGAGGCAGCGGCGGCAAACCGGAACCCCTCGGCTGCGGCGGAGGAGGAGGAGGAGGAGTGTAGGGGTCGGAGACGCATCGGCGAAGAACGGGGAAAGAGGGTGTCTTGCTGACGAGGGAATTAAGGTTGAGGGGAATGGGAATGGCGGAGAAGCCATGGAGGATAAGGTCTTCTTGGTCGCAGAAGAGTTTCTTGGCGCTGGGTTGGCCGGAGGAAGAGGAGGACGGCGGTGATCGACGTTTCATAGAGTTGTTGACGGTGGTGCAGGGTGGGTGACGGTGGTGGGAGGGGTTGTTGAGGTGCATCATGGAGAAGAGGTCGGTGGGTTCGAGCACTGAATGATCATTGTGTTGTTGTTGTTCTTGATGATCATACATTGATGATGTTGTGTTTGGAATGATGGGTTGTTTCTGTTTCTGAGGGGTTGTTATTGTTGTTGGTGTTGGGGAATGATCGTTGTATTGGTGACTCTGAACATGTACTTCACCCATTCTTTCAGCTTTTCTTTGTTTTTCTTTTCCCCTCAGAAATTTGGGTTTGGAGATTGTGATTGTCAGTGCCAAAGTTGAAGGGAGAAAGCTTTGCTTATATATGTCAGTTTCAGAGTCTTTAACGCCTATTGGCGGGTTCGTAATAAGATTGTTTTTGTGGAGCTTTTTAGCCTTTTGGCAACGAAGTGTTTGAAAGAAATTTAGTTTTAGATTAAAAACGGAAATGTCTTTTCATTATTATATTATGTTTGGAATATATAATAATCAAGTATAATTTTATTTCATCTGTGTGTTTGATAGTTGATACCTTATAATTAATTAAGAAGATATAATAAGAGTCAATTTATTATTTTTTTCATGTTAAATAAATAGGTTAAGAGCAGTGAAAATAGAGTGTTAGAATAAGTTTTACCAATTTTAAATTATTTAAGCTTCAAACTTAACATATATTTAAAGAATTCCATTTTAGCATTTGGTCCTATTGTTTTAAAAATCTAATATAAAACTTATGTTAAATACTTTTTTTTCACCTAAACAATTCTTTTGTAAGCTTTACTCTTCAAATGCACTCAGGTCTGGATTAAGTTATTGATAATCAACAAAATGTAGACTTTGCTGCATGAGAATAGACAATCAAAGATATGAAGAAGCTAAAAATTGAAGACAAAGAAGCGAATATGGAGAGAAGAGAAAACAAAGATGCTAAGGCGAGAAATGTGATGGAAGAAAGAAAGGGAGTGACGAGGGAAGAAATAAAGTGGTAACAAAGTAGAACATAAGCAATTAGAACGGAAGAAGAAAGAAGAGGGAAAAAAATATTTCCCCAAAGAAACAGACATACTAAAGAGATAAGCAACTTACTACAAGAAGAATTGTATATGCATAATAATTAGGTTAACTAATTTTCTCTTCATATTTTTTAATATTACAAGAGAACAAGTAAACTATATATATATTATAAAATTCTATTATTGTTTTTAAGTAATATCATGGGTAGATGATTATATTATATTAATAAAATTATTATTCATGTTTCTCGTGATTATTTTAAAAATTAAATTTGCAAAAACTCAAATAAAATTTTTAAAAATTATATGATTTTTATATCTTTTAATAAATTTTAAATAATAATTAAGAATGTATTAATGAGTATACTTTTTGTATTTCTTTTTTTATTAAGTATGTATTTTTAGAAATGCTAATAATATATTCTTATTAAAATTTATTAAAATTATAAAAATATATGTTTTTTTTTTTACTTTTTTACATTTATTTTAATATTTTTATATTTTTTAACTAATAATTAAAAATATATTAAAAAATAAGTTAAAAGACAGAAACATCCCTGTTGTTGTAATTGGACAGAATTAGGGGTAGATTCAAGTCCGCCCACACATTTGTCCGTACATTACAAAATTTGAAACCTAAAAGTTGATTAAAAAATTCATAAACAAAAAATACCAATTAATTAAGTGAAATAAAATTCCATTATTTTCGACCAACCAAAAATCGATTTTGCTAAGCTCATAATAGTTAAATATCTAAAAAATAACAACTTTTTTATTAAAAAAATATATATTATATTAAAAAATAATAATATATATAATTAAAATTTTATTATTAATAATTATTTTTTATTAGTACTGTTGTTTCTTCAATTGAACGTCCTTGTTATCTATATTCTGACTATTCTTCAATCTTCATTCAATCTTTCTCTTTCCGATTCTCACAAACATTTATGGACGTAGCAGTGACTGCACCCAATCCAAAATCTATAAATCTCTAGTCATTTTGTTTTTTTCCAATTTGACTTCAATTTTCTTCTTCTAAACTATGGGCTTCTGGTCATCGGCGCTTCGATCAAAACGCCTCGTCTCGCCGGCGGAGAAGGCAGCGCGCGACAACTCCGACCGAGGACTCTCCCGACGCCTTGGCGTCATCGATCTTCTCCTCCTCGGGATCGGCGCCTCCATCGGTGCCGGCATCTTCGTCGTCACCGGCACTGTCGCCCGCGACGCCGGACCTGGTATACCTCAACTTTATTTCAAAAGCGTTGTTGAAATTTATTTATTTAAATTATTATTGCTGTTTGTTGAAAATATGTTAAAGAAAGGAGTGATTTACTAGTTATTAAAGTTTAGTTTCAGAAATTATTAAATAACGTTCATTTTAATCTCTGACTTGAGTATCAGTTTAGTTAGTTAGTGAAATTATAAAATATGAATTAAAATGACCAATATTTTAATTTTAGAGAATAAAATGATGGTATCTTTTATTTTTTTTGGACTAAATTGATTGGTGATGGTAATTTCAGCACCAAATCTTACTTGTAAGAATTTTATGTTATTTTATTAGGGGAGGTGGAGAATTGAACCTAAACACACCTTCAAACATGAATGCAATATGACACTGACAAGAGGATGGGAAAAATTTTGAACATTACAAGAAAGGGCATAACGTATGAAATTAATATCAAATTAAGAAACAAAATATTGTATTAAAATGGAACAGAATTATCCCAATTTCAAAAGTTTGAATTAGCTGTTGCTGGCACGTAATATACTATCTGCTCTACTACTCTAGGGTTTGACATGTGATGGATATTTTCCAGTTACTATTCCAAACTTGGTAGCTCATTCTTGGTTTGTGTCTGTGATGCAGGAGTAACAATAAGTTTTGTGCTTGCTGGAGCATCGTGTGTTATAAACGCACTCTGTTATGCTGAGCTGGCTTCTCGATTTCCTGCTGTTGTTGGAGGAGCATACTTATATTCGTATACAGCTTTTAATGAACTAACAGCTTTTCTTGTTTTTGGTCAATTAATGCTTGACTATCATATTGGGGCAGCTAGTATAGCAAGAAGCTTAGCAAGCTATCTAATAAATATTCTTGAACTTTTCCCTGTTTTCAAAGATAATATTCCAAAATGGATTGGACATGGCGAAAATGTCGGAGATGTGCTCTCCATCAATATCTTAGCTCCAATTCTCCTCATTCTTCTCACTCTAATTCTCTGTCAAGGTGTTCAAGAATCATCAATTGTGAATTCTTTAATGACAGTGACCAAGGTTCCTTTCCATCGTACCGGTTACCACATGCTTAATATTAAGCATTGCGTTAATGCTAGATTTTATCTGAGACAGGATCACCAGTTATTCTAATGTTTGTTGCAGGTAATCATTGTTATTGTCGTCATTTTTGCTGGAGCTTTTGAGGTTGATGTTTCCAACTGGTCTCCCTTTGCTCCCAATGGTTTAAAAGCCATATTTACAGGAGCTACTGTAGTCTTCTTTGCATATGTTGGATTTGATGCAGTTGCCAATTCTGCTGAAGAATCTAAGAGACCGCAGGTATGTCATGTTCAGATTGCTCCCATGGTTTATTAATTTGCCTCTCATATATGTTATCTATTTGGATTTATGTATCTTTTGTCTGATGCCATAGTCTGTTGTGGGTACTTTGCCATTAATTATGTTGGAAGTAAATAGTGACTATTCATGTCTAGTTGTAGTTAGTAGCATAGTTATTGATTCAATTTTTTTAAAACTTATACATCTGTTTATCTCACAGTAATATTCATCTGCTGTGGCTAATTTACATTCATGCTTCAGTTCTAAGCTTTTTTCCTCTCTCTATTCTCACAAATTAGTTCACCATATTTTTCTTTTTATCTTTCTTGTTTCTGACATTTCAGAGGGATTTGCCCATAGGCATAATCGGAAGCCTCTTAGTATGTATTGTATTGTACATCGGAGTATGCTTAGTGCTTACTGGAATGGTTCCGTACATGTTTCTAGGAGAAGAAGCTCCTCTGGCTGAAGCTTTTACGTCTAAGGGATTAAAATTTGTTTCTGTTCTGATTAGCATTGGTGCTGTTGCTGGACTTACAACAACACTCCTTGTTGGTCTTTACGTTCAGGTGAATTACTTCTCAATTAGGACATGATTGATGTGCCTTGTGACATGTGCTAATGTACATGTGTGATGTTTCTGATGAGCAGTCCCGATTATATCTTGGGCTTGGCAGGGATGGTTTACTACCCTCAATATTTGCTAAAGTTCACTCCAAACGCCACACCCCTATTCATTCTCAGGTCTGGGTTGGCTTTGTTGCCAGTGTTTTGGCTGGGCTATTGAATGTGCATGTGCTCTCTCACATTCTTTCTGTTGGTACACTGGTAAGAGTTGATTTCTATTTTCATGGTACTGGAGTTCCCAACAAAATGTATCTGTCTATTTTGTATGAAAATAGTATGTCTGATATAGATTGGCATGAAACATGTTCGCAACTTATGAAAAGGTGGGAGATTTCTTGCTCAGTGGGTGTTGGATACATTAATCCAATTGTAATATTACAATGGTTTTTAACAGGGTTCAGATAATGTGAATTGTACTTTCCATTTAGGGAATAATACCGTATCATGTGACATGACAAAAGTATACTTTATGATTGATAGTGTTATTCACTTATTTCAGACTGGCTATTCAGTTGTCTCAGCATGCGTTGTTGTACTTCGCTGGAAAGATAAGACAAACAGTCAAGTTTCATTTTCAGCTAAGCGGGAAGGTGTCATTTGCCTCGTTGTTGTTGCTGTTTGTGGATTTGCTGCTGGGCTCTCGTACCGTTATGATGGTTCGCCTATTTTTCTGAGTCTAGCTATAGTTATTGCACTTGGTGCTTCTGCTGCTCTTGTTTTCCGCCAGGTGAGTGTTATTTTATATTTTATTAATTGCATGTTGACTAGGCTACGTCAAAATGCTTTACTTAATAAATATGTTAGTAATAATGTATATCTATGGATAATGGTTGTATCATGAACATGTTAAAAATTTCAATTTGGTTCTTGGTTGGACAAGGTATAAATACCAATTGAAGTGACTGTAAGAGAGTTTTAATTGAATGTTGTCATAGAGGAGGAAAAGTAATCTGAAATTTTTTGTTGCCCTCTTTTCCTGGATCATACAACAAATGAAGAACACAATGAGGGTTGTATGTGTCAAATACACGAAACGGAAAAGCAATCTCAAGGTCAACGACTCTGCTTCTCGGACTTCATCACAGATCGTATTAAAACTTGTGAAATTGACAAGCTTGCTGCATTTTGATATTAATTTCTTTCACTAATCCCATTCTGTTCTATCATTTTTTTTTTCAGGCTTATGGAGATGCACAGGGGTTCTCTTGCCCTGGGGTCCCTCTTCTGCCAAATATCTGCATCTTTTTTAACATGTTCTTATTTGCCCAGGTATGCTCCATTTCTCCTTTTTGAAAACTTGGCCAAAATAATACTTTCTTTGAAAACGTTATAGTTGATTATTTATACACCAAAACTAGTTAATAATTATGAACTTCTATTTACAGCTACATCAGGAAGCATGGGTGAGATTTGTGGTTCTTTGTGCTATTATGGTCGGAGTTTATGCACTATATGGCCAGTATCATGCTAACGCCAGCGCAGAAGAGAATCCTGTTTATCACGTGGCACCGGAGGATGACGTTTAATGAGTTATGTCTTCAATATCACAATGCGGTTTTTTACCCGAATGGTGAAATGCATGTATATCAGCTTTTGGTTCTGTTAGGATAGTAATGTCCACTATATATGGATAACTATATGGCTACACTTGTACTAGATTGTATATGCAGAGTCAGCTAGCATGTGTGTATGATTTATCTCTTGTTTGCAAATCAATGAAAGAAGAAAATTCGTTGTGTATCATGTGCAAATGTTAAGTTGATACTTTTTTTTTTTTTAAGGTCAAGTTTTGACAAAATAAAAAAAAAGAAAGAGAAGGTTAAGTTAATACTTCTGGATATGTTCAGGCCTATGATTGTGTAGTCTTTCAAACCATTAAGGGAGTCAGCTATCTGTTGATTATAACATTAATTTGCATTTATATATTATATTTTAATAAGTTCTGATATGTACTCCAAACTACAAAATTTCAATTCATTTCAAAATTATAAATATGTACAGGATTAGATTTTCACACATAAATTTAGAACTTTGACAGGATTAAAATGTAACTCCGTTGTCACATAATTGAAAACTTTTACTTCTCACATAACCTGCCTTGTAAAGTAATTGAACTGAGTTCTGAGAAACAAACAAGCCTAAATATCAATTATAATCGTTAATACTTAATATATCATTCCGACGTAGCCTTATCTTCCCTAAATTCCAAGTAAAAAGGGGAGGGGAGGAGAGAGAATTTCCTAAACTTGATTGTTTCGGGGTAAAAAATCGATAATTTTTTTCCCTTGATGTTAATTACGAGTAAATTTTTTTCTTCTGAGTTAAACAAGGATCACCAAACAAGAACTAACTTTTGAATGATTTACATAACTGAAGGAAAACATTGCATGTAAAATGACTCGTATTTAAAAAACTTTGACCTTATTAACTTAACCATTATCAGAGTCAAGCCAATACTTACTTAAGCCTAAAACAAATTTTATGATGAAACTCTTAAAATTAATAAAAAAAAATGCTATCATAATTATATGAAGTTTATCTTTCGATTTTTTTAATGTAAATTTATTTATTAAATTATTGTAATTAATCTTGTTTAACCACTATTTCATAAAAATAAAAGTCAATTCGTTTATTTTTTGAGACATTATTAATCTTTAGTGAGATTGTATTAACTTTAGTTTGAAAACTTTCTAATGGACATGCTTGGTGATCTTTCCTAAATAGATATCAGATGTTAAGGGCAATTTTTACTTCTACTATCTACTATTTTTAATTTTAACGCAAGCGTTTTACCAATAAATATAAAGACAAAAGAAAAAGTTTAGTGATGTGAAAGTACAAATGAAGGGAAGGAAAGAAAAAATAAAGTTAATTAATATAACGAGTAAAGGACATATGAAGTCTTTTTTATGAGAAAAGAGGAAGTCGTGATAGGATAAGGAAATTTTATGCGAAAAAATGATTGACTCTTCTTAATATTATTTATTAAGTAATTATCAACTTCTTTTTATGAAAAAAAAATATTACTGTAGACTAAAAATATTTTTGAAGAACTCAAACCAATGAATGAGTTCACTCATTTTATTAATAATTCTACCGGTGAATCTTGGCTTTTCCATCCAAGCAACACGCAATATGCTAATCTTCTAAGTGTTGTTTGGAATAAATGGTTTTTCCATCTCTCCCCTTTGCTGTACTTCCTCTTTCTCCCATACAGGTCCTAAATGGCAGATAAACCATATGCAAGTCAAATGGTTACTAATTTAATCCTGCAAATTAAAACAAATTAATGCAAGACCAAACTGCTTGCAAATCCTAATAGAGCCCAGAAGGGAACCCTTAAACCTAACAGCCTCCGCACCTAATTGAATCCAATCTGCTATTGATAATCGTGTAAGCCATGCAAAGCAACACACTTTCATTGCCAAATCTATCTCCTTGCTGAGCAAGAGTAAATATTCTAAACTAAATTAAAGACAATGAACGCTATAGCTCTAACACAGCCCCTCATATAAGATTAACTCTACATTTGCACCTTAAGTATAAACAATGCACAAGTCCATTAATAGCACTTGATCATAGAAACTTCAATAAGATGTCAGAGACCAACTTTCCAAAAAGCATAAGTTGTTAACTGAAGGCACACGATTGGTTTTATCTCTATCTAGATAATAAGGAAATCAACAGTTCAAAAGAGCGACAACTACATGATTGTAATCAGTTAGCTGGAGAGAGACTGCTCAAAAGTTACAATATTAGGCCCCTTACTCAAGAAACTAATCTCAAAAGACACGTTTATGTATCTATCCATCTATCTATACACTTCTAGTAATACCTTGCATCACTGCAGAGACAAGAAAAATCAAATGGGGAATTTTAACTTGAGAAGGAAACAGTGGCACCAAAAGAAATATATGAAAATAAAAAGTGAAAGGCCTGCTGCTAAAAAATAATAGAATTTGAACTTTGTCAGTTACACAACAGGCATAAATAGAAAATCAAATCTCCTAAAATGAAGAAATTTCAATGAAACATAATATTGAGACCTTTGGTGAACTCCATATTCACCGGGTTAGAAACCATTGGAGTACAGTAGTTAACAAATCACCTAATCTTGTTTCCAATGGTCTTTTGCTCTTTTGATCTATCAGTAGATCCCATTTTCTGAAGCCTGATTTGAGCTTTGAACTTGGCTATAAATTCACTAGCTTTCTTATCCACCTCAGAATCCAGTTCTGAATCATTGACATATGCAGGCACCTCATCTTCATCTGAGCTCACCCGATTATTCTCAAGCTCGATATCTGAGTCTTGCTTAGACAAATTCTTGGATGGTTCTAGTTTATCTCCCTTACGATGATTGGAAAATTTAATCTCAGGCTTAGGGCTATAAGAATCCAGAGTTTTCTTACTGACTCCTTTCAGTAGAATGTTTGGTTCTCCATTTTTCATTTTATCTTTTCTCAATCCCAAATCAACATTATTAGACTTCTTTTCAACCTTTTCATCAAGTTGTTTGCTAGATGTTTCTCCTATTCTCATTGTCCCTGATGTCAGTTCACTGGCTTTTCTTGTTCTAACCGATTTTCCCCTTGATGGAGCTTTTGCTAGCCTTGCAGGCTTTTCTGAGTCTGACTGCAAAACATGCAACCTTGACTCTTTATTGCCAGAGGGATCCTCAACTCCAATCTCATTTAAACCCCTCAACTCATCATTCAGACTACTCTTTAAGTCATCCTGGAACATGGATCCAATACTATATCCACGAGCCTGAAATGATTGCAATGAAGCTTCCCTATTCTTTCTAGCCAAAGGTGATGGTGAACTTGAAGAAGATCCGTGCGAGCTCTTCTTTTCCCCTAAATCTTCCTTCAGCGAGTTCACATTCTCTGACAAAACAGAGTCTAAGGAAGAACATATACTCGACTGAGATGAAAAAGATCCCATAGACTGGAAAGACCGTGAGCTGAGTGACTCAAATTGAGTTTCATCAACTGGAATTGTCCTGAAGGGCGAAGAATGAGAAACGCCAGCATATTTTCCTTTTGATTCCATTATTCCATTTCTTGAAGATGACACCTGAGAAATCTTCTTTCCCAAATCCACCTCTTGGAAATCCATATTTTCTGAAGCAGGCTCATAAGAAGTTTTCTTTTGTTCCACATCATCCTCCTGGAAATTCACATTTTCAGATTCATGCACGTAAGAAGTTTTCCTGTGTCCCATATCTTCCTCCTGGAAATTCATATTTTCTGAAGTTTGCATGTGGGAAGTTTTCTTTGGCCCCATATCTTCCTCTTGGAAGTCCATATCAGACGAAATTGAATCCAAGGAAGAATACATTCTCATGTGGGAAGAGAAAGATCCCAAAAACTGGAAAGACTTTGAACCAAGTGATTCAAACTGAGTTTCATCAACTGACATTGGCCTGAAATGTGAGGGAAAAGAAGCAGCAGCAAATTTTCCTTTACTTGCGATCCTTCTATTTCTTGATGAAGAACCCTGGAAACTCTTCTTTCCCAAATCTATCTCTTGAAAACTTGTATTTTCAGAAGCAGGCACATAGGAAGTCTTCCTTGATCCCATATCTTCTTCTTGGAAATTCATATTATCTGTAACAGGCACATAGGAAGTCTTCTGTCCCACATCTTCTTGAATATTAATTTTCTCTGAAGCAGCCACATAGGAAGCTTCCTTTGGTCTTATTTCTTCCTCATGAAAGTTCATATTATCTGATGAAATTGAATCCAACGAAGAATACATATTGGTTTGGGAAGAGAAAGATGTTGACTGTAAAGACCTCGAACTGAGTGCTTCAAGTTTAGCTTCATCAACTGAAAGAGGCCTAAAATGTGAAGGACGGGTAACATTGCCATGTCTATTCCCCCTTTCCATCCTTCTATTCCTTGAACGCCAGGGAATTGGGGAAGCCGATCCACCAGCAGCAGCAGGATTCATTTTGTTCTCCAAATTGGAATGACCCAAATCCCCAAAGTCCCTACCTCTGCTCTTATCTGAGCCCCTAGAAGAACCCCTTGAACCAGAACTGGAATCACTCTCATTGGTGTATTTAGCACTATCCACTTCTCTTGCAACCGATCTTAAACTGCGAACCGGTAGTCCTAGAGGCTTATAATCAACAACCTCGCCACATTCACCAGTGGAGTAATTTGGTTGAGCTACAACCACCACTGGCTCACTTTGATAGTACTCAGAATTCCAAGCTTGAACCACATTGGTTCTATTTCCATCACTACTAACTGAGGAATAACCAAAATTACCTTCAGAACTTGGCAATTGGGGTTTGTACTGTTCATCAAAAACACCAACAGTACCTCCATTGGACTCTCCCTCAAAGTACTGAGGATTCCAACAATGCACCATCCTCTTCTCATCAAATCCACATGGATTTTCACACCCATCACCAAAAATAGTGGAAGCAGGAAACATTTTGGACACATAATTAGGTGAAGCATCAGAACTAGAGTGAGTTTCTACGTGTGATTCAAGTTCTACATTTCTTCTACTAAACAAACCATAGGCCACAGCAATGCCAATGAAGAGAAGGTGAAGAAGCTCCCAGAACTTGTTGAGTATTGTTTGGCTCACAAAGTCAGGAGCTTGTGAAGGAAAAAGTGGAAGAACAATGACAAACAGTGCCAAGAACAAAGATTTTAAGAGGAAACCAGAACAAGACTTACCTTGGTTGATGGGTTTTGGTTGGATCCGTGAGCTGAACTCAGAAAGTGGGAAATGGGGTTTGGTGTAAGGGCTTGAATCTGCCATTGATGAGTAGTGGTGTGTCTCTCCACTCCTCAGATTTGTGAATGGGTTTTGTGTGAGATGGGAAATGCAATGAAGAAAGGAAGACTTTGAGGACAAGGAAAAGTGCATCCTAGGACAAACATGGAAGATAAAATATTTAAGGTAATTGTAATTGCCCAACAACATTCGGAAGTGTTATTTTCAATCACTACCTTTTTTAATTACAGAGTTACCCTTACCTTGATTTTTTTCACTTTCTTTATTTAGGAATTTTTTTGAGGTTTGGGAAAGGTTGGGCCATCTCAAGCCCAACCCAAGTATATTATGCTTGAATGTGTAGACCCATTATCTCAGAAAGTTGACACTATTTTTACTGTAAAAGTTGGAACTCCTATTAAATTGCGTGTGTTGAAGATCAAACATATATGCTTTAAATTGTGTTACTGCTACATTGACTTAAATTGTGTTGAAGAACTTTGGGAGAACAGGGAATTAGGTGATAAATGGGCATTTATTTGGTGTGGGATGTTGATGGGGCAGTATTTGAAGTGAGCAAACCAAAGATGGACATCATTATCTTGTGAGCCGCTCATGCCCGAAGTGATTATAGTAGCAATTGCACGCAACAATTTCTAGCCTGATGACCATGCACACCATGCTACATGTAAATGCTTTTATTAAATATCCTGAAGTAGTAAATTCGACCTGCCTAATAATGGTAAATTTTTTATTAGAAAGATATTAATCACACTTTTATAACTTTAATATAATAAATATGTTTTTCTACGATAAACATTTATTATTTTTAAGTGTTTAAATTTAACTCTAAATATTGAGTTAATAAAATATTTTTAAAAGAATATTAATATAAGTCTATAGTGTTGAGTTAAAATATTTAAAATAATAAATATAAAAGATTTATTACTTTTAAATGCTTAAATTAATGTTTACATATCTAAAAGTTATGTCGGTCATTATATTCTTTTTAATTTTTAATAAAATTTAATTAATAATTAAAAATGTAAATTAAAAAATTTACCAAAAGCATTTTTTCTAAAAGTTATAATTTTTTCTATGTATAAATTTGGAGGATCTGAATTGTCTCCAATTTGTGTGGAAATAGGACATACAATTTTTTTTCTTAAGCGAAATAGAATTTACAAAAAAAAATGACACAAATTGTGCTAATATGAATATGTTTCAAAAAGGGTAGTAGTAGTTGATATATATACCCTTTCTTTTCCAATATTTACATGCACATAAAGTGAAAGAACAAGTAAATACAAGCTCAGCTTCATTACTGACTACACTCAAAAACTACAAGCTAGTCCTCAAAACCTCTTCACTCAATAAAACTATCCCAAATTTAAAAATAACCCAGTAAAAGTTCAATGGAACCAATAAGGAACCCTCAAAGGAAACTTAATAGAAGCTTCAAGCTTCAAATTCATGGAATTCACAATTTACTACTCTATTTTCATTCCTTCTCATCATGGATGAATGCCAGAATATACTCATCATTTTTCTCTCTGAATGTATCTCGCAGGAAAAAAGTAGAGGCTCTCCATTGAACCTCTCTTCTCCATACAAATACTTCTTAACTTCACCATTGAACAAATCAACTTTGGCAAAGTTTGAGACTCTAGGTCAAGGCTCGTCTTTCGTCTCTCATTACTTAACTTTTGTAAGACCGACATGCTACATGGCAGTAGATTCGTTTAAGCAAACTTAAATTCGCTTAAGCAAATTTTTTTAATAATTTGCATCATTTTTGTTTAATTTGCTTAAACAAAAAAAAATGAATGTCTAATATTTGTGCAAACTAGAGAGAATCTATATATGAATGTCTAATTTTTGTGTAACTAAATAGGATCCAAATCCGAATTTAAAATACCATTGACTGACAAATATTAGAAACTGGTTCAAAGGTCTTACCTTGGCACTGTCAACAATGCATAAATAAACAAAATAAATTTAAATTTCTGCCTAACACTACTTTTGATTTGCTAAGGTAATTACATCACATCAGCAATCTACAAAACAAGGATATTTTTCTTACATTAAAACAAGTTCACAACTGTAAACTCTTGACCAAAACACTGTAAAAAGGAAACCGAACAGAGAGATAGAAAACTAAGTCAATGATTGGTATCTTGCACATCATAGTACAATTCCAGTAAAAACTATTTGTCGGGTAGAGTTTGAATTTGGCAAAGTGATTGTCATCATGTTGTTATATTAAATAAAAATCTATAATTTTAACCATATAATTATATATAAATAAACCCTACTGAATTTAAACAAAATCATTATGACCATACATATTTCATTATAAGAAAGGATAAATTCACACTAATAGGCTCTCTCCCTCACTCATGAATGGAGCCCCATACTAAAATCTTAATAAACATGAATAAACAGTTAAAAGGGACGGTCGCTCAATGATCCAAAAAATGCAATCTTGGGCTTCTGGCATGTTATTTTTTACTGAGATTTTTTAATACTTCCTTTTTAAAACTTCAACTTCCAAAATCACGTGATATAACCATTAGTGTTGGTGTTAGTGGGTAGCCACACCCTTCTTTGCATCCTCGCAGTAATGATCATAAACTAATTTTAATACAAAGTCAAACACTAAAAAGATCTGACGCAATATATTATTAAATCTGAGTTAGTGCATTTGCAGTTGGAGAAAACAATTTCTAATTGAGAGATCCCATCATTCCTTCAAGAAAATCCCTTAATTAGAAAGGCAAATTAAATTGTTCATAGATAGGTAAAACTATTATTCCTTCATGGTAATCTGAAGGAAAGATTATTATTTCTTATTTACATATCTGTATTGCTGTGGAATACATGCAAAGGTAGACAAAAATCTCTAATTGATAAATCATAATCCTTCCTTCATGTTAAACCCTTGTCCCACCTTTTCCTTAGGAAATGGTATCCCAATATATTGAGAACATCACATTAGGATTCTCTTCCCTCTCCTTTTTAAAGTCAAAACTAATAAATGCTTGTTCTATTCAGCATATAAAACCATACCCCACTGGGAACATATCTACCCTCCACAAATCCTAAAGTTGACTAGAACGTATGCCAGACACAAAAAAATAGAACAATTCTTCACTGAAGAGATAACCAAACTCATATCCTTGAGTCCAAATTAACCACAAATCAGTGTTCCATTTGAAATTTTTTTGGTTCTTTTTATCCACATTCCATGCATATCTGTCTAGTAACTAAAATGTCTTGACACCATTCTCATTAATATCAAATTGCCCTTCAATTATGGGCGAGGAATTGAACCTTCAAACGGCCATGGGTTGACCGGCACCCGCCGCCGGATGTTTGCACCCATCAAATTGCGATTACTCGGCGGCTGCGCCGAGTGAACGGTGGCAGAGGAGGAGGATGCGGCTGAGACAGCACGCTCACAAGAAGGGCATATCGTAAGAGTGGTAGGAGGGTTCATATGCATGTAAAGGTGGGGGGATAATTTCAATGCCCTTAGCTCTTGGACTTCCTTTTGCAACCTTCTATTTTCTTCAGTTAAATTCTCACAACATCTCTTTAAGTATTCACAATCCACTTCTGTCTGCTTCAACTTGGTCCTGTGTTAATTGAACTAAAATCATTAGATTAGAGTTCATTATCTTTTGTGATCAAACTATAATGTCTATAGAACTTACAACAACACGAATACCCCAAATAACAACAGAATCACACATCAACCATTGTATACCATTTGCCACATCGCATGAAAAATCCATATGTCAAACTTTGACTTGCAAATTCGTCACTGCTTAATTATATTTGTGTTCCTATCCATGTCTTCCATATTTTACACCCCCGTTCATTTTTATTACTTTTCGTCAGATAACTATCAATAACGTCAGATTTTTGTCACATAATTGGGTCATTGTTCACTCTGGACAGTCAAAACCATCATTTATTGTTTACGTTATGTTAAGGTTGCTTTGATTGCATTCAACAGTTCGAAAGTTAGAATCATAATTAACACTGACAAGGAACCACAAAACCACCCTACATGTACATGTCATTCAAGAACTCATACATACCTTGTACCTCCAATTAAAGAATAATACTTAAAAAAATAACAAACATAAAAATGCTATTTTTTAATATCGGGTCAGTTTTTAACTGAGAGACAAGCTAAGGCAGGAGACAATTAATTCCAATCCCTCATTTAAAACTTTAACACCTGAAATTTGTGAAACCGAAAATAACTGGTTTTCTCTACACCAATAATATAGTAATTTAAAAACTATCCACTACTATGACAATTTTCAAATATTTTATAGTTTATGTTTAACACACTTCAGTTAGGCTTCAACATATCATAAAACATGTGCCAATTCAGGTAACACCAGGAACGTTACAACCCAAGAAAAAGACCATATGATATGAAGTCAACAAATAATTTAAATACTATATTAATAATTTTTTTATTAAAAAAAAATCCTTGACCTCACCTTGCTCTTCTGTTCTGAAACCACACTTCAACTTGTCTAGGCTTCAAATTCAACTCTTCTGCCAGAGCTTGCTTTCGTTTCTAATATCGAAAATAACAAATATATATAATTATGAAATCCCAAAATTACCCTTACACATGCAATTATTTCACACAAATACAGTGCTCACCGGATTCAGCGTATTATGCTCCTTGAACGTTTCTTCCAACACCATGGATTGTTCCTTCGTCAGACGCAGCTTCTTCCGCCCTGCGTCGCCGCCACCGCCGTCTTCATCGTCACTCCCCCGCGAGCACGACGTTCTCTCGGCGGCGGCGGCAGCATTGTCGTCGTCTCTCTCGCTCCGCTTGCCACCGCTGACGCTCGACACCGCGCTGTTCGGCGAGGAAACGCCGTTGTCGTCGTCGCAATCCGCCGCCATCGACGGCGCTGAATTGACATCAATTCCTCGGATCATGTCGGAGCTCCGATCTGCCACATGAAGTTGCATGTGAGTTTTACAACTGGAGTGGCATTCTGTGTAATTAAAGAGGATGGCGGAGGGTATTTCTGTACAAATGGTGTTTGCACTTGTTTGGATTTAGAAATGAAAAATGTGTATAGAGAAATTACTTAAAATTTCATGAATATTACACGTTTTTTAGAATAATAAATTTAAAATGATAAATTTTTAATTGGGTATAACCGATTGAACATGTGTACACAAGAAGTAAGAAGATGATGAGATGCAAAGGGTAGAAAAGCTGGATCTGAATTGGGCTATTGATTGCATGATTTAGGTATTCAACAAAGGATTCAACTTTCAAAGGAAAAGGGATACGGGTTTGACATGAAAGAAAAATAATTAAAGTTAAAGAAAGAAATGTTGATTTTTTGTTTCCATTTTCATTATTTTAGTTGTTTGAAAAAATGGAGGGTGAAGAGATAAGGAAAATTGGTGATAAGAAAATAGGAACAAGAAGAAATTGAGAGAATATCTAGAGAGCAGATAATAGAAATGATTGAAGGAACAAGAACCTCGCACCTGGTAACTGAAACAAATCAGCCCAGGAAGTCCTGTTATGATTTGTGGGAACCGTTTGTTGAGGGTTCTGCATGTGATTGACCTTCAAAGGAGGAGGTTGATTCACTCCCAAACTCAAACTCAAACTCAACCCCAACATGTCATCCTTTTCGCCCATTTCTCTTTTCCTCTATCTGAGAAGAACCAACCACCAATGTGTGTTGTGTGTTTGCTTCTCCTCTTAACAACTTTCCCGGGTTTGGACACAGCAAAATGGCTAGTCTTTGGTGGCAGTGTGAGTAACAGCCTTTGGCTTTTTGGCAGTGTGGGGAAACTGATGGATGGAACTAAATATATATATATAGAGAGAGAGAGAGAAAAATATAGTGCATGGATACAGAGTTAATAATGACTTGGGTCAGAGTGACAAATTGGCTCAATCATGACTTAAATGGCTATTCTAGGCATTTTAATATAATACATATGTATAGTATATATGCGTTTGGATTCTTCAAGTCCAAGTTAGGTTACATTTTAACTATGGTTAGTTTCATGGCTGCAACTTTAACCAATGTAGATAATCAGTGTTAGAGATTATAGTAACTGATTAGGCGAGGGCTTAATTAGCTTTAACTAGTTCTGTTGATGAAAACAGCTGCTTTTTCGCTTAGAATTTTGACCAGAAAGAGGAAGAGTTTGATGAAGTCCATTTGTTTCACGTGATATGCTTGGAATCATCATCACCTCATCATGGAGACTATGAGTGATTCCACGTTTGAATTATAATTAAGATATGCAACTTTATTTTTAAAATATAATGTATTTAAATAAATTTATTTTCATTAAAATTTTATAGCACAGTTAACTAGTATGATTAATAAATTAACTTTTTATTAATTTTAATTTTTAAGATTGAATTTGACATCTAAACATTTTTTTACTGGAAAAATACATTATTATTTATAGAAATATAATATTATATTTATAAATCGTTGTTATTATTTGTTTCTTAAATTCAGACTTAAAATTTAAAGATGATAAATAATAAATATATTAAAAATTATATTTTTATATTTTTAATTGTTTAACAAATATTTTAATGTTATTAAATAAGTGCTAACAATAAATTTTAAACTAGCTCTAATAATTAATTAATTTCTATAAAAAAAATATAAAATTAGAAGCTGTGCTCATTGAGTTGGTAATAAGATAGACATAGATTTACAATTTTTAATGAATTATAAATCATAAAAAATATTAACGTGATAATTAAATTTGAGAATTTAAATATTTTATTATAATAAAATATAATCATATAATTTAATATAATAAAAAAATTATTTTTATATATTTAAATTCATTTTTAAAATAAAATAATAAATCTGCTGATAAAAAGTTGTTGCTAATAATTACTTATTTTATATATAAAAATACAAACTGTAGTACTTAGGAATAGACAGAATGAATCATGCAAAGATGGGGCTCATACCGGATTTTGTGAGTGGTGTGGGGCCCGTTTGACATGGATTTTGAAAAGCATGCTAACCCCAAATCACGAGGCAAAACAGTACACTTCAACCACACCACTGGCAGCGGCGCGTGGATTTCATTCACTGTAGTGGATTTTCAAGGGCCACAAGAATATCATTCTTTTCAGTTATTTTATAGATACAGACAAATTATACACTGATTTTTATTTTATTTTTTTAAGAGGAAAAGCAACACTGATTTTTACATAAGATAATGCATACAATAAAAAAATAGAAAAATATAATTTGAAATAAATTAAGTGTATACAAAATTATTTTATTATTTAAATTGCAAATTACTATATTAACCAAAATTATTAATTTTTATAGTAATCAATTTAAAATAATATCTATGATATATTTTAACTTATTAAAACTATAACATTTTTTTACATTAATAATGAATTAAAATTATACTTATAAAATACTCTACAAAAATTTCAATATAAACAATACATTTTTTTCTTTCTCATGCCTTAAATATTCACAAATTATATTAAATTTTAACTAATTGGAAAATAAATAAAAATCTTTTAATATATTTTAATCAAATTTGAATTAAAATCTTTCCCTTTAAGAAACTTAACTCATCGTCAATACTTGAACTAATAAGCATTGACATGTAAGAATAATTCTAATTACGCACGAGCGTAACTAATGAAAAACTGAAACATATGAAAATCATAATAAAAATGAAATTTATGTTAACTTATATTAAAATATCATCTTAAAATTTTGTAATATTAATCTTTAAATTCAATTTGAAACATCTAAAAATTTATTTTTATTAAAAATATATTTATACTTTTGTACTTATATATAATAGATACTTTTTATAAAAAATGTTTTTGTTTATTTTTATTCAAAATTAAAAGCCAATTAATGTTGATATTCTTCATATTATTTTATTAATCATATTAAAAACATATTTAGACTATAATTTATAAATTTTAGTACATTCCAATGAAATTTTTTTAATTTTTTTGAAAATTATAATTGGATTCAAAATCACATCAAACACTACTCAACTCTACTATCATTAAACACGTGGACTTGTATATCAGAATCAAAGTTTATCACTTTGTAAATATTTATGTAATATTATTTAGTTTAGTTTGTGATTTTAAATTTAAGTTACAGCCAATATACAATGTTAAATATTTGTAAAAAAAAATACTGTTTATGATAATTTTATTTAACTGATATATATATATATATATTTATAATTTAAATTAAAAAATTCTAAATTAAAATTTACAAAAACAACACAAAGTGATAATTTAATCGAAATTTTTTTATAAAAATTTTATCCAAATTTTTGTATTGATTAACTATCAACTAAATTATTATTATTATTATTTACCATTTTAAAATAACCATTTGTCGAGAAAAAAAAACCCTTTCATGATGCATGGTTAAACGTGTATCAATCACTTTTCGGCTGTTTTTTTTAGTTTAATTATTTTTCAGTTAAATTATTACACATTTACAAATTTTATTCAAATATACTATTAGCTTACAATATGTTTTCAAACCATTTAATAAATTTAACATCTTATATATTTTTTTTAAACGATTTTTCTAACCGTATAATACGAACATACTAAAAATTTATATATAATCAATTTTATTAAAAATCAAAAACTTTCATATAATTTAATTTATATATTTTAAACATGATAATTTTAGTAAAATTTATTATTTATGAATTTTTTACTGCATGTCATTTTGTAAGGGTTAATTTGTTTATTTATCAAATAATACAGTAATATGTTTTTTTTGTATGCAAACAATGTATTAAAATTTAACACCTTTAAACTTTATAACTTTTTTCCACCTTATGAATCCTTCTTTTTTTTAATTCACTTTTTATACATTCAAAATTCAAAGTAACAAATGTAATGTTTTACAATCCATATCAATGTTTAAAAAAAAACGTAATGATTCCTCTAACTGCTGTTTTCGATGTTGTCGAAAATAAAAACATGTCTACCCGGTTACCAGTAGTGATCAATTGACATCGTTCACAATTCAATGCTGTTCATAAATTGCAATTATCCCATTGTAACCTAATTTCTTAGTTTTTCGATGGGTTGAAGTATCTGTTACCAACGAATATAAATTCAACGAAGCCAACTTATCATACATACAAGTCAAAATTTCAAAACCAACGCTCAATCGAGTTAAACTTGTCATCAGTAATGGGGCAGATTATACCTATGATTAATAAAGGAAAGCACCGTTTAATTGTTTGATTAAAGTCAATACAAATTATTTTTCATAAATAGGGTCGGTGATAACGATTTGATTGATTAATACGAGTAGTAACATGCAAAAGATTTGCATTAATTGAGCTTGATGTAAAAATATTAATCATAGTTTATATATATTTGGACGGTACTAATTATATATAAATAGTTAGTTTTTTAATTATAGGATCATTTAAAAAACTACGTGATTTTTTAAAAAATTATTATACAATTTAAATATTTTATTCTCTAACTCTCGTATAAAAGTAATTTTTTTGCTATAAATACATTTTATATAATATAACATGTGCTTTTTAAATTTTAGTATAGTCCAATTTTACTCCTTTCATAAGTTGAGTGTGATTTAATTATGTTTGAACAATTGAATTGCTGGCTTATGCGATTGATTTTTGTATCAGTTTAAAAATATGATTAGATAATAATAATACACCTCTGTGTTTATTATAAACAAATTAAGCAGTGAGAGACTTTATTTATCGAAATTGAAAAGGGAAAATAGTGTTGGAAAGAGGAAAAGGATGGGGAGAAGTTGAAGATAAGGAAAAGGACAAGGAAAATAAAGATGAACCTTTGGTAATAATATAAAATAAGGTCTGTAGAATGAAAAGAAAGGGCGTGCCGAGAAGCACGAGAATTGACACTTCCAAAAGATCCATGAAAGATTTGGTGGGTGACACTTGAAATTAGAGTGTGAGGACCCCAGGACCAGGGGGGAACACTCACATAAAGTTCATGCAAAGTCCCCATCATTGCCGTTTCATCATCCATGATGTGATTGTAAGCCACTCCAAATTCAACTCCATAAATAATTTGATTCAAATCCATATAAGAAAGATAGGAGGAGAGAAAATTAAGGATGAAAGCGATGTAAGCACAAGATTATAGTCCCATAAGGGGAAATATGTAATACAGATAAATCAAGTAAATATACTCATAGATCCTCTCCATTTTGCAAGTGAATATGAACTTGTGGCTGGTCGCTTCATTAATTCAATAATATTATATTTTCACAACTAGTTAAAGAAGAGAAAAAAGGGTGAGCTTTCTTTAACTTTTGTGCACCTCTTGCGCAGTGATTGACATTGTTTTGTTGAGTTACAATGTGTATCATTTGATTCAGTTTAATGAAGTGATGTTTACTTATTTGGAAAATGACAGCATATAACTTTTGTCCCCCATATTTCACCTTTTTTCAATACTAATTTGTAAATTTTTGTGAAACCAACTGTGGGACAGTAATTTCCTTTTGGTTATTGATGTGCTTCGTAATTTCATTTTTAATGTTATTGAATATTAAACTTAGGTAAAGTTGAGTTGATATGACTAATATTAAATCATTAAATATAATTAAGACATGTTATATTTTAAATTTGAAACATGTGTCACAATAATAGAAATTGAGTTCTAACTATTTACCGAACATGTACTTACCCTCTAAAATTATATGGTTGAAAAAACTTGAGTCTTAAGGTCAATTTCACAAAAGGCAACCTAATTTTCTTTTTCGTGAAAACTTTGGTGAAATTTTGTTATAATAAAAATATTAAAAATTTCGTAATTTTATTTTGGGCAACATTTATTATAATAAATTATTAAAAAAAATGTGGATGAAATAATATATTTATTTGACGACAAATAAAATAGGGATGGTTAGGATTTTTAAAAATGGTTGAGAAGTGAAGATGGAAGGGGGCATCCATAAAAGGGACGGGGGACAGAGGGAAGGGAGTCACGTGGGGAACACATTGGAATTCACGTGCAGAGGCATGTCATGTTGTGCCACGTGGTCCCATGATTGCACCCGTGCGTGTCACTTTGTGTCTTCTTAACCAGACACGCAATCTCTCAACAATCATTGGATACCCTCTTCATCTCTTCCCTTTCTTTCACACGCTCCTTCTTTCCTCGTGCTTTTCACTCCTCTTTCTACCCCTTCTTTTAACTGCACAAATTAATAAATTCATAAATAATATTCTTTTATTGCAAAATATAATTATTAACTTCACTTTTTAATATCAAATTTAAGGAACTAATAAAAATATTATTTTAAAACATTTAAACTCAACCGTCTGCATTAAAGTATAATCTTATTACAATGCATTTAGTTCTTTTTATAAGACTCTTGGACATGTATTAAAAAAATTAAGAGACTGGATTAATATTTTTTTTTTTTAATTTCTCGTTGTTAATTTTAATTACAAAACTATCACATTATTTTTGTAACATTTAATGTTTAAAAATATTTATATAATAAACATTCAAAATAATTTCTTTCCCCTTTTTATTGTTTCTATACAATTTTTATAAAATATAAAGCAACCTAAAATTAAGGTGGTGAAATTTATAATTAAAAATAAAAAACAGAAAATAATTTTTAAACCAAATAAGCTTGCATAATAATTTTTTGTATGATAATTTTTTATTAAAAACTATAAATTTTAATATAATTTAATTTAGAAATGTCATTAAAAATTATAATGTTAATATAAATTTATAATTTATTATTTTATTATATGAAATGTTGAAAAAAAAAACATTTTAATAGACCCATTATACACGTAATTGTTAAATTTGACATTAATTTCTACAACTCTCAGTGTGTGTTCATATTTGATTGTTTTTATAGATAACGAAAATTTTAAAATACTATTTATTTTTATTTAGTAAATTTCAAAAAATTAACTTATAATTTAAAAAAAGTATTTAAGATAAATGAAATTTTGGAATTTATGATTAAAATGTTCTTACTTATTGGTTAGTTTACTTTTTTTTTTTCATTTTATCTTTTATTACTGATTATTTTAAACACAACAAAAAATATCTTACATGATTTAATATATTTTTTATAACTTTATCTATAAAAAATTGTTATTTATACGATTTAAACATAATAAAATAATTTTAAATTAACTCTCAATTATCACATTTAAATGTAAATTTTATATTGTTTAGACTATTATTACAATAATTTATTTATTTTTTAGTTAATTCAAACCCATACATATACTTTTATATTCATTATTTATAATATTATTTATTATTTTATTCTTTATCCAAAAATAAAATTTATTTTTTAATATAAATTTCTATTTTTTATCCACTGACATGATCTATTATAAAATACTAATAAAAATTAGGTATAAATTTATGTAACATGGTGTACAATTCATTTTTCAATTAAAAAGTTGTTACATTATTTTAATAATTTTTAAATATTTTATAAAATAAGTATCAAGTTATATATAATATTATTTTAAGAGTATAAAATGCATTTATAATTTAGTATTTTTAAGTAATATGATATTTTTAAACAGTAGCTTTTCAACTTATAGTAATTAAACAAAATTATAATTTAAGAAAAAAAAATCTTTAAACATGAAAGGTTGGTTATTTATACACATGTTTATTTATAATTTTTTTCTTTCAATTTAAATGTTAATTTAGACAAACCTCTTCCTTTTTACATTTATCATTAACATTGAGTATACCTTTACTACTATGTCTCTTATTTCATCATGGACTGTTGAGTTTGATCTCAAATTTTTTTCCCTTTCACACACCACTTTCTTATCTTCTTTATTGATCATCGAATTAACAACATAGTGTAAGAGAAGGAGATTGGTGTGACAAAAATGACAGTGCCATGAGAAAAAAGCAAAATATCAATACAAAAAGGTAAAAATTGTGGTTCCAATGAGAGAAAAGATGGAGGTGTTATGAAAAGTGAAATCATTGGGCACATTTAAATGTTTCTTCTAGTTTTCCTCTAAGGTGGTTCATAGAGAAGTGATATAGGATGGGGAATGTGCTAAGTATTTCAGGGGAAATGTTTCCTTTTGAACAATTACACATGTCCATTCAATGAGATGTAACTAAAGCACAACATGGAAGAACATTGCCATCAACAATAATGTTAACATGCATAAAGGCTCTCATGACTAATAGAAGAGCAATTCCACAAAGTTAGAGATAGTAAACGTGACATTGCCACTTTAAGGAAATGTGAAAAGGAAGAAAGTTAAGTGAAGGTTCAAATGTACGAGCTCGATAGTGTGTGTTAGAGAAGCTAAGGAATGATAATAAATAATGTGAAGAAAAGGATGTGGAGGAGAAAATTGAAATAAAATCTTTATAAAAAAAATAATGAATAGTGTATAAATAATACCGGTAGTAAATTACGAATAAAATTAAAGTAAGTAAAAAATGAATTAAAAAATATCAATTCACAAAATATCAATTGCGTATAACTCTGACTATCATATGATCTAAAAATTTAAATCCACGTTTGAATAATCACTTAATTCAATTATTAATTTAATCTAATAACTTAATTGAATAAAGTTACGAATTAAATCAAATAATCATTTAACCTAATTCGCATTAATTATCAAATTAGAGTATCAATCGAGTCCTAATTTGAAATTTAACAACAGAAAAGTCAATCACAATCGCAATAAATAATTTTGATATTAGAGAAAAAAAAAAGAACAAACTCTAAGCAAATAGTGCAGAACTCAAGTCGAAACTACAGCGTTTGGATTATGCGAATTGAACGAGAGGTTTAGCCTTCAATTGAAACACTTAACCTACGCAAGAATGAGAAAAAAATGAGAGGGTTCGAGAGAAAGTAAAAACAAGGATTCTTATTTTGGCCTAGTCTCAAAAGCTTAAAGTGTCTAATCACTCTCTAATTCATAACCTTATTAGTCTATTTATAGGTTCTCATTAGGGTAAATTAAGTGGCTAAAATGTGGGCCTCAATACTATCTAAAAGTCCAAATATAATTATTAAATAACAAGGGTCCAAATGTAATTTCGCAACAATATTCAGCAACTCTGCCTCAAATTCAAAAAATTATAAAAAATAGAAAACAACTCCAAATTCAGTGATCCATATATACATTTTGAAGTTATGGATGTGTAGAATCTAATACAACTAGAATCATCCAAAATTGATATCTGTAGAAAAAATTATGGTCAAAAGAGTAGTTAGATGTGAGAATAATTGAAAATTTAAAATTAAAGTATTTATTTGTAATAGGCCTAATTTATTTAAATAAGTAGAAAATGGTAAAAATTATAAAAATAAAACATATAAAAAGTATTTATTAATAAATAAAAAATATTAAACATAAACATAAAATATGTTACATTATCAATACTTTATTCATTTATCTAAAAAGTAATATAAAAATAAAAATAAAAATAAAAATAAATAATTTTTTTATTAATTACTAATAAAGTGTATGTTAAAAATTACATTGAGTTTTGATATAATTTTTTTCTCAATAAAATTCAATGTTATTTATTTATTTATTTATTTTAAATTATATTTAATTAAATTACACATTTAATCTTTATAATTAGCATATTTTTATAAATTAAATATTTTATTTAGTTTTTATTCTAACATTTTATTACCTTTTATACTAATTTTTGTTTTTTTTTCCTCATTTTTCTATGTTATTAACTAAGTCAAAAACATTTTTATTTTTTAAATCTAAGAACTTGAAAATCTATTTTTTTAATTAATTTATATATCTCTTTTCTCTGTTTTTATTTAAATATAATTTCTCCTGAATTTACTAATGTGACAAAAGCCATCTAATTAATTAACCGTATTTATATAAAGATTAAAAAAATTAAATTTTTAAAAATAAAAAATTAATTTATAAATAAATATTAATTATACGAACAAATATATATATTAAGTTTTTTTAATTTTTATTATTAAATATGTAGTTTTGAGTTTAAATTATAATAAATATAATTATATCAAAGTGAATTTCAGTGATATTAAATATTTAAAATTTCAGTGACATTGTCTAAAAGAATTTTAAAAATATTTTTTTAAAAATCAAATAGCGTTTGTTGTTTTTCTCTCGTTGCCGTCCCCTGAAATAACCCTGACGCACTACTGTCACGAAACCCTAATCAAAACTACTCAAGGTTCACGACAGAAACCCTAATTCCCAAATCGCATCCAAATAACCCAAATATCTCCGCATATGAATTGATTATCTGTCAACCCAAATCGAACCTTATTCAGTGTTCCCATCTTCTAACTTTTGCATCTGAGCTCCCTGACTAAACCTTAGACTTCCTCAGCCCCAACTTCCCTGTTCCCTCAGACAATCTCAAAGTGAACTCCCAGTCGCAGCCGTCAGCTCGTGGACGACGTTCTTCGCGGCGTGGCTTCTTCTGTAAAATCCTTTCGCAGTTTGTAAGTAGAATATAGCATTTTGATTACTATATTTGAGGTTATGCATAGTTTCTTGCTTTTTTTTTATTAATGATTGTATAGTATTGGTTTGGTGCTAATTTAGGTGCACAATCAAATGGACAAATTTACTTTTTTATTCTTCATTGGCACCTGTAACAGTGGTTAGCTAATTACTACTTTTTAAATAGATATGCAATGTGATATATTTTTTTATTTTATTTTTTATTTAGGAATGAAAATGGAGTTATCCGCCAAGAAATCTAAAAAAAGAGGAAAAATTGACAGTGATTCTGACGATTACAATAATATGGAGTACGAAGAGGTATGCATTGCTGCAAAATTTAAGATTTCATATATCTTGTATGTCCTTAGTGATTTCCTAGTGAATTGTGATTAATTTTCCCGATGTAGGTGGAGGATGATTATAATGATAGTGAGGAGGAGGAAGAGGAAGAAGATGGAGAAAAGGTAACGGATGAGGAAGAAGATGGGACAGGAGAACATAGTGAATGGAAAAATGATGAGATGGAACAGCTTGAGAAAGAGTATAGGGATCTTCATCACCAGGAGCTGTAAGATTCCTTCTAACATTTGATATACATTTAGTTTATATTGGAATTTGAGCATTAATTTGTATTATATTGCTGTTTCCAAATTTTGGAAATATGTCACTATCTTGGACTTGTTTCAGTGAAGTCTTTGTTTTTGGTTTAATGCATTTGTTTTACTATTGTTCTTTGTGTTGAGCATAATTTTAATTTTGCATCAAAGATCAAATATAGATTGCTGTATCAAATGTAATAAAGAAAAACGTCTGCTTGATTGGTGTATAGATCTTAAAATGTGAATAAAGGTTGTCTCAGATTAACATTATAGATATGTTTTCACTGCATATTTTAATCTGTTTATTTGTTGTTAGTATTAGGCAAACTAAAGAATCATACTCTTGGAATAACAGACAGATCATGATACAATGATTGTTTGCTAAGGTTTTCAGATATGCAGATATGATTGTATTAATATTTATCTTCCTAATCTATGACAATTGGCAGACTAGGATGCTCTTTCATTATTAACATTTTTGTCTTCTATATCTTGTATTATTTACCAATGACACCTTCCTTTTTTACTCAGTTCTCACATTTGTTCATAAGCATTGCAAAATATCTGCAAGATATTGCTTTCCCAGATACATTAATGTGGAATGTTGCAGTAGCTTTGGTGCTAAGTAATATATTAATGTGAGAATTCTAGTCAGCTATCAACCTGATGGTTCATGAGTTGTCCTACTGACCGTTATTATTAGTTCTTTCTATGAATGACTTGAGTTATGGTGAATCTATTATAATATTTCCCTTTTTTTAGTCTATAAGATTCTGTGGATTCTGAAATATCTCAAATTTAAATTTTTCTACCTTCAGAGATACTTTGAAGAACTTGAAACATCATAAGGAAGAAGATCTTCTTAAGGGTCAAGCTGTGAAGAACCAGAAGGTATGATTTTATTATTTCACTGTGGTACAAGAATTGTGTTTAGTGATTTTTTCCATTTATTTAATTGTCTGTCTCCCCATTTGCTTTTTACTGTAGTAAGTTGAAAAATGTTTATTAGCTCTCAATTCATATATTGATGTTGTCAATTATACTTATCACCTTTACTTCCGTATCATTTTAGTGGTTCTGTTTTGTGTTATGAGTTTGTAATACCATCATCATAATTTGTTTTACCTGAAGGCCCTCTGGTACAAAATTCTTGAGCTTAGATTCTTACTTCAGAAGTCATTCTCAAGTTCAAATAGGTTACCCCAGGTATTTTCCTTCCTCAGTTTTAATGTGATTTGGATGAATGTATTTTATCATGTCTGAATGTCAATAGCAAAACATGGTAAATTGCCTGCAGGAATCAGTCAAGTCTTTGTTCTGTGAATCAGATGAGACAGTTAGAGAAGCATATTCAGATCTGATGATTTCATCCAAAGAGACTTTAGATTCTATATTGGAACTGCAAGAGGTGCGATTTTTGCAAGGAAATTTAAGTAAAAAAAAAAGTAAAGAATGAGAAATATTTTTCATGTTGTATCATATCCATTTATTAATGGACAAGGCTTGTTTGTTGTTGGATGCAGTTCCATTTCTATATTTCTTCAACTCTTGTCATACAATAATTATGTTGTTATATATATATATAGTAATATATTTGACCTCCAATTTCATTATTCACTGATCTATTTCCTTTGTTCCAGGCTATGTTTGCCAAGAATCCATCAATTACTCAGGCCACTGATGGTAACTAGTTTCTTTATTTTTCTTGTTTCCCTTTCTTGTTCATTCATTGATTTATCTGTCTTGTTATCTTTTTGTACTCGGTTGATACCTTGTTTATTGTGATGCTTGTGGCATATCTTTGGAGTAATTATTGGGGGTTACATAGAATTGCACAATCCCTGCAAGAAATGGTAAGCTAGCATTGTAGTTGCTTTAGGAATATGGATTTGGTTCAAGGGATTTATCTTGTTTTCTCCTTTTCTGAAGTACCTTTTATATGGACCACACTTTAGTATTATGTAGTTCAATCATATAGCAAATTAACAACTTTCACATTTGGAAGACTTTCATGAGATGTCACCAAGTTCCATATAGCAGCTTGGTTAATGAAGGTGAACAAGTTTGTCAAGCAAGAATAGACATCAAGCTGAAAATAGTTGGAAGAATTGAGAGAAGAAAAAGTTGGAAGCGGGGCACGATTCTGTCTGAAGTTGAAAAATAAGGTTTTGCTAGGGAAGGAGAAATATATGGGTGGAATAGTTTTCTGACTATCCACTTAATCTACACTGTATACTTTACAATTAGGAAGGGGGTTTTCCATTTGGTGTGCTATTTTCCTGCCTAAGCGCAAATTGTTTCTATGGTGGAAAGCAAATAGAGAAATGTCCAAACAAACAATAAGAGTCCACCACTTGTTATCTTCTCATTTTAAGAGTTAATTGAATTTAGATGTATTACAATTTCAAGTCAATTTCATTCCGTTCTTTTTTCTTTTGGGTGTTAATGGTTTCTAAGTTGAACAATTAAAAAAATTATCATGCTATTATTCTTGTGACACACGGACACTTGACAAAGTTTTCTCAAAGCCTTAAAGATTGGTATAATAATATTTTTTGGGGGGTAGAGGATCATGTAGGCCTATAGTTGATTGTAGGTCAAACCGTGATAAATTGTGTCTATTTTCCATTTCCCTATTTACTGTTGGCCCACCTGGTTCAAAACTCTCCACACTTGCCTTTGTCATCTCTAAGACAATCTTAAGAAAAGCATGATTCATATTGGAGATTTTATAATATTCTAACATGACTTTTAATATTGGCATATTGCTTGAACTTTGAGTAATGTTTCAATGTAACAAGCTTTTTCACCCCTCTTCTTAAAGGTTTGGAAAGGTCATCAAAAGATTTAGAAGTTTCTAAGCATTTGGATGGCGATCTTGATCAAGAGTGGTCACAGATTTCTCAGATGCACAAGAGGTTTTTTATGATCTTCTAACTGCACTATTATTCTGCATTGCATTCATTTTGTCAAGATGCTGCAGCATTGAGACTTCTAGCTTTTATTTCATGAGTCTCTTCTTTTAATAATGCTTGAAACTTCTCAAATTATACATTTTTTTACTTCATCTGCATTTCTATCTTAACTATGTTGTCATATTTGTAAATGCATGTGATGCTATTCATGATTGCATCTTGCAGTTTAGCATCATTCAGAGACAAGTCAATCAACAAATGGCAGAGGATGACACAAGTGACAACTGGTGCTGCTGCCATTAAGGGAAAATTGCATGCTTTTAATCAGGTCAGGTTCTTTAACTGGACTTGGGATTCTATTATGTGATAGGCAGGTTATTTTACTACTGATTTTGTTGCCCCATCACAGGATATTAGCAATCAAGTTGCTGCTTATATGAGGGATCCCAGTAGGATGATCAAGCAGATGCAGCTGAGAAGATCAGCTGTTAGTATATTTGGATCTGTAAGTCTTTCTCTTAATCTTAAATTGTTTTAAAACGTGCTGCAGATTCCATAGTAGGCTGAAGCGGGCATAACTATAAGCAGTATCTTATGTTAAAAGCTGATTTATTTACTTTTGTCATTGTCTGGCATGGCTCCAGGTTTCAGAGGTTGGTGACAACTATCAAGAAGTGGTAAGCCTTATACACAGCTAATTTCTGAGTGTTTAGTTGTTATTACTTATGTGCTGGTGTTCAGAAGGCAATATCATTTTGTGGGGTTTAGCGTGTTGCTTACCCTTCGGTCTTGAATTGTTCCCTTTTCAAAATTTCAATTTTTATGGTACACATGCAGTGATAAAAATGGTGTAAAGAAATTAGACTATTGCATAAAGACTTATTTATGAGGATGTCAAGAAATTTCATTTTGCCAACTACTTTATGAGGTTCCTTCGCACCGGACATTGTAATTTGGCTGAGACCTTGCCTTGCCTTATTTTTGTCTTTTGCTTTCTACCATGGTTCATCCATATCAAAGTATGTGAGGTTGGGTTTAATTGCCGTTACTGTCCACATGCTTTTTTTTTTAAACGTAGCATGCTTTTAAGTTTGCTTGGATCAGATGTATTTTGTGGTATTTATGGAAGCTAGGAAGAGGATGAAAGGTTTCAATTTTGAGGCACGCTTGAAAGTGTGTCTAAGTAGGCAATCTTTTGTTGGTGGTATATGTTGTCAATTTGATTCTTAGTATTCAAATAGGTACTACTGCATGACTTAATTTTGAATTTGACTTTGCAGGAGACACGAACTAATGGTGATCCTGAACTACTGGACGACTCTGAATTTTATCAGCAATTATTAAAAGAATTTTTTGAGACAGTTGATCCCTCATCATCTGGTAAACACTTTCTATTTGGGTTATTAATGTTTTTATAATAATATTTCTAGTGCAATTATCTGGTTTTCCCTGTGTTACCACTCCCAAAACAATCAGCTCAAAATTTTCTGGGGTTGGAATCCGAATATGTGTTGCTTTTTCCCCACGACATAATTGTCAGTTACCTCCCTGAAATAAAGATTTAACTGATATTTTTTTAAGAGTGCAAGTTCATTCTCTCATTTTCTGCCGTTTTCTTTTACAGAGAAAGCATTTTATTCTTTGAAGAGAATGCAAACAAAGAAACGAAAAGTTGTTGATCGCCGAGCCTCAAAAAGTCGCAAGATAAGGTATTGAAAGATCAGTACTATTTTTCCCCGCTACCATTGTCATATATATATATATATATATATGCAGTCATTTATTAACTGAATAATTTTTTGATGAAGGTATAATGTTCATGAAAAGATAGTGAATTTTATGGCTCCTCTACCCGCCAACGTTCCTCCTATGGCTCCGAAGTTATTTGAGAATCTTTTTGGATTGAAGACACAGAGATCATCTGCTGCAGCCTTATAATCATGGTTGGCGGACCTATAGATATATTGGCTTCACAGCTTTGCATATGTTGCAATAGTTTGTCTCCGATATGATGTTATGTTTACTTTTACAAGTCGGCTCCATCAAATTCATTATATAGGGAGAGATTTTTTCTTGTTGAGGGATTTGGACCTGAGATTGTAACTATGTCCAAAATGCTTTGGGCATTGGGTCAATTATGATAAATTTCTCAACAAGATTTTGAGAGTAAAAATTAAATTGAAAAATAAAGATCTTATGTTTTTATATTATTTTAGCTAATTTAATTTATAGTTTTAGGGAATAATTTTTTAAAATATGAAAAAAAATTTACTTATTTTTTATATGTATATTTTTTCTTATAATGACTTGTTCAAAGCTCATTCAGACTAGGCTTTACTTATATTGTGGGAATTCATTTTTAACGCTTTCTTAAATTCAACTGGTTCAATTTAGTTCAGTTGAGTTTTTTTCAATCATTAGCCTGGTCTTTTTGGGAAATTTTTAAAAAAGTATTTTACCATTTTGGATTTTTTGGTCAACTCTTCAAGTTATAAATAAGTTGGCTTTTTTGGTCACTTAATAAGTTGGTTTCATGGTTGGTCGGCTCACTTTTCTTTTTGGGTCGATGTGAGCGCACTTTTGAACATATTTATTAATACTTTGCATTAGGCTGGGGGAATCTGAATTTTAGAGCCCCTTTGGTTTTTTACCAAAATCAATTTTGTATATCATGATGCAAATTGTAGACAAAAGATTGAAACACATTTTAATATTAAATTTATGATTAAGAATAGATTAGATACACATTTTAATTACATTTCATAATTTGAAATTAATTTGATAAATATTTAAAACAAACAGAAATGTAACTGTTCAAGCAATCTTTCAAACCTTGGGGCTTCGTCAATGAGGCTTGGATGACTGTGATAATCCTTTTGAAGGTTAATAGGGCAACGAAGGTTGTAAAATGTTCTGAGAACAATGATTTAGTATAAAGTATTTTAATGTAAATATTTGTCTAATTGTTAATATAAAAATTATTATATACGGGAATTTACTTTTCATTTAAATATTTTTTAGAATATTGAGATTTTTTTAATCTTCTGATACATTAATATTTTTTTTTATTGAAGGATGATTTAAATGACACTAAGTTATGAATGACAATAATAGATATTAAATAAAATTATTTAATTAAGAATAAAAAGAATTCTGGTTTAATATTTATCATGTTTAATTTCCTAACGAGTTCTTTAAAATGGTAACTAACTAATTTTTTTATTTCTTAATCTGCGTTTAATTAATATCCATTGACAAAATATTACTTTATAACTTACTATCTGTTAACATTTTCTATTTTTAATTATCAAGACAATCAATACAATTTTTTTAAGAGTTTTAATTAACAAATATATTAGAAGAACTAATTAGAAAAAACATAATCTTTGATATTTATGAATTTTTTTCTGAAGATAAAATGCTTTTTGTTTTCATTTTTGAATAATTAATATTTTAAGTACACTAAATAGTATATATTTTTTCTCTTATTGTGCGACTAAAATCTTACGTCAACTTGAATGACGTCTCGTAGGTATGTAATATTGTATCATCACTCTTGTTATGGAAAGCTGCTGCACAAATCAAAATCCCTCACCCCAATAAATATGTTAGTAAAAGGGTGTTCATATCCCCTTCCATTTCATCAATTCCTCCTAACTTAATTGTGACGAGTTTAAATTATATTTTGGGTAATCTTAAATTGACTTTGTATCTTTTTTTTTATAAATTTTTTATCTTAATAAATTATACTTTATATAATATAATATATTACATTTATACGATTTGTTTTTAAAAAAGTATACTGTAAAATGTATTTTAATTTTCCATTTTTAATAATATAATATGATTCTGCATACTGTCAATATCAATATATTAAGTCTACAAATTAAATCAATTCAGCTTCATCTCATATATTATCACATATTGATCAATTTAAATTAAAATAAATAATATAAAAAATTAAGTTGAGTTGAGATTAAAACAAACTTAGTGTCACTTGTTTTATGAACACTTGAGGCAAGTAACTATTGTGTAACCAAGTTTTAAACGTAATAGCCTCTAATTAAAAATACGATAAATTTGTTTAAGAGAATTTTTTTATTTAAACTTTATTTAAATTGTATAATTTGATGAGACACTTATAATAATCTATAATAAAATAATGGTGTTATTAAGCACTTAGATGATCCAAAGTTAGCTCATAAAATAAAGATTATTCTAACTTTTATGAGAAATATTTTAATTCTATTTTTAACTAATGTGTGATATTTTATATATCTCCTCATGTTTACAAATAGACATATGTGACAGTATAACATTCAAATTGAATAGTTAAACTGTAAATTTTACACACTAAATATCTAATTTTAAAGGTGAAAGGAATGTGTTAAAATATCTCACATTAGCTAGAAATAGAGTTAGAATACTTTTTATAAAAGTTATGGTAATTTTTTTCATAATCTAACTTTTGAGAATAAATTCGGTACAAGTTTCTCAACTATGTATATAATGTTAGATGCATAAAATTAACATAGCAATTTTTTTTATCCTTTTCATAGAAAATTTTCTGTGGTTTGAGATTATATATTTTTGATCATTTACACAGTAACTCATGCATTTTTTTTCAAATTATAAAATTTTGATACATATTTCAGTATACTCAAGCAATAAATTTTCACTCTTCCCTAATAATAATAATAATAATAATAAAAACAACCTTTAACATTACAAAGGCTACATCTTTATAAGCTATTAGGAGACTTCACTAATTGTTTGGAAGACAGACTCTATTTTTTTGAATTTTAGCGAGACTCTATCATTTTTATTGTTTCCTTTGTTTTGCTAAATAAAGATAAATAATAAAATATAAAGTACAGATGTATTTTAAAAAGTTTTCAAAATTATTAAATTAGAACAATAAGTTAATTAAATTATTTAAAATAATAAAAAATAATGTAACGGTGTAAGAGAATGTGAAAATAATTTCTAACAATTTTAGACTTGGATCTTAAACAGGCAATTGGGTTGGTTTTTGAACTTCAGGAATTGATCTTAAAGGTTTAGAATTTTTAAAATATTTTATTATCTATTATTTTAACTTAATAACTACATATGTATACGATTAATAATTTATTTTAACCTGCAAATCAAGTTTTTTATTCTCAAAACAAATAATGTAAATTTAAGATATTAAGTTTTTCAAAGTTCTCTATACCTATACTTTATTTGCGTATATTATTATTATGTTTAAAGATGAATTAATATTGTACTCCTACAAATATCTTTACCCTTGAGAAAAAAAAAGGGAAAATTGTAAAACAATTTCTGGTCTAATTACTATTAATATAAATATTTCATTTTGGCCTTCTTAGACATTCTTCGACCGCAAATATCATTTTCTTCTGTTGTCTGCTTTTCTAAAACTAAACCTATGAACACTTTTAAATTAGATCTAATAATACAATTTTTTAACATACTTTTTATTATTAACTAAAATTTATTAAAAATTATAAAAATATAAAAAATCAAATTAAAAATAAAAAATAATTTTTTAATAAATTTTAACTAATAATAAAAAATGTATTAAATCTATTGGGCAATGAACATTTGGATGGGATTCATGTGACAGGCTTCACTAACAAATATCAAAAGTAGTGAAGCCCTAAAGAAATCCACAATAAAAGTAATGAGAGAAATATATATTTTTTAATATTTTTAATTATTAATTAAAGTTATAAAAAGATAAAATTATTAAATTAAGAATGAGACTTTATGAAAATATTAACGAGGTAACCCTGTTAATAGATTTTTTTTGGTTTATCAATCGTTTGAAGAACTTATGAAAGGACTTTTTTATTTAAATAATGCTTTTTTAAAAACAATTTCTTAAAATAGGTATATTTTAAAACTAATTCCCTGTCTGGTGCTTTTTTTTGCCAACTCAGCAGCAGTATCGCACATGCATAAACGATAGTAAATTTTTATTATTATTTTAATAGAGTATCGTTCTAATATTACCGATACTAAATTAAAAATTGACACTTGTTAAAATCGCATGAGTATCGGACAAAATAAAACGATAATACATTTTTATTATTATTTTAATACATTATCGTCGTCCAGCGTTCGATACTCACATTTTTTTTAATCAATTTTAATCTTATCGTCACAAATTAACTGATACTCATTTTTTTTTATTATTTTAAAATTCTATCGCCTCAAAATTTTCGATACTCATATTTTTTATATGATTGATGTTCATGGTGTTGACGAGAAGCTGCATCCATTGTGTCAAATACTGTATCCTGTAATGGAATAGCCGGATGAAAATTATCAAGTAAATAAGTTAATGACCATATAGCTAACCATTAGAAAAGTTTATTAATATTGGGGCAAAATGCTGGGAAAATATTGGACAATACGAGGAGATGTGGATTCTGAAACCCATCAACAAATCTAAAATATTTTAACGGTTTTTCTAACGTGTTTAAGAACACAAAATATAAACTTATATATAATGTTTTTATTAAACTGATATTTGAAACCATATAAAAATAAAAATAACATTGCCTGGAAGTAAGCATAACTTTTGGTGGAACCATCAAGCTTGTTCAGTTTTAAATTCCAACGTAGATCCTTTAAATTGATTCGATTGTGCACGCATCAGAGCAGGGGTAATCTTCAAATTGACAACCTCAGCATATGTACAGTCCAACAGGCTAGAGGAATCACAAATTAGGCTTGCGATTTTGTAACGACAATGGATGCAGCTCCTCATCAACACCATGAACATCAATCATATAAAAAATATGAGTATAAAAAATTTTGAGGCGATAGAATTTTAAAATAATAATAAAAAAATAAGTATCGGTTAATTTATGATGATAAGATTAAAATTAATTAAAAAAATGTAAGTATCGAACGCTGAACGACGATAATATATTAAAATAATAATAAAAATATATTATCGTTTTTTTTGTCTGATATTCATGCGATTTTGACAAATGTTACTTTTTGGTTTAGTATCGGTAATATTGAAACGATACTCTATTAAAATAATAATAAAAATTTATTATCGTTTATGTATGTACGATATTGTTGTTAAGTTGGCAAAAAAAAGCACCCGACAGAGGATTAGTTTTAAAATATACCTATTTTAAGAAATTGTTTTTAAAAAAGTATTATTTAAATAAAAATGCCTTATGAAAGTGTATTTTTTTTTTCTTTTTGTTTTGCCGGCTATGATTTTCTTCGGTCGGCATATTAGTATCATCTTTGTTGTCTGTTTTTGCAACCACACTTGTGTGGCACCATTCAAGATTTCTTGGTCAGATCTTGGTGTAATCCTTTAATTAAAAGCACAGAGAAATTTCACTTTTGGGATATGCCACATCACTCTTATTATAAACAGCAGCCGCAAAAATGATAATGTTTCATTAGTGAATAATGTGAACTTGAATAGTTAATGTGTGGCAGTGTTGCATACGCAACCCTCTAATTAAACTTCCATGCAACTTTCAAATGAACATACATAAACCAAAATTAATATAAAATAAGCACTAATGTCTTTGTGAAATCTCATTTCTTCAGCCTTCATATAATCTATAGTCAACTAACTAGCAACTAGCAATTGGTGAGTGAGACACTTGAAATGACATCTGTGGGCAATAAACATTAGATGGTCAGAAACGGTGGCTGTCATCCAACTTCAAATAATTAAGCCTTCAGAAATCCACCTCAAAGGTAGAGATTCGTTTGCATAAATTCAGTGAATTTAATTTTTGTATTTTACTATATATGTAGTTCAGATCTCTTATTCCATTGATATGTATATATTAATAAAATATATAAAAATTAAGAAAGATAATTTTATAATTAGATATGACATAAAATAAAATGTATATAAAGGAGAGAAAATAGTAATATTAAATAATTTTATATTATTCCAATATAATAATAGGAAAGTAATAAGGGAATAATAATTGGTGACTGATTTGATTCCTTTCATCCGTTGATATAATGGTGAATGAGGGAGTGAAAGATGGTATGTTGGAGCAAACTGAGAGTGAGAAAATATATTATGGACCAGGCTAGGGAACAAATTGTGTAAAAATAATAATTGTATGATATCATGCATTTATGAATATTTAAAATTTTAAAAATAATAATTGTGTAAAAATGATAGCCCACACCGTATTAATGATATTTTAATTAAAATTAAATTATTTGAATAGGCACTGAATCACTTAAAAATGCCATATGAAGTTTTGAAAAATTGCATAGTTTATATATTTTAATTATGATTATTTATGATAAATTTAATAATTGTAAAAACTATATAATTTCTCAGTTGATCTATTCTTGATCCATGATTTACCTATTTTTCTATTGGGCTATATGTGGCAACCAGCAGACGCATGAAAAAAAAAGAAGGTGAATATTGATAAAAAAAGTGAGACATGCGGACTTGCGTCATGACATAATGAAGTAGGGCAAATAAAATTTGACGTCCAATAAAATTTTGAATGGTCAGATATGGCACACTGTCGTTTATATATATATATATATATATATATGTGTGTGTGTGTGAGAGAGAGAGAGAGACAGCATTTCACTATGTTAATATAAAAATATTGATAATGTATATAGAAATCAACTAAGAATTTGACAGAAATATTTTTTATAAATTTGATTGAGAAAATTTTATAAGCTAATATTTTTTAAGAGAAATATTAGCAATAATTTTTTTAACTATGTAAGATTAGTTTTTTTTTTAAATAAGATAAGTAATTTGAATTAAAAATATATTAATAATATGTTGTAAATAATTTTTTAGTTTATTTTTTTTTTTGCTAAGAATTTAATTCTAATGTTAAATAATCTACCAGTAACATGTTTAATTTAAATGGTTGGCCACTTATGTTATGTCCAAGTATTGAGTGTGAAGACAGTGTGTAAAATATTTTGTATTAGTTAAAAATTAAAATAAAACACTTTTTATAAATACTTTTCTAAGAGTGCGTTCTTGAATTTTTAATAATTTCTAAAAAGAAAAAGAGTTAGGTCAAGGCATATCTTACAAATTATTCATTTGATTTGGCATTAATGTGGAATCAAATAACTGTTTTTGAAAATAAAAATAAAAGAAATACTTTTAAATGTATATTTTTAATTGAGAAACAAGACAAGCAGAAGCAGGGTCCAAGGTTTTGGTGAGAAAATGAGGTTCCCATTTCCCACGTTATGGAAGAAAACGAAATTACACGACATTTGATTTCTATAAATAGCATGGATTCTGCAGTGGTGTTGAAACTCAATTTGAAATCCAGAAAGCCAAAAAATTCACAAAGCATTGCAATGGTGACGATGGTGTCAGCGTGGTCCGTGTTAACAGCATTAACCACTGGAATAATGATAGCCCACACCATCATAGACAAGTTCATACCTCCTCAGTTTCGTGTCCACATTGAAATATTGACTCACAGAATCATAGGCTTTCTATCCCCTTATATCCAAATCACAATCCCTGAATTCTCCGGCGAACGTCTAAAACGCAGCGACGTTTTCACCAACATCCAAAGCTACCTCAGCGAAACCTCTTCCCAAGGCGCCAAAAAGCTCAAAGCCGAACCCGCAAACGACAGCCACAACCCCTTTTTGCTTTGCATGGACGACAACGAACAAGTCACCGAAACTTTTAATGGGGTCAAACTCTGGTGGCGCTCACACAAAACCATGATCAAGACGCAGTCGTTTTCTTTCTACCCTGCTTCGGATGAGAAGAGGTTCTACACCCTCACCTGTCACAAGCGTCACAGAGAACTCATCGCACGCTCTTACATCCCACACGTGTTGGAACAAGGCAAGTTCATCAAACTTAAGAACCGCCAACTTAAGTTGTTCACCAACAGTTGCAACACCGGTTGGGGAGGTTATCAAAAAGCAAAGTGGAGCCACGTGGCGTTTGAACATCCTGCGAGGTTCCAAACTCTTGCTATGGAACCAAACATGAAGGAGGAGATTATTGATGATCTTGTTACGTTCAAAAATGGGAAAGAGTACTATGATAAGATTGGTAAGGCTTGGAAGCGTGGTTATTTACTATATGGTCCTCCTGGGACTGGTAAATCTACTATGATAGCTGCTATGGCTAATTTTTTATACTATGATGTGTATGATCTTGATTTAGCAACGGTTAAGGATAACGGTCAGTTAAGGCTGTTGTTGATTGAAACAACGGCCAAGTCTATTATTGTGATTGAAGATATTGATTGTTCTCTTGATCTTACTGGGAAGAGGAAGGTGAAAAAGGGTGGTGACGAAGAGGGAGCGAAAGAGAACAAGGATCCTATTAAGAAAGCTGAGGAGGAAGAGAATAAGGAGAGTAAGGTGACTTTGTCTGGGTTGTTGAATTGCATTGATGGGATTTGGTCGGGTTATGCAGGAGAGAGGATTATAGTTTTCACGACCAATTATGTGGATAAGCTTGATCCTGCTCTTATTAGGAGTGGAAGAATGGATAAGAAGATTGAGTTGTCTTATTGTTGTTACGAGGCTTTTAAGGTTCTTGCCAAGAATTATTTGGATGTTGATTATCATTGTTTGTTTCCTGTTGTTGAGGGGTTGTTGAAAGAGACCAATATGACACCTGCTGATGTTGCTGAGAACATGATGCCTAAGTCAAAAAGTGATGATGTGGAGAGGTGCCTGAAGAAGTTGATTGAGTCTCTTGAGATGGCTAAGAAGAAGGCTGAGGAAGAAGAAGCGCGGTTGAAGGAAGAGAAGAAAAAGGAACAGGAAGTGAAGGAAGAGGCCAAGACTGATGGAAAATGTGAGGAAGAAGTGAAGGAAAATGGTTTCATCAATTGACTTGGGAAAGTGGAAAAGACAAAGATTGAAGTATGCATGCGTGTATTTAGTGTGTATTAAGTCGACGTGTATGGTTTGCATATAAGGATTTCATGTTGTGTAGTTTGTTTGGATTTCATTGTGTATAGATTTTATATTCATGTACAGGCTATAGATGTTATTGCTTGTATATTAGGATTTCAGTATATGTATGGTTTCTATATTACTGTGTTCGGCCATTGATGTCCATGCTTTGTTTATTGTATATTAGGACTCCAATGGCTATACATATGTTAATAATATCTTTATAAAATAATAATTATGCTCAATCATTGCTCTCATCGTTACTTTTCTTTTATAGGAGTTAAGCAAACTGGTGAATGCTGATGCTTCATCAACTTTTAATGACATCTATAGCATACAAAACATTTTTCATGTCAGTGCCAAAGGTCACATCATAAGTCATTAGAACGAGGTTTATATATATAAAAGAAATAATTATAAAAAATATGATATTTAATACAAAAATATAAAAATATTTTAAAAATCACCAAAAATTATCATCAATATTCTTTTGGTATTTGAAAATTCAATTTTGGCAGTTTTTTATTTTTAATTATTTATTAAAAAATATTATTAATAAATTTCGGTTTTTTTATTTTTTTCAAAAAAATTTTATTAACAAGTTTTGAGTCTTTTTAATTTTTTATTATTTCATGTCTGAATTTTTGCACTAACACAAAAAATAACCATTAATTATTTTTGAAATTTACATTTTTGCAATTTTTTGAAATATCATATTTTAGTATATATTATTTTTATATATAGAAAAAAGATCTTTACAATGAATCTTTATTTTCTATATTTTTCTTTTTAGTAGGTATAAAGTTGTTTTATTCTCATTTTGTAGGTTTGTCATTTTCTTCCTAGCTAGTCAACCTAATTAACACAGTACTCCATTGTGTACATCATACTAACTTGCTTGCTAGCTGTAATGCTATTTTTACACGTTTTTCACAATATTGTACGAAGGAAAGAGACAAAAGAGAGGAGAAGAAAACAAAATAAAATAAGCAATATAATAAAAAGAGATGAAAAAAATATTATTGTGAGAATTCAATTTCTATTTGGCTTCAGATGTCGAGAGAACAATAGGCGGAGATTGTGAAAGTAGCTATGGAAAACCAACAGGAACTGTTGCTATAACCTAATTTGCCAGCAGAGGAGTAAAATTCAGCATGTTTTGTTTTTCGTGTTTATTATTGATCTTTCTGTTTAAATGATTGATGCAAAAAAATCGTAAGATACATATAATAGGATTTTGAAATCCTATGAATATATGAGTTTTAATGACATGCAAATAGATTAATATGAATCGGATCAGTTGATATTTTGATATATTTTATGACTTATATTTATATATTTAAATCTTATTTTATATATATTTACATTAATTATATTATTAATTGTTACAATTTAACTAGAAGTTATTATTAGTGCATTATAGAGATATTTTGAAAAAAAATTAGATACTTTTAGTTTTTGTTATGCTATATGAATCTGAGTTTAAATTTTGGGTTTATGATTTAGATAAAAATTTAAAGCAGTTTTCAGTTAAGATTCTGATTGAAGATAAAACTGATTTGAAAAGATAGAGGTCACTCAATTGAAAACTTAAGGCACAATCTATATAAAGAGGCCTTATGTTTCACATTTGACACTTTCAATTCTCTACATACTTTCTTCCCCTTCTTATTTCTGACCATACTCATATTTTAGAGTTATTAGAGACTATTGGTAAGAACAAGTTTCCCCTTAGAGCTCAAGCAAGTGATTGAGTACCTTTTGGAGAACGAGAACTCTCTTCGTCTTCTAACTTTCTGAGTTTCTTTTATTTAAGTTTTTCTTTGTGGTTATGAGTTTATTTATCACTTTCTTCGTAGTTTATTATATTGTGTATGTTAAGATTTGATCACTTTTAGCATTTTATAGTTAATTGCATCGTAGGCGATCGTACCACGTGTAATTAACGGAACTATAGGATAAAATGAGATAAGAGCTAGGTTAATCATACTTAATTTCTTTCTTTCAGTCGTTATTAAATTAACAAACTTATAGGATCTTCATGCTTTCTCAACCAATTACTTTGCATGATTATTGAGAGTCTTTGCTCAGAGAAAAGAATATTTACATTGTATAATCATTAGATGTTAATAGAACTAATTACGAGTGGTTAACAAATATTTGGATACCAATATCAAGATTAAATTAATTAGAATATAAAAAAGTGTAGTAGGTGAACCCATAAGTCTTAGACTCATCTCATCTGATCTCTCTCATACATTGTATTACTATTTTTTTAATTTATTGTTAATATTAAGCTCTATTTTTTGGTCTATTACAATACCATTACGTTTAAACAATCGAATCAAGCTACTTTTAGTACTTGAAAATAATCTCTGTAAAATGATAACTTAGGAACTCTTTTTAAGAATTATTTATTATTTTTTGATAGGTACACTTGCCTACAAATAATCAGCCAAGTCATAGCCACGTGGTTACTACTAATTAATTAGGTAAGTTAACAAGCTAATTGTGTAAGATAAGTGTAATTAATCCTATTTAACAAAAAAGACGAACATGACACAATTTAATTTGTCTGAGATCTTGCAAGAAGTTTTTATTTATTTGATAATGGATTAATGTATCCCAATTTGTTTTTTATATTAGAAAATTAAATTTGGTTCTTCAGTCAACAATAAAAAGACACTAATTAACCGTTGTTCATTTGTAACGATGGATTTGCATCCTCTTCCAATGCTTCAGGTCGGCTATATCAAGTTAAATCATGATTTATTAGGAAAGTCTGATTAAAATCATGAATATAAAATATAAGAGTGGTGACACAAAATTGATCTAAACTATTCAATTAATACAATAAATAAATAAATTATATATATATATATATATTCAAAATCAAACTAAACTAGATTGAATTAAAGTAATATTAAATTTATATTATTATTTTTTAATTCTATCCTTATATCAACATTAACTCAAAATATTTTATTGAATCTATTTATATTTTAAAAAAATTGATTGATTTGTGATTTATAATTTAAATTAAGTTACAAGTTATGATAAAATTGAATGGTTTTAAAATTACTATGTATTTAAGTTAATTTAGTTTAATCAAATTTTCTCTTGAATAAAAACTAGTCACTAACACAATTTATGCATCAATTTAAAATTCTATTTATATTCTAATTAGTGAAAATTTATTTTTTATTAATAAAATTTAGAGTATTATCTCTTAAAAAAGTAAAAAGAAAAAAAATCAAAATATTTGATTCAATCCAAATTATAAAAGATGTTATTCTAAAATTGATCTAAATATAATTACAAATTCTTTTATAACTAAATCAAATAATTTTTTATTTCAACTCGAACGATACCTATTAAAAAAAGGTAAATTTATTTAAATAATGCTATTTTCAAAATAAATTCTAAAAATAGATTTTTTTTAAAACATATTCCTTATCTAGGGCGATTTTTGGTCAGGTTATCACTTGTATCGCACTGGCATGGTCGATAGACATTTTTATAATAGACTATCGTTCTCCATCATTCGATACCAGTTTATAACACGTGATAGAGAGAGATAGTATTACCCAAACAAAAGCGTGAAGAGAGACGACTTGGATGATTACACATGTCGTCTGGAGAGGAGTATCGGCTGGTCAAGAGCCATATGCCTATAGGGCTGTTAGGTGCGGCACTAGCTGAGGTGAAGATATGTGGCTTTGTCAAAATGGGTGCTGCAAAGAGGCTTCTTCTTCTCGTCCTTGTTCCCTCCCTCCATTAATGCCGATGTGAAGAAATTTCTGCATTCTTGCTGTGAAATTTTTCTAAATAAGTTTTTGATTTTGTAGTGTTTTTTGAGAAATTCGAAGGTAAATATAAAATTGTGGTGAAGACCACAAGAGAAGCGAACATTGAAGATGGAGTCGTATTTGTTGATGAAAGATTGGAACATGTTCCAACACGATTCAAAGTTTAATGGCGACACAAAGGTTGGATTTTGCTCATCAATGGTAACTTGGAATGCGTTTTTGTTGAGTTGTTTGAAGGTTGGGAGGATTAATCCAGTTTGAACATTGTATGACAAATGTTGGTTTTGAAGCTTTTTTTTATACAAGAGAATGATTGGCAATAACGGATTTCGGCAAGAGAGAAAAGCAAGAAGACAACATTATTTATCGCACTGAATAGCCCGATAAGTCTATGCTCTTAACCAGCAGATACTTCTCTCTAGGCAACACATGTTATCATTCAAGCCGTCTCTCGTCTAATGCTTTTGTTTTGGCGGCACTAGCACTCTCTCTACCACGTACAGCTTATAAACTTGTATTGAATGGTGGAGAATCGATAGTCTATTAAAAAATATCTATCAATAATGCAGATGTGATATATGCGGTGACATAACTAAAAATCACTCCAGTAAAAAAATATATTTTAAAAAAACTTTATTTTTTGAATTTATTTTAAAAATAGCATTATTTAAATAAATTTGCCTAAAAAAATAGTTAAAAAAATGATTAGTTTTTAGAGGTAATTTTATTTTAAAAGTATGAAAATTTGGCTCCACAGTTACCTACTCTTGAATAATTGCGTGCAAGATCCACCCTTCCTATAACCTTACCTTTATTTCGATACTGTTATTAGTTTCTTAGGGAACCACGGGACAATCTTCAGTAGCAAGAGCATCTTCGCCCCATCAACATGGCTTATAGAGTTTCATAGGTATGCTTATAAAAGAGTTTTATGTTAATGCTTACTATGTTAATTATTATTTATTATGACATTATTGTTTTTATTATTAAAATAGAAATAATAGCTACTTATGTATCAAGATATTAATAAGTGTTACTGGTAAACGTCATAATAATAAATATAATTTTTTAACATATATAATAAAAATTAATATATAGTATTTTTTTATTAATTTTTATTGTGTCTTTAAAAACAAACGAAAAAAACTGAAAAAGTAGAACTAATTCCCATGCACATCGATTAAAATTTTCAGCTCAATTTCATACTAATTCCCTGGTTTATCCCTTCTTTTCACAACTCTTCTTTCCACTGATCCAACCATGTTCGATTCCTCCGATTCTGATTTCCTAAACACAAGGCATTAATTATGGGAGAATTTATGATACTATTAATGCAAGTGGAAGAATTATTAATATAATCTATAATACATATGTTAATTTAATTTTGTTACATAAAAATTGTATTGACATAAATAAATTAACGTCTATCCATTATTTTTTAGTGATATGTCTAATCAAACATTTCTACAGAGAAAAGAAAAGCATGATCAACTTGGAGAAAGTAAAATAGCTTAACCTAAAAGTAACCAAACAAAACTACGCAATTCCCGAAGCTTCGATGTGACAATCACTGTAACCGCTGGCTTGTCAAAATGTTTTCCGAACATGTTAAAGTCGCTAAACAGTTACTCATGGGTAATACATAACCGACATTGTGATTTGAACATAGGAAACGACGATAACCATTTATATTTTGTTTCTCTTTTCAAAAAGGGTGTTTTTATATAATTCAGTGTTTGTTGTGGAGCGGCTTTTCGACAGAAGTCAGAATTTTCTTCGAAAAAGCATCCCTTATTTAATACACAGATTTTCCTCATCCAAACTATTTAAATTTTGTGAAACATTTAAACAAAATAGATGGGCGATGTCTCTCATGGGTGATTATAACAAATTAAAGATGAATATCTGTTAAATAAAGTAAAAGCTTATTAATAACCAGCAAAATGAGAGAAAATTTTAATTTAAAGCTTTGTGAAGAGTCAATTTAGGGAGACGAAGGAGAGAAGAAAACTATTTCTTTAATGGTAATTTTTGTTTTAAAATTTTAAAATGTGATTTTTTATAAATAATTATTTTTATATTATTTTTAAGTTTTTTAAATAATTAAGAATTTTTTGTTAACTATTTTTTTTTCTTATTCTTTAAATTCTTTTTCTTTCTTCTTTCAAGCTCTAAAAGAAAATTTAAAAAGTTAGTGAAGTAGAATAAGATAAGGTCTTGTACAATTTAAAATTTATATATGTGAATTTCATTCTCTTTGAGATAACTATAAAAGTAATTTTTTTCTACCTTAAAAATGGAACATTATTTCATCCCGTGAAAATCAGAAATGAAAAATGCGAGAGAATATATTTTTTAGAAACTAACTAAATATTTATTTTAATGTTTAAAATTATCAGCATTGATCCCTTTAATATTTAGTTTTAAAAAATCACTTTAGTACTTGATTTTTTCAAATAACTCATTTTATTTGATTTTTTACTTTAGTTTATTATTGTTTTGTATTTAAAATACTAAAATAAATACCATTATATAAAACTAAGGATTAACATGTTTTTTTTATAATTTAAAAGAAGATAATAAATATTGATTTTACAATTTAAGTTTTCAAGACCTTTCTAAACGACAAGAAAAAAAGTTTGAATTTTGGTTCATATCATCCTCACAAGATGGATGATTCAGTTAACTAGACCATTAGTGGCACAAGTTGCGAATGTCGGCTTAGCTTTATTAAATGGTGGACGAGTAGTCCATATTTGTGTGTTCCAATTCCATCCTCATCCAAACATGCCACAGCTTCCATCGTACTTGACAAACTTGGAGAGGCCAAAATTTCAAATCCAGCTGAGAAAAGTAGTTTGGACTTGGCACACATCACTCGTTTTCAAATGGATTCTTTTAGAAAACTTTAATAGCACTACCATCGACTACTACCACTTCAACTCAGATTCTCATATGACATAACACATTAGAGGGACACACCCACGAAAAGAAAAGACCCTTTTCAAGTAGTTATATAATATGTACTAACCGTGCATTCCTAGCCAAACAAAATTAACACATAACACAGAGTGTAGTGTGGTGGGTATGGGGGAACTATGGGCACAAATGGGCTCGTTAATGGCCACAATTATGTTTGTGTATGCCATTGTTGAGCGTTTTTTCCCTGCAGCACTTCGTGACACTCTTCAAATACACACTCAAAAACTGATGAACCTTTTATACCCTTATGTCCAAATAACCTTCCCTGAGTTCTCTGGTGAGAGGCTGAAGCGTAGTGAAGCTTACACTGCCATCCAAACCTACCTCAGTGAAAACTCTTCCAACCTAGCCAAGAGACTCAAAGCTGAAGTGGTGAAAGATAGCCAAAATCCTTTGGTGCTTAGCATGGATGATGATGAAGAGGTCACAGATGAATTCCAAGGTGTGAAGCTTTGGTGGGCTGCAAGCAAAACTGCCACAAACCCACATGCATATTCATTCTCTTATTACAGTGTTCCAGACGGGAAGAGATATTTCAAACTCACTTTTCACAAAAAGCATAGAGATCTCATCACTGTGTCTTACATCAAACATGTCTTGGAAGAGGGAAAGGAAATTGCCTTGAGACATAGGCAAAGGAAGCTGTATACCAACAATCCAAGTAGTGGTTGGTATGGTTACAAACAGTCAAAGTGGAGCCACATAGTGTTTGAGCACCCTGCAACATTTGAGACTCTTGCAATGGAGCAAAGTAAGAAGGAAGAGATAATGAATGACCTTGTTAAGTTCAGAAATGGGAAGGACTACTATGCCAAGATTGGCAAGGCTTGGAAGCGTGGCTATTTGCTATATGGTCCTCCAGGGACTGGTAAGTCTACAATGATAGCTGCTATGGCTAATTTCATGAACTATGATGTGTATGATCTTGAGTTAACTGCAGTGAAGGACAACATTGAGTTGAGAAAGTTGTTGATTGAGACTTCAAGTAAGGCTATTATAGTTGTGGAGGACATTGATTGCTCACTTGATCTAACTGGCCAGAGGAACATGAAGAAGGAAAAAAATGAGGAAGAGGAACCAAAAGATCCTAGTAAAAAAGAAGAAGAGGAGAATAGCAAGAGTAGTAAGGTAACTCTATCTGGGTTGTTGAATTTTATTGATGGTATTTGGTCAGCATGTGGGGGAGAGAGGATTATTATTTTCACAACTAACTTTGTGGACAAGCTTGATCCTGCTCTTATTAGGACAGGTAGAATGGATAAGCACATTGAGTTGTCATATTGCCGCTTTGAAGCATTCAAAGTGCTTGCTAAGAACTACTTGGATGTTGACTCTCACCATTTGTTTGCTAGAATTGCCAATTTGCTGGAAGTGACCAATGTGACACCTGCTGATGTTGCTGAGAATCTTATGCCTAAGTCAGTGAATGAAGATGTGGAAACTTGCTTGAAGAATTTGATTGAGGCTCTTGAGGTGGCTAAGGAGGAAGCAAAGAAAAAGGTTGAAGAAGAGGCAATATTGAAGGAAGAAAAGGACAAGGAGAATCCTAATCAGCATGGGAAGAAATATAATGTGCACACTGTGGAAGATGTGAAGGAAAATGGTTTTTTTCCTTTGAGTGGAAAATAATTTACCCTGATTGAGATTGTTACACTTTGTGGTTTAAACATCTATTCAGCTACATTATTATTATTGGGAGTGGAAATGTATACTGATTTTCCAACTGTATCTTTCATGTTAAATTAATAGCAATCATCTCCTTTTCTTCAGTGTGTGGTTGAAACATCTATTCAGCCATAGTGTTATGTTGTTCTTTAAGGGATCAGTGAAATCTATCATTCCCATTCACACGTTCTTATCGTTCCATTTCAATTTCTGGTATTTTGAAACAGCATCGTACCCGGTGCAATGTACATGGTACTTATGTCGAGAAGATACAATCGTATTCGCTATGGTACATCATAGGATTATTTTCACTACTACTGCAAACAATAATCTTATATATAACAAATTTCAAGATGTATCAAAATAATAATAAAGTTTGTACTGAAATTATTGACAAATTTATTTTTTTAGTTTATATATATATATATATAGAGAGAGAAGCAAGATTTTCTTACAATAGTATAAGTCTAAAAACTCTTACATTCAATATGAATCTTTTATTTAACTTAAATTTAATGGTTAGTAAATAATAAATTATAAACTATTAAACTTAAAATTAAATGAAAGACTCAAATTAAGTGTAAAATTTTTTAAATTTACATTAGTATAAAAAAATACTTCTTTATATATATATATATTCAATAATTAAATTAATAAGTTATAAAGTAGTGTCTTCCTTCGTTTAATTATCAATCCCACTTAAAAATCATTACTCGAATTTTCATGTTAGACAATACATAAACTCAGAATGTGTTTAGATGTGCGATGATTTCTCTCAAACGTGAAAAATTATTGTGGTTTAAGTTACAGCATGTGTATGCTCTTGGCTAATTATATTTGAATAACCTTTTGATAAAATAAAAATTATAGGATGTTTTATAATTGATGAGAAATAGGACAAACAGTGATCCCAAATAATACAATAATTTGTCCTCAAACACACGTATATAAGAGAAGTATTGCCAGGTAAGTGTAACATTCATGGGAGCGTAGTTTCAATTTTAAAACGACATCAAACTTTTTTTTTGTCTGAAAAGTAACGTCAAACAAACACGCATCTACGTTTTTGTTTTTAGTCAATATGTACTTCGTTGAGGCTTTTCCTAGTTAACATAATTTGGGCGTAGTCCATTCATAAAACTCCTTAAAGGCCACTATATTCTCACTGAACTAATAGATTTTTGGGAAAAAAAAAAAAAGGATTGCGATTTCTTTTAACCTATACTTTGACTCTATATACGTTTTCTTCTCATGTGGAGTTTTTCATTTTTTTTAGAAATTTTTATTTACATTAGGAGAATTTTTTCCCCTCTTTCATACAAAGACTATTTGTTAGTATTTTTTAAAATTGTATTAAGGTAAACACAACAATTTTTTTTAAAAAAAATAGTTAGATGTTGTTACAAGAAATAGTTGTTAACCCCTTTAATTTGACCGAGTCTTGAGGAAACTTAGACTATCTCCATAAGTTAGAATTAAGCAGTTAGTTTTGTTCTCCTAAATCCTAATATGCCCTAATGATAGGATATGAGAGAAAATGAATTTTTAATTAAAATAATCAACTTTACTAAAAAATAAAAAAATATGTTCATATTAATTTTTAAAAATATATGAACAAAGACTAATTTAATATAAAGTTGTCGATAAATCACAATTTTTTTTTTGTAAAATATTATTCCGGCCTGAGTTTGCATAAATCACATCAAAGGGGCACTTACTTGTGTCGTTTTGTTTATTACATTTATTATTGGATGACTATTGGTGAATTTAATAATTAAGTCGTATCATTTGTATAAGACTTACTTCATAAATAAATAAATTTAATTGTATATAGTTCGACTCAAAACCTATATTTTAGCGCTTTATTAAATACATATCGATTTTTTCATGTCTCTTTTCAGTAAATTATCATCTCACCATTTTGTATTAAAATAATGAATTTAAGTTTGGTCGTGTAATAATTTTTTATATTAATTATTATAGAAATTCTGTTGTCTATTCGTATAAAATTAAACTTAGATTTGCGGTGAATATGAAACATATAACATATTCACCCGACAAAACACATCTAAAACTATAAATGCATGAATATTATAAAATTAGTGGCAAATTTACGGCACATGTAAAAGGTTTACTGGAAACTACCTGGTCTGTATTATTATTACTCGAATTTTAAATAAAATAAAACTAAACAGTACAAAAGTGTAAAGTACGAATATATGAATTTGAAATTGACAAACGAAGTTTCGAATAATGACGACACTTTTGTGTAAGTTTTGTATTATAAATTTTTACTCATCATTTCCGTTTTAAATTTACTTGTGAATAACACGAGCATTGCCTCGTTTTAAAAAAAATTATTAAAAAAATGAACAAAAAATTGAGCGTTGAGTGAGTATTTTAATTAAAAAATAATTGTCATAATTCATTTTATAATAACATCAAATTTTGTAACGTATGTCGAATAACATATAATAAAGAATAAATAATATCTTTTTGTTAAAATTATATCATGTAATTTTATTAATAAAATGGACTTTATGATATTTGTTAATTTTAAATAAAAATTTATTATGCATAAATTCTTATTTTATGTCTTTTAATACATGTACATTAAAAGGATTGCTATAAAATATGAATTAGATTCATATTTTAAAAATATAAATTTAAAACAATAAAAAGATACATGTATATTGATAGTGTATTATTAGTATTATTTTTCCAAATTTTAATCGCCTCAGAAGTTGGGAAAGAAAGAAGGACGGAGAATTTATGGAGTGGGGTAACAAAGTGACAATGCACCGCATTCTTAGCTCAAATATTAAATCCGTGATCGGAATTAGGAAATAAACGCTCCTTTGGAAGCTTTTCAAAAGAATCTTCATCAAAACAAGATCAGTACCCAACAATGTCACTGGTTAATTAAGAAACCTCTCATACTATCTTTTAGTCTTTGTGTATCCAATTAAGTGATTAGATGATTGGTTGATACATAGGCATCAATCCCTCTCATCTTAAATGTCTAAGTCAAAGCATGCGTATATTATATCCAGTTAGAAAGTGGAAACACATTCTTCGATCTGTTTCCATGAATTGCTTCTCAGTGCTACCAACCCATCTCATTTAAGCTTGTAACATTGCCACAATTTTTAGAACTAGAACTTAAAACCTCAATAAAAGAGCACCCAAAATTGGAAGTCCTAGTCTATCTCATGCAATCGTCCTATATAACATGGTGGAGAGTGTTATACAACACTAGCTTGTTGAATCCCAGGTAAAGGTATACACATCCCATATCCAAAACAAACCCCTTTAATTTCAACCAAGCTAGTCTCATATCCACATTCAAAAAGGGTTCATTTCAATGGTTCCCACTTCAAATTTTGTTCATGTGGTGGTTCTTGGTTTAGTTTTAGCACTACTTGTTATTGTCCCTAGAGCTGAAGGCAGGCCAAGAGCATTCTTTGTATTTGGAGATTCTCTTGTTGATAATGGAAACAACAACTATTTGCAAACCATAGCTCGTGCTAATGCCCCTCCTTATGGAATTGACTATCCAACTCATAGACCAACTGGCCGTTTCTCTAATGGCTTCAACATTCCTGACTTTATCAGTTAAGTTTCCATAGGAAAAAAATTATATTGCAAGTTATCAAAACACTAGCTAATCGATATCATTTTAATTAGCATTAAATGTTGTCAACTTTCAATAATAGAATTGATGGGTTATTTCAGGTCAGCAACTTGGTGCTGAATCTACAGTACCATACTTGAGCCCAGAATTAACGGGGGAGAATCTCTTAGTTGGTGCTAATTTTGCTTCTGCTGGAGTTGGAATCCTTAATGATACGGGTGACCAATTTGTAAGTTAATTAATGACCAACCGTTCCCGCTTTCTTCGCTTCCCTTACAAGTACATAATGCATGTATGTACGTAACCTTGAGCATGCTTTAACTTTATCATAAATAAAGGTAGGTTTTTCCGGCTAGCTTTTTAGAGTATCACTACCTTCTAATAATTAATATGTTAAATATGAAAATGAGCATTATATATATACTCTAGATGTATATATCCAACGAGAGATAGAAAAGGGAAAGGGAAAGTGAAAAAAATGTAATAAATAACTTAATGTGATAATAAAAAAGAGAGGTGTTAATATGCGGTTAATATTGTTACTAAATATATATGTATGTAAAGCAAAGCACATGTACAAACCGGGATTGGCACCAGTGTTATCCCTTTGAGCAGCGACGGGTTTCTGGCTTCGAAGTTCGAACGCTGGATGCAGGTGCTCGTTGCTTGTGGAGGATGAGTACGTGTACATATAAAGCACTCTAAAAATTCAAGTTAGTTAATAACAAGAGTAAGAGAAGGTATACAGTGAAAATGATATTTGTATATCATGAGAGAATATATTTTTAGGAATATATTTCAAAGATGTATATGTGTATGAAAAAGATAAAAAAAATATAAAATATAAATATAATTATATACATTGTGATATATAGTATTAATTTTTAATAATTTAAATAATCAAACTGGTAAATTTTTATTTTACGACTGAAAGTGGTGACTCCATTTATAAAGTTCAAAATACATAATTTTGTCTTGGATGATTACGTGCTCACTTAGTTTAAGAAAAAGTTTAATTGATTTTAAGAAAATTAATTTGAAGTTATTTAATATGATTAAGATATTTTGCATAAATTAATTTAAACTTACATCTTTTTATTAGAATGTATGTCTTTATTAGACAGCGTAATAATTACTTTTTAACAAATAGACCTAATATTTTCATGGAGTGTGATTTAAATGCGAGGAAAAAAGAAAACAGAAAAAAAGTGAATGATATGATAAAAGAAAATAACTATAAAAAGAGAGAATAGATGAAAATGAGAAATAGGAGAAATGGAACGTTAAAATTTTGTTATTGTTTTATCTTTAGATGCGACAATTAATTGATGTTAATTTGACCTTTAAGTGTTTGTCTGAATATAATTTAATCTCCAAACCTATGATTTTGTTATATTTAGTTCAATTTTATGATAAATTTAGTTCTCAAATTTTGTTAACTTCACAAAGCAAAGGCTAATCAATATAAATTTGATAAATTAGAGACTAAATTATATAAGCACAAATTTTCTGAAACCTAATCAAGTTGCCACTTTTAGGTTTGAAATTGTATTATATATATTCACCAAGAGTATGTCTTAATTAATACATAAGTTAATCCCTTTTAAGGAAAATACATTATTAAAATAGATTTTATCTCTCACAATATAATATTTTTTTATATTTTTATAAGTCAATAATTGAATTTCAGTTAATATATTAAAAAAATTCACCTATCTGGTAATTATGTTGGGTTTTGTCGTTAAATTTGGAAGTTTGTCGGTTAACAAATATAACCGATATAGTATTTATTCTCACTTTAATTTAATGTTTTTATAACGAAAAATACCTTTATTATTAATATAGTTATAAGAGAAAAATTATTTTTAAAAAATAGCAATAAACATATTAGTATATTCGTGTGACTGAAACATACTTATTATCATCACATACAAACTATCAAGCTATGAATTTGGTTCATCTAAAATATAAAGTGCAATCTAGAGAGAGGAGGATAAAACATATTTATATTGATTATAAAATCCACAGTTGAGATTGAACAAATTAAAAAATTATTATATACATAATTCGATCTTATTATCATACTCAATCATGAACTTTATTCTGACGAACTGTTATTATTATTATTATGCAGCTTTTAATTTTTCACTCTAATAATGGACCCAAATTAATCATCTACTTTTGCAGATGAACATAATTAAAATGCATAGACAACTAGAGTATTTTAAAGAGTACCAACGACGAGTAGCTTCTCTGATTGGAGCTTCGAGGACTAAAAGACTGGTGAATCAAGCACTCTTCCTCATAACAGTAGGTGGCAATGATTTTGTAAACAACTACTACCTTGTGGTTAATTCTACAAGGTCTCGTCAACATCCACTTCCAGAGTATGTCACGTTTCTCATCTCTCGCTACCGAAGGCACTTGCAGGTAAAATCCTCAAGACACGTTTCCACACATGCAATATTATAATTATTATTTCATACCTAGCTAAAACCAGTTAAGTATATTATAATGCATTAATTGTAGAGGCTATATAATCTTGGAGCTAGGCGAGTTATTGTAACTGGGACAGGACCACTGGGTTGTGCTCCTGCCGAATTGGCTGTGCGTGGCAAAAATGGACAATGTTCTCTTGAGCTACAACATGCTGCAGCATTGTACAACCCTCAATTAGAACAAATGGTACTTCAACTCAATAGCAAAATTGGAAGTGACATTTTCATTGCTGCAAATACAGCACAGATGCACAATGACTTCGTTAGGAATCCCACAGCTTACGGTACTATACTACGCAACTTTCATTTTAAGTGACTAGTTTCTCACTATATATATATATATATATATATATTGAGACCACAATATTTGACTTACATAATTTCTATTTCACTCTCCTTAGAAAGTGTTAATTAAGTTACTTGACCAGGTGAAAGAATAGGGATAGAAAAAGAAAAGAATGTTTTCTATCAAGTGTAAAAAAGTGTAATAAATATTTATGCGCACTCTACTTATATATAGTTCCTTCTACCCTACAATCACTGTGGAAAGTCAAATATTGATTTAACATTGTATCAATGGTGTGCAGTGAGAAAATATTTCTAATTAACACCACTATGGTGGCAAGGAACAGAATTTTCTTCCTCGTAGTTCTTATCCTTATAATAAATAAATCCTAATAAACATTATATGCTGTGCAATTGGGTAGGATTTACTACCTCAAAAGTAGCTTGTTGTGGACAAGGGCCCTACAATGGTTTGGGGCTATGCACTCCATTCTCCAACTTGTGCCCAAACCGAAATTCGCATGCATTTTGGGATCCATTCCATCCATCTGAAAAGGCTAATAGACTTGTTGTGGAGCAAATTATGACAGGTTCTACAAGGTACATGAAGCCAATGAACCTCAGCACCATTCTGGCTTTGAATACTTGAGCACATAATAGATTAAAGAACCTTATATACAGCCTAATTACTAACTTGATCTTCAAGTGCATGACAACTTTTACTGTAATTGGGGTTTGTTGTTTGTACTGCAACAATTAATTCGTGTATTTTTTAAAGTGTTCGAATAATTAATTGGAGAACGAAATTTCAGGTCATTGTTTAAGTTTATTTGTTATACGATGTCACTATATAAAATCTTTTTATAGACATTCAGTTGTATTTTACCACCTCATTTTTTTATGTCTCATCATTATTATCAATTAAATTAATTTATATTTCGAATAACATTATATTATGCAAATTTTCATCGGGGGCTTGAGGTAAATAATCATTTTGAAGTATTTATGTGAATATTTTGAAATATTGCATGGGACAGATAATGAAATATGTATATGGATTAAATATTACTAAATATATAATTGACTTAATATGTTAAATTTTTAAAGTATTTTTAAAATTTGTATGAATTTTAACTAGTTGACTAAAGTGCACAAGAGTATATGGTGTTCAAGCATTATTTTGTAATTAATTATTTAAATTTTATTTTAAGTATTATAGATATTCATGAGTGCCAGACTCTTGCTTCAAGTTTTTGAAAAAAAAAAGGTTTTATAACATCATATTTATACTTATTTTTAAACTCATGTTTGATTAAAAGTAATATATATATATATATATATATATATATATATATTAATTATTTTTTCATGAAGTTGATATTCGTTTCAAGTTTTATTGCAAACTTATCTTTTAGATAAAAATTTTAAAACATAAACTAATTCATATGGAAACAAATTAACTTCAGTCAAAATTAATTTTATGAAATTAAAATAAACGAAAATTCAATTTTTAAATACTAACTCAAAGATTCATTAAAACTGTCATTCTCATTTCGTACCCAGGTTTGACTTATGCATTTTAGCTTGTTATACCTTTTGGTCGCGGTTTGCTTGACTCTTTAGCATCGTTAGCTTTGATATGTCACTCTTGATGTCATGTTGAAACGAACATGAAAAAAAAATCTAATTTAGAATAATTCAGTGGCTCATAATTAAAAAAGAGCATTGTTGAATTATTCAATCTTATGGCATTTCATTTAATGAAAAACATATGCCGTACCTTTTTTTTTTTTTTGGGGGGGGGTGTTTGAGACTAACCATTAGTGTTAATTAGAAGCTTAATTTATGATGACTTTTGACTTTTGGGCATGTTTGATAGTTTTTCAAAAATTACTTTTTCACAAACACATTTAGAATTTTTCATTGTGCATTTATATCAGCATATTTGAAAATATAATTTAAAAATTACTCCTTTTAAAAATAGTTAAAATTTACTGAAAGATGTAAAAACTACAGTTGGGTTCACAGAGACTTATTAAATAAAATGAAATATTTATATCATTTTATAAGTCTGAAACAAAATTTCACTAATTAACGATAAAAATAAGTGTTGGAAAAACTATGCTATTTACAATATTTTTTAAACTAGTTCTTTACGGTTTAAGTATAATGCAAATAGAATAATTATATCTCTACATCTTTATTTTTAAATGTGATTCTGTGAAGTAAATAGAAAAAAAATATAAATATAAAAGATGTGAAAATTATAAAAGTTGATGTGGATAAGATATTAGGGGATTAATTTTCTCTGGCAGAGCACTCTCACATGTACAAGGGTTACAGACCAGTTACTAACCCAATCACTGAAGTACTTCATATTTAAAATTGAGTGACATTGTCACAAATTATTGGTGTGTTTCAAATGACTTTTCTTAAATTTTTTTATGCATTTGTCTTTATTGGTCGACAACAAACGTAGACTATTCGTCGAGCCTTTTTGTATACGTCACATATCTGAATTTGCTTAGCTAATATCGTTTAACCGTATTATATGATTAGCATACTTTTCTAGATAATGGTACAAGCATGCCCACAAAATTGTCCCTAATAACACATGACAACAATATAGTAATGCCTATAAGTCGACATCTTGTCTGAATTTTCAATTTTCATTGACCGGGTAACTGCGGTCTCGATCGGAACGAATCCATCAATCCATTAATTGGTTCATGGATTTAGACTCACTCAAAACTTTGGCTTGAATATTAGTGGCGTATTTTTATGACTATAACACGTTTATATATCTTGGACTTTTTTAATTGGATGAAACGTTTATCTTTGATTAATTGCATTAAACAAAAATCATGACAGTTTCAAACGTAAATACAGTAAAATAATTCTGTAAGAGATGATAAACCAAGATAGAGTATTTAAAAGACTAGTGATCGATGAAGCTTTTGTTGTCACATTTTTAACATCTTAGTAAGAAGTATGTAATGCAATTGCATGAAAATATAAAGGTTCCTTTTAGTTGAACCCATCAACTTGACTTGCATGGCAGGACCATTTCTCCATGTACCCCACCAAAATTAATGGCAATTTTATCAGCAATTAGTGTTGCTAGATATGAGAAAAAGTGAGAACTGTGCCGGCATCTATATATTCATCATCACTAGGCAATGAGAAGCAGGCAGAGAAATTAAGGGCAAAATAAAAGAGGTTGAGGAAATCTTGTCGCAGGAGAGATGACATTGCCAAAACTGTTGCACAAGAGCATGTAGCCAATGTCATCCTCATGTGACACGATGTCCTACTACCACTTTCTTCTTTGTAATCTCTTTCTAATACAGTTTTTATATGTATGTTTTTGTAGATTAAGAAAGATAAATTTGTAGGAGAAGCAATGTTGTTTCAAGGCTCACACGGCTACGAGGATGGTTTATGTACACGTATGGATTAATTCATCGAAGTGGGTCTCTAGCAGTAAGAATCAAACTCAGTCTTTCAAACTCAGTATACTCCCTTGCCTTTCTATGATACGATTCTCTATATAAAATTAGGATGCACTTTAGCTTTTAGAAAGTTAGATATTATTAATTGAGAGAAAGAGTTGAATCATTGACAACTTTAGAAGAATATTTGCTTTTTCTAATTTTTTGAAGTTCAGTGTGTCAAAAGATATATATACCAAAATGTGTCGGTTTTGGTATATGTTACAAAGTCATACATTAAGGACATCTTCAATGATGGGGTGAAATAGAGTCACTTAATACTTTAATTTATAATTTTTATGTAAACCTCTTCATGATACATCTTTCTTTTATTTTATAATTTAAGGATTTTTTTTATACTATAATGATGTCATTTTAAAAAGTTCATCATTGAATCTCACTGCGTATTTTATATATCTCATTGTTATTTGAAGTATCAGAGTTTTTTGTTCGTCAAATGAAACGGTTCTACGTTATCAGTTCAATTTCCTTGCAACCTTTAAATAAGAAACAATTGTGATATTTGGCTGTCACATTACATTATATAATCGTAGTAATATATTATTTGAGTACTGTTAAGGATGATAATTGATAAGATATAGGTAGGGTATTATAACTTTTATTCTTATATTTATGGAAAAAAGTTTTTTGTCCCAATTTCATATTTACCCGGGATTGCAACTTCAATTTTCATTGTCATACATTTTAAGTACTTATATATTCATATATAAATTTATTACCCACACTTTAGTTAAATAATTATGTTTGTTTTTAACAAATCTTCTTTGTGATAAATTAATAAAATAAAATTTTCATTTTAATATTAAAATTATGTAAATAAATCAACACAACAACAAAATTTACTTAGGGCTTGAAGTTAATTAAAAATTATGATTTTGAATGTGATAATGAAAAATAATTGAACAATCTTAATTGTTAATGTATTCAAAATTTTGTACATTAAAATATTAATTTTTTTTTTTTTGCAAATGATTATCCAGATCTAATTTCATACTCATTTAATTGATAATTTCTAAATATCCAAATTGTCTTAGCCCAATTACTATCTCTAGGCATCGTTGCCTAATTGCAGAAGTCACCTAGAGCATCTTTAACTGTTGAACAAAAAAATAAAGAAAAAACTTAGAGCATCTTTAACCCAGAAACTACTCATGATTGCTTCCATTTTTATTTTATAGTTTACACATCATTTAATATATTTTAAAAAATATAAGCAACCTTCGTTTTTATTTTTTTGGGGGTCAAAACAACCATCTTTTCTAACCTTGCAACTTTACTATTACTTTGCCTCTCTCACCTATGATTTTCACGCTTATTTTCATGTTTATTTTGGTCCACCACGCTTCTTTTCATTCACCATCTCTCTCTTACCTCTAGACCCACTTTATGTGTTTTGCAATCATTGCTTTTATTTGAATGGTTGCTTATTCAAAAACAGAAGTTAAGAAACTATCCTTAAAGATGGTCTCAAGCAACAATGTTGGAGTTGGCTCTAAGGTTAAAATGACTTTCCAGCTTTGTTTCATAATTTATCTAAAAAATATAATTGGGAAAACACCCTCAACTATGCCTCTTAGCATATTTTATTTAATAAATGATAAGGAACTTCCCAACTTCTACCAAAATCTCTGGATTTTGTACTACATGATTTTGAAGTGAAGCTTATTGAATTTTCGAACAGTGAACATCAAGCTTTTCCACTAATAAACGTGGCCAGTAAGGCTCAACATCAGCTTGCTCATTTTCAGTTGGATGTTGGAACTAGAACCTTTCAATGCTGGTTGAGGCAAGAGAAAAGGGGTGAAATGATGACGAATAAATGATACACACTTTCATACATAACATCTAATATTTACCTTATTTTTCACGTCTACTTTCAGCTCTTTCTTTCCACACACCTTAAATTACCTCACACCAAAGTGAGGTGACGCGCACCAAACATTATTCAGTGAATCAGTGGTTAACGAGTGGCTACAGAATCAGTTGTGTCATTCATGTCATAATATTGCTGTTGCATAATGTGATTCAGCTCTGCAGTCAATATCAGTCCACCAAATTTGCCTCCTTTTTTCTCAATAACAGAATATGACGTTACACTCTCAATATTTACCATCTTTTTTCCTACTAAATAGACACATTAATTCCCTGATCGTGCTAACTAAATTTGCCAATAAAAAAAACAAAGAAAGTGGCAGTTAGTTCTTGTCACACACATTGCTTTGGTCGAAAATTTTCATCTGATAACAATGAGGTGAATAAATTTTCAAGCCTTTTTGAACCTGGGCCTGGCCTGAGAACAGTAGTATTACCAATTACAGAACAAGGATCACTACCATTCTCTCTGCTTCCTATGCACCAGCCACCGGGAACAACCATCCCAGGACCTCTCGATAATAGTTCTGCATCGATTTTGTCCAATACTGGATCATTTTCATGGAACTTCCTTGCAAAGGGAGCGCTGCTGTCAACCATTCTTTTCATGTCAGCGAGACCAAGGTAGTGGGGATGTTGCTTGGGGGGGTTGTCCCAGGAAATGAAGTGAAGATCGCTGTTAACTGTTGTGTTCCTGAACTCTTGAGCATTACAAATGACAGTGTGGAAGTACCCTTCAGGGGAAGATATGAAATTTGTATAGTACATGAGAACCGTACGAGGTAGGTTGTCCCATCCCCATATGCAGTAATCAATGAAAGATCTTGATAGTGCCATCCAAGCCGAACCTAACAAGATAGAGAGTTTTTAGACAATCATATATGAGAATATGTTCTCAGGCACATACATAAACCTTCAATATATGATTCAAATTTTGAGGATTGTGATGTTACGGTGTTTTTAAAAGATGAAAAATTTCTCAAGGTTAAAACATTGAAATTATTTCCAAGTAAAAGACTGATTAAACATGATACAATAAAAAAAAATGTAAATAATCTAGCAGCATGCAATCCACAAGTCAAGTTCTTGGATTGGGAGGAAATGGATCTGCAGTTCCCTGTGCTACGCAGGGGTTTACTGAAGCCTAAGGATGTTTGATTGAAAGAGTAAATTTTCCATAAGCCCAAGCGTGTGAGGACTTTGTACACAAACTCTTATTTTACAGATTATAGAAGCTTTGTATTTACTTTTCTGTCTTTTAAGAGCAAATTCTCTTTACCCTGTAGGGTTAGCCCTTTAAGCTGACTTTCTTATCAATCTTCTAAGTTTTGGTGCTTTCATTGAAAATGATCTCATGAAAAAACTGGATACTTCAAATAAAAAAGAATCTGAGAGCCCTAAAATTGGATCTGTGACACAATGTCACAATCAACACTGATAAACGGGTTTGTCCAGCACTCGGGGATTTAACCCCAACCAGGAGCCCAGGAGCCCAGGACCTGGAGTGGATTGTTGACAGTGAAATGAAACAGAAAGACAGTGATCCTGGTTCAATAATTCAAGCTACGCAAATATCACTGATACTGCAGCATATTACTCCCCGATTTAGTTCCCCTATATTTCAGTCATAATTGATATTGATCTCTACCAAAATAAATGATATGGACAGAATAGGTGGTATACTAGCAAGTGAGCCTGAAACCATATCCATAGAATATATTCTGCATCATATCCAAATTCACTGCCTGCAAAACATCATATTGCAAAATTAACGGAAATCCTATGTATCATTAAAGTGTTCTAACAGCATAACCTGTTGGGTATGTATTTGAATGGTTTTATATGTCTATCACACAGCCTCATGGAATATCCCTTTGGACTGAAACGGTGGACAATGCATCGATTCACTGTCAAGGTTTTGATATCATGTCAAAAAGACCCATTATCTCAAAAAGCTTAAGAAGATGCTAGGCGAAGTGAAGGCATATGAAATGGTTTTATATTTCTAATTCTATCACTTCGAGAAAACAATGGTTTTCCTTCTGCAAAATGAAAACAATGAAATCGTGCATTATCCTATAATTTCAAATTTAACAAAGGAAAGTGCATCCAATTGCACCCTAATCACCTAAGTAGCAAGTGAAACCTTACTCTCTACACATACTAAAACAAACACAGAAATAATTTCATATAAAATTAAAAACATTAAATGGGTAAGAAAAGAATGAGCACCTGTGAAAAGTTTGAAGGCCGTTGGCCTACTTCTCCTCTGTGTAATCCAAAACACGTCTTGTTTCTTAGTCATATACAACCCAGGATCAATAATTATTGGCCTCGCACGTTGATGACTACAGTACACACCATATAAACAAAATAAAATTTCACTCTCATTCACAAAAAATAATAAATAAAAAGAGAAAAACAGTTAGTTCAGTTGACTCACTCTTTCCACCCAATGTCACTCGTATGATCAATAAAATTAAGATCGCGTGGCAAATTGGAAAACGCGTGCAGCAGATCTACTCAATTATTTTATTAATATATACTATTAGTTATCATTAACATTATTAAGATACAGATACCAAAAATAGAACAAGAGTTATGAAAAGGCAATAACCATCTTGGGTAACGAGGGGGTAATCGGAAGCACTGAGGTTAATGAACCAGTCCCAATCGTTAAATTCCGTTAACGCAATAGCAGCGGCGTGAAGTGTATTAGCCACCATAGTGGGGCCACGGTAGGTGACAAGATTGGCCTTGCTAACCATCCTAACGTTCCCGAATGTTCGGAAGGTGACGTGGCCATCCACGTGGCGCTTGAGGTTGCGTCGTTCCTCGAGGGAGGACTCGAGGTCGAGGTGGAGGATGTAGCGGTTGCGGGGGTGGTAGAGGGCGGCGAGGGTACGTTGGAGTGCGGCGGCGTGGCCGGCGGAGCCGGAGATGAGGTAGGCGAGGATGGGAGGGTGGGGGGAATGGGAAGGGAGGGGGAGAGAGTGGAGTTTGGATTCGACGAAGAGGGAAGAGAGAGTGGTGGTGGTGGCGGCGGTGGAGAGAGAGAATGGAAGAATGCGTGCTGCTTGGGGTGAGGTTAGTGTTGGTACTAAGAGAAGGAGTGAGAAGAGAGAGAGGAGTGAGGCAGTGGCTATTACTGGGAATACCCATTTGCGTTGTTCTGCTGAGGATGAGTGTTGTTGACCGTAGTAGTGTTTCAGTTTCTTCATTCTGTGTTTATCAAACTCTTTCTTTCTCCTCTTCTTCTTGTGGCAAGTAATGGAATGAAAGCGGCGAGGAAAGAGGGTGAGTCACATTAAGGTGATGATAGATGATTGGGCAGGAAATTGGGCCATAGGGATAATTGCTACACATAACAACATTACCACTTCTTTCTTACACCAATTATTACTTCCATCTTTTCTCACTTATGTTAAACATCCATTTTCCCTGATGCAAACCTGGTTTAACTATTAAGTAACGGAAGAAAATATGATTTTATTTATTAGTGCTTTGATTTAAATGTTTTATAAATAATTTTTATAACCTATGTTTAAGAATATATAATACAATATTCATAATTATTATTTTTATTAAAAAATAGTATTTAATATTATTAACATATTAACTTTTATAAATTTTAATAAAATTATAATATAAAAAATTTTATTGTGTATTTTTTGATACATGAAGAAAATAGTTTTATCAATGAGTTTTGTGATATCTTTTTAATAATTATCCTATTATTTTATAAAACATTTTTTTTAAATACAAATATATTAAAAATCTTAAAAACATGAAACAATATTTTTTTTATTTAGTAATTAGAAGAATTGGTAAACATAAAGGTAGAAAGATATAGAATTATTTTTTATAAACACTACTTTTTTAATGTCTATTCAAAGATATATGATAAAAATTGAATAAATAGTAATTTTTTATTAGAGATTATAATATTTAATATCATCAATGCATTAGATTTTATAATATCTTATAAATTTTAATAAAAAAAGATTATATATAAAAACACTAAAGATGATACATATTTAATCACTCAGTTCTAGATAGCTTTCCTTTTCTGATTTTCCATTTATGCAAAGAAACAAGATCACAACACAACTACAAGTTGCACAGCCCACGGATCCGTTGCTATTTAGGTGTGATTTCATCTCTCATTTGGTTGGTGGTCAATTGATTGGTTCGTGATCAAATTGGTACGGAAGGTTAGGATTAGATACAGCTAACAATTTATGTATATAAAGCTAAATTGTTGGATATAAACAAGAGAACTGTATTTTTGTTATCATTTTTTCCTATGTAGTATTTTTGTCATTACTCTACATTAATTGTTTTTCAGATTATTATCATTATTTAGTAACTATTAAAATCTTTTTATGCATGCATAAAAATTTTGAATGTTAATCGTTTGATTTTAAGAGTTACTAACTAATAATAATTAATCTAAAAAATAAGTAATGTGTAGTAATATATCAAATGTACAAAACACTCGCTAATTAACTAAAGTATTTGATTGCATTCACATGCATACTATCTATTCTCCTAAATGCACTGTATACATTGTGAGCATTAACCTATTTTAATTGAATCAGGATTGAACTCTATAACCTTATTTTTTTTAATAACAGAAATATTTCAGTATAAATGTGAAAACAAAGTGTAAAATTAACATTATTGTAATTAATTAAGGTAATCCATGTAATTAAATTAAATTGTATATATTTTCATTTTCATTTTATGACATGATACCCTTGTGGTGAATTTTCATTCTCTTCACATGATATTCTCAAGTTGATCCTCCACTACCAATTTACCCGTTTGTTTTTTATCATTTTATTTTAGAGTAACACAAACAAATATAAACCTTTTAATATTATAACTTTAGAGGTTGATTTAGCCGATTTTGGGCATTTTCGATTCTTCTTTCAATAACTTCTACACTGCTTTTCATAAACCTAAACTAATTAGTTGGTACCCTAATTCTACGCTACGCGTAATTAACATCGTAAAACAAAAACTCTTACTTGTCTTAAATTTGTATTACGCCTAAACCTTGTAGCTAGTACCCAACTCGATCGCACAATTCGAACCTCAATATTTCCAATTAATTATTTGCATCTAATTCACACCTTTTTCTCAAATCATTTCTAGGAGAGTGGAATGGAATTCTTCCAAAAGGCTAAAACGGTGCGATTAAGGAGCCACCATGACAAATACTTATTGGCATGTTACGATAAAGAAAGTGTTTATCAAGATCGTAATGGGTGCTACGCTAATGCTAAATGGATCGTAGAGATTGTAGAGGGTGCAAACTTGATAAGATTAAAGAGTTGCTATGGAAAATACTTAACAGCCTCCAATATGCCATTTTTGCTTGGTGCCACGGGCAAGAGTGTTGCAAACCCTTCCCACAAAATTAAATTCATCTTTGGAATGGGAACCCTCAGGAGAAGGTGTGCAGGTAAGGCTAAAGACCCGTTATGGCCAATATTTGCGTGCCAATAAGGGCCTACCACCATGGAGGAACTCCATTACCCATGACATCCCACGTCGAACAGCAGCAGCAAATTGGGTTCTATGGGATGTGGACGTTGTAGAGCTTCAACCACAGCCTCCCAAATCAATACAAAATCACATGCCCATTATAACCATGTCCAATCCTTCTTTGGATTCTTCTCCTCCTTCTCCTATAGATTCAAATAATGCTTCTTTTGCCAAAACTAACCCCTTGCAAAACATAATGTTCAAAGCTTTTTGCTGCCCTTTTGGTAGCTTACTAAAGCTTTTATGATTTTTATAGGACATTTTCCCTGGTGTATGTTTGTGTAAAGTAGACTTTGTGCATTCACATTAAATAAAAGGTTTATAGATGATTCTAAGCATAATTGAACCCTTGATTGATCCGACTGGATATACAGTATGATTTAGATTTTCAAAGAATATATTAAACTATCAAAATTAATATGATGAAAATAGCCGAAACTGGTCAAATTCAACTACAGCCAACGAACCTATAGTGTTTTAAGCTTACAATAAGGTTATATACATTATAATAGACCTTGTGCATATTAAAACTCATCTTCTAATAGATTGGTACTGTTTTTTTTTTTTTTTTGGTTATGAGTAGACTAGTACCTTAGTTCACTGTATACTGTGGATCAATTTCGGTTCTGACATTGAGACCCAAATAATTTGGCCCATTAAACTCAACAACAAGAAAAAGTTCAAAATTCGACTATAATGGTCGACTCAAAATAAAATAAAATCGACCAGAATAAAAAGGCTCCAACTACAACAATTGTTATAAAGAGTTAAGGACTATTGGAGGATAGCATTTAGCGCTCACGAATCACGATATTAATCGTTGGCTCCTAAAAAAAGTAAAAACGAATCACAATGTGAATCCATCAAATGCTAATTATTGCTATTGTCTGAAAAAGTTAAAAGAATGATCAATATAAAGCATAATTCGAACGAAGAATAAGGAAGGATTACAATAAGTAAGGTCCGGGTGGAATGCTATAACTTTTGTTTTTAAAAAATATTTATATTTGGATTTATATTTATGTGAGTAAAACTTTATTGTTGATACATTTATTTGTTGTATATATATACACTCGTTATTTGTATTATAAATAATTTTAATATAAATTTTGTTGTGCATTTATTCAATAAATTAATAAATTATAAATGTTATTATAGTATTAATATTAATTATAAAATATGATTAAAAATAAACTATAAATTAAATAAAATATTTTAACTCTTAATTATAAAACATTATAAATAATTTCAAAAAATATTGAAAAATTTATTTAAATTTTTTTATAAAATATAATAAATATATTATGCAAATATAGATAAGGTTGAGCAATATAGCACTCTTGCCTGCATTTATACTTATAAAATTTTGTGAATACTCTATTAATTGTTATAAGTAGCCATTAAATCTAAGACTAATTATCATTCCTTTTTACAAAAAAAATATAAAAAATAACGGGAAATCTCTTCGTCAATCTATGTATGTTTTCATAATCTTGGGTTAGCTACGTGTTGACTTGATCGTCAAAGTCCTTTGCGCACTGAATGCGCTGCCAACTTTGAACTATATCAACTAACTTTCAAACGAGAAAAGAAGTCTATCCATGATTTAAGGTCAACTAATCATGGCATAAAACGAAATTTATGTGACTTTCATGGAAGGAATGTATTAAAATATGCAAGCATAAGAAAAGCAATATATAATAGTTGGCATCAAAATTGATGTAATATATACAGATTAAAAAAATTTAATAATGTGTTAGGTTTCGTTTTAAATAGAATTAGCTATAATTGGAGCATTAGCACACCTCCCACTAACGATTATGTCACCCACTTATATAAAAAGAACAACTATTTTATGATGAAGTTTGATTCGTAATGATCTTCATAGATGACAACATGTGTATTTTTAACTTTTATATTTTATACATATTTATCATTTTAACTATATTTGAAATATAAATAGTAAAATACATTGCATAATAGCATATTATTACAGCAAAATAATATTTTTTTTCTTAAAACTCTTAAATTCTTATTTTTTTTACTTAAAATATACAAACTATAATGGTTAAATTATTTTTTTTTAAAAATTACTCAAAAGTTTTGATGTCATTTGATGTCAACCAAAAAGCAAAAATTTTTATTAGAGTTTGCTGAACAAAATTTAGAAGTATTTTTTTGGATCAGGGCCAACCCATGAATAACCTTACCTTAACCCCATATTATGGGGCTAAATAACTTAGGATCAAATTAAATTATTTTAACTAATATTAAAACAGGGCTTAATAAATTATCTAAAGTTGGGTAGGGCTGACTTTAGGGCTTTGGCCCTTTTTGACAGCACTACTCAAAATTTATTGACATTTTCTTTTCTTTTCTAATCTTAATCACACATGTTGCTAGCTAGATTATTTAAATTTTATCAAGTTTCTATTAAAAATGTGGAAAATTACAATTTTAACTAATAGAATCCAAGCAGTAAATAATGATTTCACATGTTGCGATGACTATTAGTAAGGATTCTATATTATAACTCCTTCCACATATGAGGCTTCAGTCGTGAGAGCTTTTCCACTTGCAAATCAAGTCCAGCTATTATCAAGTGGAATGAATGTGTGATCATAAAGTAGTGGGTAAACATTGAGAGAGAGAGAGTTGTTTTTATTGATTGAATGACTTGATGTCCTACAAAGAAAATCAAGGCAACTCAAAGCATTCGTTGATTGATGCCTTCGCCAGGAGGTTGTTTATGAAACGCAAATTTGAAATGGATGGTCTGTGCTTATTATTTTGATAGGCTTCCATAAATAACTTTTTTATCGTTGATAATATGTGACAATTTATGCACACAAAAGACAAAGATATATATTAGGAAAAATGTGGTCCCTTTGGCAAATGCCTAGAAGGACAAATGCATTAGATTTTCCTTCATTATTCCAAAGGATCTTGAAATTGGAGGAAGAATATTTGCCATGATAATATGGATCATAGAGTTGGGGACCAAAGTCTTTAAGGTAACTTTAATTTAATTAATGGACTATCAGAACAACTAATTATATATATTTTTTTCAAGGTCAATTTTAATTGACTTAAAACATATCCTCCCATTCATTATCTTTATTGCATGCACCAATTCACGAGTCATTACTTATTATAAAATTATCTTGGATATGCCTTCTAGGATAAAGTTGGCTTGAAAATGGAATACAAATAATATAATAGTTTATTTCCATTTGCTACAGCTTTGGTGGGAGACATGGCTAAAGCACTTTTTAGGAATAAGAATACAAAGAGTGTTAAAATTTCAAGAACTAATTTAATATTTATTTTTATTAATTTCTTACCGTATTATTCAATCATTCGTTATCATAATAGAAAATATAATTCCTTTTTTAATAATTAATATAAGACCATATCTATGATATATTGTAATTGGATCGATAATGTACATTTTTTCATTAACATTGCAGTAAAGTCAATATCTTTTTATTTATAGCCAATAAAGATACGATATTTATATTTATTAACTAAGTTGATAGCTAATTTTATTAAGAATCAAAAGTAAAGACTTTTATCATAAGATGTAATTAATAACTTTCTTTCAAAATTTTTAATGTAGTTAAATGCATTTTTTTTAAAAATATTTTTTAATTTCTTAACTAATGTATTAAAGTGTCAATTAGTAAGACTATTTTATTAAATATTTTTTATTTAATAAACTAACTTAAATTTGTAGATAACATCTTTACGTTAAGAATTAGCATATCAACTTTTAACCATTTTCTTAACTTTTAAGTATGTTATTAACTATTTTTACTTGACAATCCATATATATTTTCACGGTAAATTAAAATTAATCAAGATTAAAAATAATATAATTCAAGTAATACAAGATATATTTATACTTCACTTTATACATTTGTTGTTTATTTTAAAGGAGTGATAATCAAGTTGTACCTATTAAAATATTAGACACAAATTAATGTTTTGTTTTAATAAATTAATACAAATAAAATAACATTTTTATTTAATTAATGAGAAAATAAAAATATTAATTAAGTACATTAAAGATACTGTTAAAGAATCAAAAGTAACGACCTTTTATTAAAATATGTAAAAAAATATTTACTCTGATAATTTTAATATAATTTTTAATAAAAATTATTATTTATTAAATTTTTAAATAAAATTTAGCAAGATCTATAAAATGAACATTTATTTTATTTTTAAACTTCTCTCTCTCTCTCTCTCTCTCTCTCTCTCTCTCTCTGAATCAAAGAGAGGGTAAGTGTCTTTATCCTGGCCAAGCTGCGGTGGGTGTGAACTCAATAAAGGTTGACAATCAGTATGTAAAAATAAGCTTCTTTTCTTTTTATGTTGAACGAAAATTTACGTTGAGTGAAAGACTAGTCTCCTATAAGAAACGAAAGCGTAAAAAGATACTACTTTAATAATCAACCTTTGACTAAAACTCAACCAATCATAAGTAAGGCAATGATAAGTCAAAACAGGAGGCTGCAAAGTAGGACAAAGTTAGCAAAAAGTATGAACATGTTTAAGAAGCTTTCTTTAATTCTTTGAACGGTGAAAATTTCCTTTTTAAATAAGTGAAAATGACGTATCTCGATAAAGATAGATACCATGTTTGTTTTATCTTCAAAATCAGTTTATCAGCAATATTTAACATAAATTGCACATTAATCGTTATATAAGTGTAACTTATCTTCTGTATTTACCAATTAATGGCCACCAACCATGATGGGGGAAGATAATGCATACCCCTTGGGTTGACCACTTCATTCCCAAATACAATATCTACTGGCTTGCAAACCCACGAGGTGTAGCTACCATATTTTGCTACTTGCACAACTTATTTTCATCGTCCTTGTCTACGTGTCTTACAACTTAAGCTTTGTCAATGTTAGTATTGTAGCAGTAACATATAATTTAAGTAAAACTTCAATTATAAGATAGATTTTGAAGCCTTGATTGTTGCAAATTTTTTAGCGATAGGAATTGAACATATGATAAAGGAATAGAAGTATTTAATATACTCGATCGATTGAGAATAAATAAATCACCTCAGAACATTTAAAACTAATTTTATTAACATTATCATAACACAGACAAGGTTAATTAAATATTATAGTTCACCGTCTAAGAATTAAATCTTCAAGATTCTGTGAAGAATATATGACAGGATACATGCAGTTAAGTGACGAAGTACCTTCACTTGATTTTTAATTTCTAAAAATCTACCGTAACCTTACTAAAATAATGCAAGCAGGATTCGAATACGCTTAACAGCAAGCCAGGTGAATCTTAGATGTGAAAAATGAAAACAAACAAGCGAGCAGGAACAGCTAGACTTGGGTCAATGATCGTTGCATGTGAGGGGACCTAAAGACATGTAACATTAGGTGTCTAACATTTCAGATTCCACTTGTCCAATAATAATTCAATAGCCAATCTTTTAGGCTTCCAAGGTTACTGAAAGACCATCACCTCATAATATATTATCGCGGTGTCTCACTGGGATAGTGACACAGAAAGCAGCAACACAGCAACTAAAAGTTAGGTTCCATTTGGATTCTTCCACTGAGAGAATAGAATTCAGAAAACCAATATCCTAGTCCAACTTGGGAAACCTTTTCCCCACCTCTCATCTTTCAGGAAAAAGTTTACCACCTCACTTTTCATTGCATATTCCAGAATCCCCAAACAATTTCCTTATCAAGCCACGCGCACACATAGTTTCATTTCATATACCTAAAAAGTTAATATATATTTCTTACCATATTTTAGTGACTAAGAAACTTAATTTTAATATATATATATACATATATTATCATTTAACTATATACTGTTAAATTTTTTTGAAATGTATCATATTGTCAATCATGTTTTAAGTTGAAAACTCGACTAAATAATTTTCATTATACAAAAGAAAAATTTATATATTTTAGTATTTGTATATTTAAAAATTTTTTTAATTAAGTTTGTGATGAAAAAACTATTGAAAGATGTGGAAAAATGTTTTTTCTTGGGAAAATGATCTAAACCAAACATGATTTTAAATTTTTAATGTGGCTGTTATAGCGATTTGGCCAGCTACTCGTCTATCTTTTCTCTGCTAGGCCCTGTGAACTCGTGAGGTGTGTGCTACTGTGCTTGCTTTGTAACTCGCTTTTGCGCTCTCTCTCTCTCTCTCTCTCTCCACTATAAATACAGAACTCGAGTCGGCGGCAACAGCTTCCGTTGGTTTTCTTTTCTCGCTTCGTTTGTGCATTCTCTTGATTTTTCTGCTTGGCATTTCTCTCTCTCGGCGCACTTGGAGCTTCGGTGATGGCGTCGTGCTTGTGAGTTCTTGTTGCGTTAGTGAAGAGGAGTGAATCGCTGCGAGTTTCATCATCGGAGTATTTGTGTTGGCGATGGCGGAGGAGAAGGGTGAGGAGGGAGTTGTTGCGGCGCAGAAGATAACGGTTGGAGTCTGCGTTATGGAAAAGAAGGTGAAATGTGGCTCCGAGGTTCTCTCTCTTCTTTTTTATGGATCCTGTGTTTCTTCGTTTTATTGTTCTTCTTTTGTCGTGGAAACAGAGAGAGAGAATCGCGATGAGTTGTTGTGAATGTGTTTGATTCACTTGCTCTGTTTTTTATTGCAGGTTTTCTCGGCGCCTATGGAGCAGATTCTTCAGAGGTTACAAGCGTTTGGTGAGTTTGAGGTAGGTGAATGATTGCTATTTTCTTTTTCACGTTCTGGTTATATCTTCATTGATTTGAATTGGCTTGTTCATAAATCTACTAATGACAGCACTATTCAAATTGTTTCCTCCGTAATGCGTTAAAATTTACTCGATGCTATTTTAATTTTCCTGTTATATTTTATAATTTTCTCTTATATTTTTGTGTAGTAGCAGAGTTGATCGTCATGGTTATGCTTTGGTAATTTTCTCACCTGTATGTTGTGTCGTATTCAGGTCGTACATTTCGGGGACAAGGTCATCCTAGAAGAACCGATTGAGAGGTATAATTGATATCAATTGGAACTTGTTTGGACCCAACATTTTGAAGTACTGTATTGGTCTATTTATTGCTCGTTTTAAAAGCTACATCTGTTTAATCAAGCACCTGCTTAGTGTTTCATAGTAACTTCCACTTTTATTTCTCTTCATTGACCATGGATTGAAATGATATACTGTACTAAAGCTCTATCAATAGGCAGAGTTGGTTATTGTAATGTTTGAGGACATTATACATGCACCTTATCATGAAGTCTTGGTTGCTCTAAGCAAAAGAATTATCTAAATGTCATGTGAGAAGTTAAATTTCCAAATTGAAGGATTCGCTCCCCTTCCTGGCATTTTATAATGCCATTGACAGTAGCCAGTTTTCCCTTCTATTGTTTGGATGAATGGAAAATAAGAGAATGGTAATGATGCTGAGAGTTATTCCTTTTATGGAAGTAGAGAGATTGGCATATACATATATTTGGCTACACACTGGAAGGGATAAAAAAGAAAATGAAATCGGATTATAGAAATTACCGTTTTATGTAATTTTTATTGGATTCATTGTCATTGGTGGTGGATAAATTTGAAAATTCATATAAATCATTGGATACTTTACTTTCATTTTTACTGTTCCATTTTTAGAGGGAATAAAGATTAAGACAAAAATGCATTCCTAGGGAACACTTTATTTCATCACCATGCTTTCCTTCTATCATAATGCATCCAAACAGGGATCAAACAGTCTTTTATTTTATTTTTCCTATTATTTTCCAATGTGTTGGAATGGATGAATCATATTTGCATTTAGGACATGTAAGTTATAGCTGAAATTCTTGTTGCTGTCAACTTTGTAGGCATTTATAGTTGTTCTGTTTGCATACTAAGTTTAAATATTATGTATTTCAGCTGGCCAGTATGCGATTGTTTGATCGCTTTCCATTCCTCTGGATATCCCCTGGAAAAGGCTGAAGCATATGCTTCTTTAAGAAAGTAAGCTTGTTTATTTACTAACTCACTCTATTTGATTTGTATGTCATATATATTTTAAAAATCATCAAAATCCTATACAGTCTATTTTCATCAAAATGTTGGATGATGCTACTGCAAGACGTTCTGGAAATATTATTGGGGCTATGGTCAGTTATACCAAGGATGGGAAAATGCTGAAGTAATATGAAAATACTTGTATGCTAGCTTTTTGATAATCAACTTCTAAAAGAAGCCTAACTAACAAATTTGGTATTTAAAAGGAGTTTGGTTGACTAATGGTGCAGATTAAAAGATTCAAGCTCTGTAATCTGTTCATTGTGGAGGTGTTTCTTATGATATGCTGTTGTGGTTTCAGCAAGAATAAGGAGGATATTATTTTATACCAGTGTCATTTCATGCTGTTCTCTGTTTGTATCTGGTTGCAGAGTGTCTCTTTTTCCAGTGGTGTCTCTTGGGCCTCACATTTGTCATGAGATAGAATTCAGTTTTTAGCTTCTTGTTCATGCTTTGGTCATGCTTGTTTTAATTGAAGTGCTATAATTATGTGCACTGTGTTGGACTTCTTTGCTGCTTTTTCTATTTTGATCCCCTACCCTCCTCTGTAGTATGGTTTGTTACATGAAATATGGATGCTAGTGTTAGGCCTCATGCAATTACTACAGTATATTTTAGGAGGAATTTGGAGGAGGGTGGGGGAGGGGATAGGGGACTAAAGACTTGCGACAGTGAGTATAATGGAAGGGTCAAGGGACAGAATGGGGATTTGGGCCGTATCAACCATTCAACCTTAACTCAGTGACAAGGGCAGTGGAAAGTAGAGTAATGGTTAGGAGCAAGCCATTAAGGGGAGTGTAGTGGAGTGGAGAAGGCATGAGGTGGTTGATATACATCTTGTAACTTCAGTTGTTAGGGCAATGCATAATCTTTTGCTGTGAGCAATGGGTGTTTTAATGTTTTTAGATTAGGATTTTTATGTTGAGTCGCTAGTCCTTGTAATTTTCATTATCATAGTGGATTTTCTATTTATGTTTTTTGCAAACATATTCCTACAATTTTGATTGAAATTCTGTATATATTTATCTTTTCCTTCTTCCCTGTTACATATCTGGTTACAACATTGTTTTTTACGTTGTCCCCCAGACAATGCTGATGTTCACTTACTTAAATATGTAAATGCATAGGAAAAAATTATTCACATAGTCTGTGTTCCATTTCTTTTTGTTGTAGTTTTATTTCAGTTATTGTATGAGAATGTTTATTGATCTAAAACCTGTGCCCTGTGAACCAGACCTTTTCTAGTAAATGAACTGGAGCCACAGCACCTTCTTCATGATCGAAGAAAAGTATATGAGGTAGGGGGTCAATTTCTTTCTTTTGGTTTTGTTCTAACTGCTGTGTTTTCAGATTTCATGACATTTCTCATTGTTTACATTAAGCTATCTTGGATTTCCATTTAAGAAATAAGTAATTTTTTTAAGCTTTCATTTTCTTGAAGCCTTGAATGCTTGGTAATAAACAATATGGCCACAAGCTGATACTCTAACATCTGGTCCACATAAAAAATATGAAGAGAAAAACATTAAGCATCACTTGGCTGCCAGACTGATTTTTCTTTTCCTGGAACCATATACTAGGCCATGGTTTGCTCTTTTTTATATAACATTTTTTCAAGAGGTGATATTAGAAAATAGATGTTAGTGATACAAGGCCACTCTTGGATCTGTTCTGAACAGCTTAAGTGTTTAGGAGAGTTGTTTTTTGAAATGGTATTGAGGTGCCTTAATGAAAAGTGCTTACGAGTTTGATCCTTGAGCTTGACACATTTGAATTTCAGCACAAGGTAAAATGGGCTTGTGCATTGTACGTTTAGGTGAGTTGGTCATTGACCATAGACAAGACCTATTCTTGATTTTTCCTTCCTATTGCCTAACTAGCCATTGTTCATCAGAAGTCTGATTGTTACATTTTTTTTTTGGGGGGTAAATCCTCAAAGTTTATATAATCCATCCTTTTAACACCCCTAAGAGACACATTTGCTCTCCATTCATTTAAATATATTGAAAATATATTTGTGTATATATGGTTGTTGTTTTAATGTTTGACCTATTACAGCCAAAATATTTTTTTTTCCGAATTCTTTTCTGATTTATTTAATATAATGGTTTAATAATGTTTAATTTTGGGGTTCAAGCGTCTTGAAGAGTTTGGAATCTCTGTTCCAAGATATGCCCTTGTAAATAGGGAAGTACCATATCAACAGCTGGATTACTTCAATGAGGAAGAAGATTTTGTTGAGGTTCATGGTATGCGTTTCTGGAAGCCATTTGTGGAGAAGCCCATTGATGGTGAGCCTATTTCTTGTATTTAAGACTGTAACTGTTCTGCAGTGCCGTGTTTCATTCTTGTCATAAAGGCAATGCATTTTTATTTGATCTATGGGTCTTTTTTACAATACAACTTATTTATGCAATGAGCATTTCATTGGGTTGCTTTAGCATGAGAATGACATATGAATCTTTGGGAAGCTGTTAGTGTTACATGTATAAGATATACCTAAAATCTTAAAATACTATACTGGCATTTACATATTAAAGAACTTCTAAAATTTGTGGATATTGTAGAGTTATCTAAATTCTAATATACTTTTCTTTTTGTGCCATTTATTAAATGATAGAAGTTAGACCCTCAAAGATGCTCTTATCATACAATTGTTATTTGATACTTAGCAGAATGATATATTGATTGCAATTATTACTGTTTATCTCTTTGTAAAATAGTAATAAATTTGTTGAGTTCTGAATCTTTTGATGAATGATGACAAATTCATTTTTTTTTTTTTTTGTATAATTGATGCATAACCTGTTGGAAAATGTTTTCTTCAATTTGGTATAACCCTTATTTTGTTGTGTGAAGGTGATAATCATAGTATAATGATATACTATCCCAGTTCAGCTGGTGGAGGTATGAAGGAATTATTTAGGAAGGTGAGCTTTTGGCTAACATGTGACTCTCCCTAATCGGGTGGGTGTATTGTAGTACTATAATTATTAAATGATGTTAGAGCACATGGTAAGTAAAAAACACAGCAGTTACATGATCATTTAAGCTATCTTATTGTACATGGCTGTTTTGGCTTTTTACCTGCCTAAGTAACTAATGAATAGTCAGTAGAATAAAAAGGTAGACAGGCATTTATTTTAGCTTTGGTGCTTATAATAAGCTCAACCTCATTCCATTTCATTTTTATTCTTTGAAATCAACATTCTGTTTATTAAAAGCAACATTAAGCTCTGAGAAAGTTGATGCAATCATTTCTGATTTTTTGAAGTCTTATGACTAAATGTAATTAAGCAATATGGTCTGTGTTGGGTATTTTATTATCTTAGGTTGGCAACAGGTCTAGTGAGTTCCATCCAGAGGTGAGAAGAGTGAGGCGTGAAGGCTCCTATATTTATGAGGAGTTCATGCCAACTGGAGGGACAGATGTTAAGGTTTGGCAATTTGTGGTTTATGTTGCATTGTGTTTGTTTTTATATATGTTTCTTAAATCTTATATTTGGGATGTTTTTGACATATGTAATGTTTCTCCATAGTTTTTCACAATAGAAATGATTTTCAATATTTTGACATATGATTGTAGGTATATACAGTTGGCCCTGAGTATGCTCATGCTGAGGCAAGAAAATCTCCTGTGGTTGACGGTGTTGTTATGAGAAATCCTGATGGGAAGGAAGTAAGTAGTCTGTCAAACATTCCAGTCCCTTTTCCCATATATATAGTCTACATTTTGTTCTTGCTACATTTTATTCTGATATTTACATTTCTTATACGTTCTTTTCCTAATAATTGGTGTCTATTACTACTTGAAATAGGATTTCTCTCAGGTTTCCTTATTGTACTAGAGTTATTCTTTATTGTTAGTCAGCAGAAAATATGGTTTTATTTCTAAGATGTTTATAACATCAATTCATTTGCTTTTTCTTAATCACTAATGTGAATGTGTGCATGAACTGCTATATCAAACAAGTATTAAACATCAAATACTACACTCATGTTGAAAAATACTATTGTCAAACACAAGTTAAAAAGGTAACTAAAGTATTTTTTTCATCATCTATTCTGCCAAGCACTCTAGTTGCTCCTCTTGAAGTTTTAATTGAATTTGTTATATTAACAGTATTTATTTTTAAAATATTAATGAAAGAGACTATAAGGGGGTGTGGTTCATGGAATGTTTTATTGTTCGCAGGAAATAGTATATCATTATTATATTTGAATCAAGCTTAGGAAATTTGCAATAATTTATCATAATCCTCAGAATGCAATCCCATGTTGAAGTGATCAAATTCCCGTAACAGACATATTGGTTCATTCATTCTTAGAACTTAAATGTAAAAGGACAACATTACTATCCACATGACTTATGTCCCTTCCCATACACAACCACCTTTGTCAAACCACTGCTGTTACTGTCATTTCCTTATACCCACCGCTGCCTAAGCCTAAATAACATTCCTTAGTCTAAACAATAATATAAAGTAGGTAGAAACATAGTTATCAATCTTAGATAGGAGGTGTGTAGTGGCAACACCAAAAATGCTATATTGGGATAGCACACACCGGGATGACCGCTATTTAAAAATATTGTATATAAATTAAATAATCTATACTACATATATAAATACTAAAAGATTTTTAAACAAACTTAAAATCCATTACATATTCATAATTAAAAGTAAGAAGTCATAGTACAAGTAAAAAAAAAATCCCCCAAAGCAGTGCTTTTATTGGGAAAAATTGGTTTTTTTTTTTTTTTTTTTTTTTTAAGTTTCACTCTAGCCCCGCTACAGCAGTGATACGGCTGCTACAACCACTATTCAAATTTTATAGCAGCCTTTGGCTGCTCTGCTTTGCTGTAGCGCTACTATAGCTCACTAGTGATAACTTTGGGTAGAAAGTACTTAAATAACTCTAACTGAAATTATGTACTTTTAATTGTTTTAGTAACACAATTGGCACCTAGATCCAAACCAAACTAATATAACAGATGAAATGATTTTTAATCTTAGGATTAATGCTAGTCATCTTCGTTAAACATAACTGATATGAGAACCCTAAAAAACAGTTCAGTTATCATAAATGTTTTTGACCCCTGATAAAGGTAATCTGGATGAAGACTTGTGGTGTTAATATTTGATGTTTTCATTTAATTTTTAGGCTTCCTTTCAAATGCAGAACTGACTTTCCAGTTTTCATTTACCATTTCTTGGGTGTTACTAATGTTAGGTTTATAAGACTCCTTTGAAGTAGCTTCTATTATAAATCATGTTCCAGAGTAGGTAGCTTGGATTATTGTATACTCTTAAAAATTATCTCTTGTCTATTCTCTCTCTGCTCTCTTCTTATGTCTTCTTGCATGCTTTTACAACAACCTTACACCAGAGCTCTCCTAAAGTGTAACAGCTTTTTTGGGTTTCCTAAATTGTTTGCTTTTGTAGGTTTTAATATATCCTTTTTTAGTTGTGTGAAGAATTAATGGTTATCTGTTATAGATTTTGGGGGGATTGGAGAAGAAACTAACATAGCATTCAAAAGCAGGTTGGTGTGCAACAATATTTTGATTTTTCTTGCTGAAAAATGTCTATGACAGGTTAGGTATCCTGTGCTACTGACTCCAGCTGAGAAACAAATGGCAAGAGAAGTTTGCATTGCATTCAGGCAAGCGGTATGTTGTGTGAATGTGGTAACTGAAATACTGCATGTCATTAAAAGATTATGTTTTTCCTTTTTCTGTTATGTGTGACTATTTTCTAAAATTTCATTGGAACTGGCTGTTTTGCTCCTCGGTTTTATGGCAATATTAATTTGCATGAAACTTGTGCACTGATTAGAAATCCTAGAGTTGTTGGACCTTTCCAAGTGTCGATGTTTTGTATCTCAGAATTGTTATTGAATCTTGCAGATGATTACATTTCTGTTTCTTTGTCACTTTTTTTTCCCATTTTTCAATTGCATTAATGCTTAATTCTTTCATTTTGTCATTTATTTTTCTTCTGACAGTATCTTGATCAGTAGCATAAAAATATGCTCTAAATCCGTTTTTGGAAAGTAACCAACTTGACAAGTTCTACATAAATAATTGGAAATACTTTAGTTCCTTTTATTCCCAAGAAAAATAGTGGTTGTTCTGTTTTCTCATTTCTTATAACTATTAAGTCCTTGGATTATGTGGCTCCAAACTAACTTTGTTCTGGTTAAGGGCTCTATAGTCAAAGGTGTGGCTGAGGTGGGGTTCCTCAAAGATGCTGGTTGAGGAACTTTCCCTTCAGTTGTCAGTTGTCTTTAGCACTGTTGGTGTATCTTTCTGGTTTAGGGAAAACGCACTTTTAGCTGCTAATTGATAATTGTAAAAACCCAAAAATCCCGTCCATCCAGCTTGCTAACTTTGATGTTAAAAGGGGTAAAATAATAATAATGTTCAAATAATAGCTAGTTGTTTGTCCTTGGGACTCTTGGCACTAAGCAGCTTAGGGTTTTGTAAATTGAACATCTTAGGATTCTATTTTTACTCCAAATGTTATGCTTTAGTAGTGACTCTATATGATAAATTAGTACAAAATATTAAAATAAATATTTTCCCCTAATATAAGGCATTTGTAAGTGAGGTGTATACTTTTTGGTGCTCTTGGCCCAAGGCAATAAAATGGCCTATCATCTTTGACTACCTTGGTAATGGGTAGCACAATTGAAGTTTGCACATTGCTGTATGCATTCAATTTCATATGCATGTTACACACATTTGAAGATGAGATTTCAAAACTGGATGTCTTAGTGAAGAAAAATTTTGGCCTGTTCCTCTTATTATCTTACTATAAGTCATTCTTGTTGCTTGCAGGTTTGTGGGTTTGATCTTTTGAGATGTGAGGGACGCTCCTATGTTTGTGATGTGAATGGATGGAGCTTTGTTAAAAACTCACACAAGTAACGATTTGTGATTGTACTGTTTTGGCTTTGTTTGTTTTAATGTTGGAAACATGGTTGAAAGTACATGAAATTCATGAATAACTATTTGTTTTGCTTCTAATTATAAACATAAGATTTTATGTACAACTCTTTCCTCATGAGATTTATATCTCATTCAGTGGAATTTATTTGGTCATCCTATTCTTAACATATGTTTGAAATGGCAAGAGAGTAGAGACTATGAAATGCTATTTGAATAATGAAAAGTCCCCCTATTAATGGTAAGTTAGTAACTTCCTTTCATGATAACCAATGCGCATAATATGTTGAATTTTGGTAACCATATCAGCTGGTCCCATCCCATAACCTGTATTCACTTTAAGTAACATTACATCTGTGTCTAAAATACATATTGCCTATTCCTGGATTAAGAATATTGCAAATAATTTTTCCTATCTTGATTTTGGGAATCAATTGATATATTGTTGAATTGGAGGTTGCTCAATGCCCCTATCATCATGTTTGATATTTTTACAAAAAATAGTTTGATTAAAAGAATGAATATCTATGGAGTGTAAATCAATTTACCCAACATATATATCGTATCACACCCTGTGAAATATGTTAAGAGAAAGGTAACAGTTTAAATTCAAATTCTAAAGCAATGTTCAAATTTAGTAAACTTAAATCTGAGAGAAGTACATATGAATAGGTATATAGATGACTAGGATCCCTAGACAGCCTCTTAATAAACTATACGCTTCATTCAAGAATCTTGCATACCCTTATGTTGCTGTTTAGCAAAATTCATTGCATCAACAAAGTAGAATTCTCACTAACCTGTGAATTTTCTGCACTATTTAGTTGCCTTTTTCTGTGCTATATTTATTACATGCTGAAGAAATTTACTTTAAGGAAACCAAATGCCCTTGCAATCTTGGCCGTGTTAAGGACTAGGCATTTGAGACTCTAATACAATTTTACGGAAGAATATAAAAATAAGAAAAAAAAAATCACTTGTTCATGTCAACTTTGCTAGTTGTTTGACAAAAATAATTTATTTTTGCTATCATGCATTGCTTGTTTCTCTTGCCATTTATCTTTTGGTGAAAATGTTGTTCTTTTCCATTTGCTGCTGCTGAAGGTATTATGATGATGCTGCCTGTGTGCTGCGGAAGATGTTTTTAGATGCAAAGGCACCTCATCTTTCTTCAGCAATTCCACCAACTTTGCCTTGGAAAGTAAATGAACCAGTCCAACCTTCTGAGGGACTTACTCGACAGGGTAGTGGTATTATTGGTACTTTTGGACAATCTGAGGAACTACGATGTGTAATTGCTGTTATTCGTCAGTATGTTCTATTCCCTTTTTAACTTAGATATTTTAGACATCATATTCTTTTCTATTTACTCTCTTGTTTTGGCAGTGGTGATAGAACTCCTAAACAGAAGGTGAAGCTAAAAGTTACTGAGGAAAAGCTGCTGAACCTAATGTTGAAATACAACGGAGGCAGACCAAGAGCTGAGGTAACATTATTTTCCAGTTTTCTTGTAATATTTAGCAAATTTTGTTTGAGCTACTGGATTTTTGACCTCTTGCAAGATCTAATGATCTTTAGTTTTCAGACAAAACTTAAAAGTGCTGTTCAACTGCAAGATCTGTTGGATGCCACACGCATGCTGGTTCCTCGTACCAGGTATTTCATCCTGCACTACAATAATGAATTACACATTAGCATCTCATGCAACTCACTTTCAATTTCATAGCAAAGATTTGTCAAATTTTGGAAGGTGTGACTGGTTTGATAGTCAACTTTCTTTTCAATTTTTCTTTTGATTGGACAAACAGAAGGCTTGTGCAATTTCCTATTTTCGCATCATTATTATTTGCACATTTTGAACAAATGTAAATGTATATTTCAATAGAAAGGGAAAAGAAAATCGAAGATCACTTTTTCCTGTGAAGAAGAATGTTTTGTTAGAAAAGAAAAGAAGAGAAAAGAAATAAAGTTTGGGTGAACAATCCATTCTGTTAAAATTAGACTAGAAAGAAAGATCATGAGAGGAACCTCTTAGATTAGGATAGAAGCATTACTTTGGTGCTGATCTGAAATGGATATCAGTTGCTGATGTGAATTTGCAGAATTTTCACTCAAACGGGACAGGGGAAAGACAGAAACAGATATTGTTGCAGATATCTTCCTGCCATATCCTTCTCTTCGTTTTATCCTTTCTGCTAACCAATTCCCCTTTGCTTCCCACACCCTTTGCCATGTTGGCAAGGTTGTTGCAACCACAAATCTCTCATCTGCTACTCATCTTGATAATTAATTGTATATCGCTCAGAATATCAAATATGAGAACAAATCAAGTAAGCCAAGTGCACCAGTCCAGCTATCTGAAAGCAGGATGCTAACAAGACAACTTCATCGGATAGAAAAGACAAAACATAACATTTTTGGGGTTCATACAACAAATCTATAGTCGTATATGGTGCATTTTCTTCATTAAGGAAGATTTCCTCTTTCATTACAGACTATTTAATGACACTGACTAGATGCCAAAGGAAAGGTGTTATTCCCTAACGAAACTATGTTTTTTTTTTTTTTTAATTCTTGAGCTTCTTGGAATCCATACACTCAGCTAGCAAACCAAGTAGACAGTTAGAATAGAAAGCTTTACATGTCTCTTCTCAAATCCTTCTAACAGCAACCAAGAAAATCCTCTATATGTGTACCAATTTATAATTTAGGAAAATTAGAAGAAAAGAAATTCTTGTACGAATATTTCTTGGTTTAGGAATAATTAACCACTCAACTAAAGTGACTAATTAAGTCAGTAAGCTGTTAATCACTAGCCACTCTTTAACATCATTCACTAAGTTATCAAATAAACCACTTTGCAGTTGCATTGTATGCTTTGCCATTTTTGTTTGCAATGTATTTCTTGGATTCTCTAATCAGTATTACATTTATTATTTAGGTTAAGCAAGGGTTTTGAATTAACTATAGCTGTATATATAATTTAGACCAGATAGAGAAAGTGATAGCGAGGCTGAAGTTGAGCACGCTGAAAAGCTTCGTCAAGTTAAAGCTGTTCTTGAAGAGGTTTATAATTCTCCTCCTAAATTTGTTTTCCATATGATATTAACAAGTTTGTGTAGTAATAATAACCTGATCGTAATTGAAAGTTGAAATTCACATTTCTTTAGAGTTGTTGACTTGCACCTCCCTTTGGTTGGGCTTGCTTTATGAAAATATTAACTGAATGTTCAATTCTATTTAAGCTTACAGATACAACTCTACAACTTGAAAAACCTTTTTCAATCCAAGACATTTTTGAGTACCGACTCTCCTAAGAAAAAAAAAAAGGACTCAGGAATAAACATTCATGGGTTGGTTTTTGGATAGTTGATTCTGGAGATGGTTGTATCAGAGTTTCGTCAATGACATGGTCAGAAGTTTGATCCTTGTTGCTCCCATTCTTCTAAATATTATCCAGGTTTCATGTCCAAAGGGCTCTTGCATGAAGGGGTGTTAAGAGATGTTTTTGTTAAGATGTCTTGCATTAGTTAGGAATATGGTCAGAGAACTCATTATATAGCTTGGATAATTATCCCTTTATGGGCTAGCTTTTGGAATTAAGTTAGGCCTAACTTATTTCTATGATGAGTGTGTTTAAGATGATGCACATTGCTTGGGAATATGGCCAAAGTAAACTTTATAATATTTCGACAAGCCTTCCCTTTAGTTAACATTTTGGGTTGAGTTAGACATTTATAATAGTAATAAAACCATTTTTGTTCTTACACCCAACAGTCTATGTTTTTGGGAGAATTGGTTCATTACTTTGACACACCAGGGCTCTTCTCAAGGACCTTCAGCTTAAAAATTAATTGCCTTTGCTTGGTTAAAAAAACTGGTCTTTGACTCGTTTGGACTCAAGTCACTTCTCCACCTCCTTTCTATCTTTTTGTGTTTACTCTTCATTTTCCAGGCTGTCTCTTTTTCTTCTTCTTTCTCTTTTTATTTTTCATTTCATTTTTTTAATCTTTATAGAAAAGGATGTTATGGGGTTCATATGACTATTTGATCTTGCCCTGGGATTAGTTTCTTGACCCTTATTTAGTTGATTCCCTGTGACTGTTTAGTTAGTACAATCAGTGCTTCTGTTTCTAGTTCTCCTAACAGATTTTCTTTCGTGTACTTATTATGGTTTTTTTTTCCTCAATCAGGGTGGGCATTTCTCTGGCATATATAGGAAGGTTCAGCTAAAGCCACTAAAGTGGATCAAAGTGGCCAAAAACAACGGTGATGGTGAAGAAGAACGACCTGTTGAAGCTCTGATGGTTCTTAAATATGGAGGTGTTCTTACACATGCTGGCAGAAAGCAGGTTCAGATTGATAAACACATCAAAGCATGTTTCTTCTCAGTTTGAGCTTGATTGTGCTACTGTTGTTGAGAGTAAATGAGATTCATTCTTATGATTCTCTTTCCAGTTGTGTTAATTGTATTTCTTTTTTTGTAGGCTGAAGAACTTGGAAGATATTTTCGGAATAATATGTATCCAGGTAACTCAAAAAGATTTTCAGTCAGCCCTGAAGTTTAAATTAGAAAGCACGGGCCACTGAGTCGCTTTACAGCAAACTTTTGTCCAGCCGTAACTGCTGAAGTAGTATAATGGATTTTCTAATTTACTATTTAAAATTTAGAATATCTTTAGACTCCTTTTTCAAATAGGTATGGGGGTTGCTTGACTGTGTGCTTTAAGAGATACAAGACTATCTACAGGTCTCTGCATAATTGCTTAAGCTTTTCATAAATTTGATATTACTGTTCTGTGTATTATTGGCTTCATTCACACCATACTCACTTCCCTAAAGCAGTCTGTTTTGCATGTGTTGAAAGGGAGATTTAAGTTTTCTTGTAATTTAAGTATAACAAAACATTTGTTTACTTATAAGAATAATTTTGTGTTTGAGCAGTTTTTCAGCCTTCCTAGCTCAAGTTCAATTCTTGGGATATAAACTCTGCTGTTAACTGATTGTGCTAGAGGCTTCTTACAGTCTTGCTGTTAATATATTTTCTTGAATAAATGTACTTGCTTTCCATTGACCTTATTATCCTGCTTTGGATCTAATTGTCAGGATGTTCCTATTCAAAAACATGTGATAAAGTTATGTTCCTAACACCATTATATGTTGTTCACATGTTCCATCACTCTAATGAAATAAATATTTCTTTCACTCAGGTGTTCCTTTTGATTTTAAGATATGCTATCAGTTGCTTTATTTGAGATTGTTCTTTAATCAAACAAAAAAGCAGTTCAACTTGGTGTTCAGATCTTCCAGTTTACACTTAAGGAACATGTAGCAAAAAGATATTATGAAATATATTTACATCTTAAAAAGTACAAAGATGTACAAATTTAAATGTTTGAGAGGTTTTGAACATGTTTTAGTCCATCTTACACTGTTCAAAAATCAATTTTTTAAGCATTTCAAATGGTTTCTCTGATTTTGAGAAGCTTTGGAAAGACAAAAAGAGAAGAAAGGGCAGTATCCATACTGTTTGTGAATTTGCATGTAGATATTATACTGTATGTTTAAAAGCTGAAGTACCACTGCTTATGTTTTCGTCAGAATATGTTTGAATCATGATCTTTTATTCTTCTTGCAACGTAGACATGACAATGGATTGTACTGTGTATAACCAAAGCAAATTAAATTCTTTAATATTGCAGGAGAAGGTACAGGGCTACTGCGCCTCCATAGTACCTACCGTCATGATCTTAAGATATATAGCTCTGATGAGGGTCGTGTGCAGGTATGGGCTGTGTTCCACTAACCTTCCTGCAACCAAAAAGAAGGCCTAAGTGGTTTTGAAAGTTGTTGGTCCCCTTTTTATTTATCTTTAATGTCAAGATTGTGTTACTAATCTGCATAATCTGTCATAAATAGCACCATAGGTTAACTATTTTGTAATTGGTCTGTTATCAGATGTCTGCAGCCGCATTTGCCAAAGGCCTTCTTGACCTTGAAGGGCAGCTAACACCAATCCTGGTTTGTTTGTTTATTTAATTTCTAAAGAATGCATTTGATCTGTTTTGTGTCTGATATAATTTGACTAAAAATATTGTTATATTAGGTTTCACTTGTTAGTAAGGACTCTTCCATGTTGGATGGGCTTGACAATGCCAGTATTGAAATGAAAGAAGCAAAGGTTTGTAATGTGTACAATGATTTATGTTTTCCTTATTTTATGTTTGTTAAATTTGGGCTTCTAAGTCTAATTCAACCCCAAAAGTTAGCTTGCAAGGTGAGAATTGTTTTAATCGTTGTAAGTTTTTATTTGGCCATATCTTTAGTTGATGTAGGACTTCAACACACCTTCATGTTTAAGATTTTGACATCTAGAGCATGAAAATTGTAGTGTGTATATATATATATATATATATGGATTCACAAAATCATGTGTGAAACACATTTAATAAAGAATGTATTAGAAAGTGTATTGCATTTTCACTGGGCCTGTTGGTTCATGACTTGGTATTAGAGCTGTTGAGATATTACGTAGATTATTGAGATATCCTAGGAGATATTGTTTGATTATGATTATGATTTGATTTGTTTTCTATGTAAATAGCCTTTATTTAGGTAATTAGGATTCATTATGTAATTAGGATTATTTCCTCAAATTTAGCTTGATTCTTTCTTTATTTTAGCTTCTCCCTGAATTATATATTAGGGTGCTTTTGTACAGATTAAATCATCAGATATATACATACTTTTTCTCTAATCTTAAGTTGGTATCAGAGCCCCTGATCTTGAGAGTTCTGCTTCTGCTGCTCAGAAACCCTAGCCTTCAAAACCCTAAAACAGAGCACCCTAAACAGTACCCAATCCTGCCGCCGGCCAGCCACCGTCAAGGCAAGTCACCGGCGACCCTCAGTCTATCTCGCCGTTGTCAAATAGGCGCAGCCCTGAAGCGCCGCTGCAGTCCGGTCACCCACGCGCCATCATGCGCGTTTTCTTCCCAGGAGTGTCACCGCGAGTGAGCCCCATGCGCCACCCTCCAGGCCGCCGGCTTTGTCAAACTCGTCAAAGCTTCCTCTGTTCATTTCTGGGGGGCTGTTCTCCAGAAAGTCCCCTTCTTGGCCCCTTTATCCTTGGTTGTCTTCGTTTTCCTGCTTTGGGTATCCATGAGTTCAGCGTCCAGCAACTTTGGATCTAGTGGTAAGGGCCTTGTGTCCTTTGTTTTCTCTGGCAACCTCTCCATAACTTCAGAGAAACTCAATGGTAAGAACTATTTGAATTGGTCGGCTACTGTTAAAATTTGGTTTCTTGGACAAAAGCTTATGGATCATCTCACCAAGCAGTCCTCTGAAATTGATGCTGCGTCATGAGGAGATTGGGAGCAGGCTGATTACCAATTGGTCTCTCTTTTATGGCATTCCATTGAACCTTTTTGTTAGTCCATTATCGCTCTTACACTTCGTGTTATGATATTTGGAAGAAGGTTCAAACGATTTATTCTAATGACATCCAGCAACTCTATGATGTTGTTCACAATCTAGCCACCCTTCAGATGACAGAAGATGATATTATGTCCTATGCTAATAAGGCTCAATCAGCCGTGAATGAATATAAACTTCTTATGACTGATAATGACTCAAAGAAAATGCTTGAGAAGCTTGACAATGTCTGTATGATCTATGTTCTCCGTGGCCTTAGTAAGGAGTATGAGTCTGTTCAGAGTCAAATTCTCACTGCCCGTGACATTCCCTCAACAGAAAGTCTCATTAGCCGCATCATACGTCTCCCTAGTCCAGGGGGAATAGGGAGAGGTGGATTCCAAACAGGCCCAGACTCTTCTGCTCTTGTTTCTAATTTTGCTAGTCGTGGAGGCGGAGATCGTGGTTGTGGTTGGGGTCGAGGTCGTGGGGGTGGCTGAGGTGGTCGTGGTGGAGGACGCCCTCAGTGCACCTATTGTAAGCGTTTTGGCCATACACAGGAAAGGTGTTACTCTTTGATTGGCTTTCTAGAAAAATTAGTCAATGTAACTCAAACCTCTGATGATGGAAAGCAGTCAGAACTCAGGAACACCAAACAAAATATGTTGTCTGATGATGAGTATAAGGAGTTTTTACAGTACAAAGCATCATAGACCTCGTTTTTACAGTTCATGATCTTACTCCAGGACTTGATAAGCTCTCTGCTCGTGCTATCAAGTGCGTCTTTTTTGGGTATTCAAGAGTTCAAAAGGGTTATCGGTGTTATTGTCCTTCCTCTCATTGGTTCTACACATCAGCAGATGTCACCTTTTTTGAAGACACACCTTTCTTTACATCTCCAGTGACTTCAGAGTCTGCTTCTCAGGTTCTACCCCTTCCTTGTGTCTCTCCTATAACTCCATCTACTTCAACATTAGACACGCCTTCTCCTCCTCCCTTGATTACTTATCAACATTGTTCGCGTTCTGACCCTGCTGTTGCTCCTCTTGAAGGAAGTTCTAGTGACTCATCTCCAGTTCCAATCCCTTCTCCTGCTTTGGATTCACCTGAGTCAGATGATCTTCCTATTGCATTTCGTAAAAGTATACGTTGCACTCATAATCCTCATCCCATTTATAATTTCCTCAGTTATCATCAATTATCTCCATTATACTTTACTTTCGTTTTTGCTCTTTCTTCTACTCCTGTTCCTAAGTCTCCACAGGAAGCTCTCTCTCACCCAGGGTGGCGACAGGCTATGATTGATGAGATGCAAGCTTTAGAATCCAACCAGACATAGACACTTGTTCCTTCTCCTTCTGAGAAATCTATTGTTGGATGTTGCTGGGTTTATATTGTCAAAGTTGATCCAGACGGACAAATTGATCGATTGAAAGCTCGCTTGGTGGCTAAAGGTTATACCCAAGTCCTTAGCCTTGATTATAGTGATACCTTCTCTCCTGTGGCCAAAATGGCTTTTGTTTGTCTCTTTCTCTCTATGGCAGCTATGCGACACTGGCCCTTGTATAAGCTTGACATAAAAAATGCCTTTCTTCATGGCAACTTAGAGGACGAAGTGTATATGGAGCTACCACCTGGTTTCGTTGCTCTGGGGGAGTCTCGAGGATATGTATATCGCTTTCACAAGGCCTTGTCTGGTCTCAAACAGTCCCCTCGAGCATAGTTTGGGAGATTTAGTACGGTTATCCAGCAGTTTGGCATGATTCGTAGTGAAGCAGACCACTCAGTGTTTTATAGATGCTCCTCTAACCGTTACATTTATCTAGTTGTCTATGTTGATGATATAGTCATTATAAGTAATGATCATGATGGGATTGCAGGACTGAAACAACATCTGGTCCGTCATTTTTAGACAAAAGACGTAGGTCGGCTATGGTACTTTCTTGAGATTGAGGTAGCTCATTCAAAGGCGGGAATTGTCATATCACAAAGAAAGTATGCTTTGGATATTTTGGAAGAAATTGGTATGCTGAATTGCAAGCTAATTGGTACTCCTATGGATCCGAATGTTAAGCTCCTACCCAATCAGGGGGAGTCATTTTCTGATCCAGAAAGGTATCGAAGGCTAGTTGGAAGGTTAAATTACTTGACTATAACCAGGCCAGACATTTTGTTTGCTGTCAGTATTGTCAGCCAGTTCTTTAATTCTCCTTGTGATAGTCATTGGGATGCTATAATTTGGATTCTGAGGTACATTAAAGGATCACCTGGGAGAGGTCTAGCTTACACAGATAGAGGTCATTTTAATGTTATTGCATACACAAATGCCGATTGGGTAGGTTCTCCGACCGATAGATGGTCCACATCAGGATATTGTGTCCTTATTGGAGGTAATTTGATTTCATGAAAGAGTAAGAAGCAGAACGTTGTGGCCAGGTCTAGTGCAGAGGCTGAGTACCGAGTTATGGCTCTTACCATATGTGAGCTCATATGGCTGATGACAGTGTGCACAATGCATAAGCTTACCTTTATGTTCAAATTCAACTTTTAATTGTATAAGAACGGAGGTGACAAGGATTAAAATTGTGACCATATGATCATAAAAGCTCTAATTTGATTCCTTTTTATAGACTAACTGTCCTAAAAGTTTTAGTTGAATATTTTGTAAGAGCATTAACTAATATTATTTTTAACATGCATTACAAGTAAGGTCCGGGAAGGATCAGTTTTTTACTAATTGTCTTCATTGAATATTTTGCAGGCTCGACTAAATGAAATCATAACCTCAAGTTCAAACACATTAATTAACAATGGATCACCTGAATTTTCTTGGATGGTTGATGGTGCTGGACTGCCGCCTAATGCATCAGAATTGCTTCCCAAGTTGGTAATGTTTTTGTATATATAGCAATGCATCATTGATTCTTTAACCTCTTCATGATTCAGAGGGAAGCTAAAATGCATTTGTTGAACTAGGGAAAGTAATCTGGTTCTTTTGGTGTGCTGCCTTATGAAGATTCTAGAATAGATTACATAATAGGAAAGAACTAAAATTTATAGGAATCACATAGCCCCATCTTGTAAGAAAACAACCACTTCAAAGAGAAAAGTGGAAAGCTTTCGTTGAAAGTAACTTAAATTGTCGGCAAGAAGTTATTGGCACATATTTTTGTACAATAAAATGTTCATTACCAAAATATGTTGATATGGTGGTAGATGAGTGGCACATGGATAAAAGATATCAGGAATGATGGAATCTATTTGAATGCTGTTGCTTTTCTTGACAAAAAGATGTGGGATTAGTGCCTATTTTTTTGTTTATTTAAAACATACTCACATGGAGCTCTTTGAATCTAAGAAGCATAGCCGAAATAGTGATGTATGTCAAGTTTCTTAGGTTGTAAACGTCAGGAAAAAAATTGATTTAGTTGGAAATTGTAAAATCTTGGTAAATTTCAAAATTGACATGGTAGATTGCTTTCCTTTTCAAAGATTATGCTGAGTTTTTGTCAGTATTTAGACTATCTCATCCTCTATCTGAGGGAATCTTATTTGCTGTTGTTTCAGTCTATTAATCTTGACAGGACAGGATAGTGTTTTCATCAGAAGTTTAGTTCCTTTCCTTCTAGGTTTTCACAACTTAAAGAATTTGAAACTGTTTGTGTGAAAGTGCAACTAAAGCTATTTTCTTTTCTCAATTTCCCCTCCATATTTCATGAATAGGTAAGTTTGATTAAGAAGGTTACAGAACAAGTAAGACTACTTGCCACTGATGAAGATGAGAAGCTTGCAGAAACAAGCTTATATGATGTAATTCCTCCCTATGACCAAGCAAAAGCCCTTGGAAAGACAAATATTGATGTTGATCGTATAGCTTCTGGATTGCCTTGTGGTAGTGAAGGGTTTCTATTAATGTATGCTCGGTGGAAAAAGCTTGAAAGGGACCTGTATAATGAACGCAAGGAGTAAGCATTTATTTATTTATTTGTTTGTTTTTGTTTATTATTGTTTGGTTTTATTATATTTCCTTTTAGATATTAGAAAACAAAATGTTACTTCAAATGCCATTCATACATGAAAAAGGTTTTAATTACATGCATGATCGAAGGCTTTATGATTGGAATTTTTTAGAACTAGTTATTTGTTACGTCAAAACTCAGTACATCCTCCTCTAGTTTGTATGTGGACACTATTCATACCTTTCCTTAATTTATAGATGGACTTATTTTTAAAATTTTAATACATATATTATTAAAATCTCTCATCTAAATTATTTTTTCTCTGAAGTGACCGTTGTAATGCAGTGTTTTTTAACTTTACTTTTTAGTTTTCCACTTACTAAAAAAGTCTAAAAACAGTGCTTTGGACTGTAATAATATTTACAAGCTATTTGGTTTTAAAAATGTTTTCAGTTTTCATTTGTTGTTTTCAATTTTAATTACAAAGTTGTCACTTTGTTTTCATTCTTTTTAAAAAAAAAAAAAATTGTATAAGAAACAGTGGAAATGAAAAAAAAAAATCAATGTTTCCTACACAAATATTTAAAATAAGAAACAAAATAAAAATAAGATAATAGTTTTATAATTCAAAGTGAAAATAGAAAATGTTTTTGAAACCACAAAAAACGTTTTCTATTTTTAATTACAAAGCTGTCACCTTGATTTCAATTTCATGTTGTTTCTTATTTTCGAAAATTTGTACATAAAATATTGAAAAAAAATTATTTTCAGTGTTTCTTGTATTAGTATTTGAAAACAGGAAACAAAATGAAACAGCAACCAAGCTGTATCTTACTGGGTGACGTTGGCTAGGGAAACAAAGTGAAACAATGTGGTAACTTTGTGATTAAGAGTTAAACTAGAAAATAAAAATAAAAAATCGATTCCTAAAACCGAACAACCCCAACTTTCCTTTTCTTGATTAAAATGCTTTTAGTTTTTCCTAGTTTCTGTTACAAATTGGTATTCTCCAGTGATAAGATCATTCACCAAACTATCATGAATTCCTCTACCTTGCACGTGCCGTTGTGCTTGCATCTTCTTGTTCTATGTGTGTGGAATGTACAGGCTGACACATTGATGGTGTTACTTGCCCAGGCGTTTTGACATCACCCAAATTCCTGATGTCTATGATTCATGCAAGTAAGTTCGTTATCTTTTTCCTTAGGTTATGATAAATTGGTAGAATTTTTTCATCTATACAATATTTTTGCAACATTGCATTATGGAGATTGATTAGATTCCTGGTGATATTTTTCCCATTTGGTGAATAAAAAAGCATAAAAATTATTGTTGCAATTATTAGTTTCCAGGAGCTTGTTTGTAAGTTTTGAGAGGGTATATTATGTAATGCTGACTGCTGAGTTTCCTGAAAGGATATATTAGTGTTAAACCTTTATTTTGTCTTTTATGTTTTCCTTCCCTCTTCACTCTTTTCCGATATTTATATCTCAGAGAACTAAGTTCAGCTAGTTTGCACTGAATGTTGCCAAAGTTTTGAAACGATGTAAGCAAATAAGAATGAAAGTCTAAGATTTTTTGGTTCTAATTTTAAACGATGAAGCTTTTAAATAATTGAAGTTAAATTATCCAGTTGGAAATGTGTCTCAAGAATATATGTCGGTATTACAGTTGTGATTAGGCATGAAGCTTTAGAAGATCCCTGCAGCTACAGGAAATTTAACTATTGGTCTGGCATAAGTAAAACACTTCACGCTCTGTTTTATATGCCAGTGTGTATCAATATGCATCACAGTTTAACTAATCTGCAAATTTATCAATTTTGAAGAAAAAATTGGCAGTTTCATTTTAATTATGTAGCTTCTTTTATTCCTTTCGTATGAGAAATTAACATTTACTTGCACGTTACAGATATGATCTCTTGCATAATGCACATCTCAATCTAGAGGGCTTGGATGAGCTTTTTAAAGTTGCTCAGGTATGAAAAGCTTCTTTGGGAAATTTGTGCTCAAGTAAAACTAATTGACCTGTATAAGAAAGATTTATTGAAATATAACTTTTGATGGTTTACTAGTGTTCACTGTTCCATTTTATTAACTATTGAGAGTTATCAGTGTATTGTCTTTACCATTTTGAAAGAAACTTTGTACATTAAAAAACAGAGTCAAGTATGCCCTGGCAAAATTAAAACACCCCTCATATAATATTCCACTGTATATCATCATCACCTTGACTAATGAAGTTAAATATTTTTGGTTTCCTTGTTGCTATGCCTTCTTATTTGCAGGCACTTGCAGATGGTGTAATTCCAAATGAATATGGAATTAATCCAGAGCAGAAGCTGAAGATTGGCTCAAAGGTAAAGTCTTTGTGTGAGGAATCTTGAAAATTGACTTTCCTAACAAAATATTTATACAGTATCCTTATTATGCCTCTGGACAAAACTTAACATTGTATGCTTTACAAGTGAACCCCTGATTAGTGAATAACAATCTCTTTGATAACAGGTGAGATCATTTGAACTATAACAAACATGAGAATTACTAGATGCCATGATATGTGAATGGAATCCAAATAGAACAAAATAGATCAGTCAACAGACTTGTAATATTGAGTATGGAGCAAAAAATAAGCTTAATTTTTCTCATGTATACAGTTGAATTTAATTGTTTCTATAAAAATAGCAAAAAATATTGTGAAAAAATAACACTTCCATTTGTGAGAAAAAAAAAAAAAATATGAACAGATTTTTGGATTTGTGTTTTACCACGTTTTGTTGTTGTTGTTGCTATTATTTTTATTATTGTCATGATTTTATTATAAAATTCACATAGGTACTTTAAATTGATTGTGATACAGAAGGGAAGGTTAGGATTGGCTGGAAACAAAATTGATAGTTAGGCAGATAAATTTAAGGAGGGGTAAATGATAGAACTCCAATTGATAAACCAAAAAAATATAGAGTTGAACATTGAAATCACATACAAACAGCAATACACTCGCTGTCCCAGACACAAAAGTCTCCTACAGAGAGTATTCTTTGTCTACAAATTGCAAATAACAGTACTTTTTGCCTAATCACACCCTACTATCAAATATGCCCTAATACATAACTGTGGAACTGCCGTCAGTTATTTTCTTTGAATAATTGTCATCGAGGCAGTTTCTGAACAGAACAGCTAATGCAGGATAAGCTATTATCTTCACAGACTCTAATAATACATCAGTGCTCCTTACTTATATCCAAACTACCAACATAACAGTTATTATTACACTTATATCTGATAGTGCATTACTGCACATGGCAGTTATAATCAGTTCCCATCAGCAAAAATCATCAATTGTCATAAAATTAAAGTTTTGTTAAGAAAAAGCAAATAAAATATTTTCCATGAATTCGGAAGAATCATTCTCACCTTTGTAGGAGGGAATGATGATAATTCCCAAGTCTATAGAATGAGGTGCTTGTTTATGCTAACAAATATGGGAATGGCCATTCCATGTGATAAAGCAAGAAATAAAATCACTATTCCGTTGTGTACTGAACATGATATACGAGAAGTAAGAAACGAGTGCTTGATTTGAATGATAAGTCTGAAACTGGATACTATGGTTGGTTAAATCCATTTATAACTATTTCTTGTTCAGTTTCTTACCGATAATATTGCTTGATGAACATGCAGTTCTCTGATTAGGTGCTGTGTTTCTACAAATGTACTTGTAGCTACATCCACCTGATTGCATTATTTTAATTGTTTGTGATGTTTTAATTCAGATTGCACGTCGATTATTGGGAAAAATATTAATTGATCTGAGGAACACACGCGAGGAAGCCATCAGTGTTGCTGAGTTAAAGAGCAACCAAGAGCATGTTTCATCGTCCTCAAAAACTGAAGAGGAGGAAACAGAAGCCAAGACAAAACTTCCCAACAAGAATGATGAAATAAGAAAATCCAACACTTTGAATGATATATCAATGGATCAAGATGATGATGATGATAAAGAGACCAAATATCGTTTGGATCCAAAGTAAATATCATGTTTTCATATTACTTTGTACTTTATCACTCATATTCTAATACCTTTTATTGTCCATCAGGTATGCAAATGTAAAAACACCTGAACGCCATGTGCGAACCCGCTTATACTTCACATCAGTGAGTGCTGCATCTGATTCTGTTAATAAACCCTGAACAGAAATTTACTTCTTAACCCCTCATTACCTGCTGTGTGATTTTAAAATATTTCTAACTTGTCTATTTCAATTACTAAGAGTTTACTCATTAACTATTTTTAACATCTTTAACCTGTTAATTTGTTAATTATTCCCAAATTAAGTATTTTACAATGAGTTCCATTCTAGTGATTTTCCCAAAATTTTATCATGATGTTGGCTGGGGACTATTGTTAGAGAATGAGATCCCTTTTTTCTCTTTTTTGGGGCAGACTTTACATCAAACTAGTTCTAAAACCTGCTAGATTATTGGTTGATCCAAAAAAACTTGGGAAAAAGGGGGGGAAATAATAAAAAAATAGATGTGGATCAGTAAAAAGTGAAATTCATATCATAGTGAAGCCAATTGTTGGGTTTCAGGGGGTAACAAGACTATAAGGCAGGCAAGTTGGTAGTCAAATATGTTGAACTGGCCAGTCCAGATCTATAAACACTGTTAACATTATTTACTCTGATGTCAAGTAGAATATTTTTTTTAATAAAATTGTCTTGGCATGAATGAGTTCATTTGATTGAAGATAATTTATTCATTTTTTATTTTCTTTTAGTACAACAAAGGCTTGTGGCAAGTAGCTTCTTCTCATTAAGTGAAGTCTCAAGTTTGAGTTCTACTACTTCTTTGAATGGAGAAAATAGGCTCTAGGATAGTTTTGCCCTCTTATGTGGACCACCTGGTTCCAGTCAAACTAATCAAACCCAAAGTGGCTTGCATCCATCCAAACTTGCAGATTCATAAAAATATTTTGTTGACATTTGCAAATAATTTATCTTAGTTTTATTTCCATACTTTTGTTTTTACCTTCTTATTCTTGTTGACAGGAATCACATATTCATTCTCTCATGAACGTTCTTCGTTATTGTAATTTGGATGAATCTCTTCAAGAGGAAGAGAGCCTTGTTTGCCATAATGCTCTAGAGCGCTTATATAGAACAAAAGAGCTTGACTATATGAGCTACATTGTGCTGAGGATGTTTGAAAACACAGAGGTAGGTTATTATGGCCATTTTCCCTTTCAACACTTCTAATTTGTTACTGCAACAACCTAGCCTTTTACCACTAGTTGACAATTTCTTTATTTTATTTATAGAATAAAGTGTGGTTCCGAAATGCTCAACATTAATTTGGTCCTTTTAATTCGTGGGTTTTGCTAGAAAAAGGTTTACTAGGATGGCATGCAATCACATTCTAGGTCCAGGGCAAGCCACATGCCTTAATGAGGACTTACAGTGGTGTAATGTGTTGTTGCTGGGTTTTAGGCCGTTTAGAGACTGGGTTTGATGGGTGAATGGCTTGTCCTGTTGTACCTTGGGTTGCATGGGAAGAAGGAGAGTTTCAGAAGGAAGGTTAAATTTTTTATTTTAAATAAATATATTTTAATTTGATAATTTTTCAGAATAAAAGATAGAAAATAATATATTAGTATAAACGTAATGTAGTAATCATTTATTTATTATGACAAATGATATATAACTCTCTTAATTTAAAAATCATTTTTTCGAATGGATCCCTTTTTCAAAAAACCCTTCACAAACAATCCCTCAAGGGTGAGGTGATCAAGCGCCCATTCTGTTTTTGTGAACTCTGCCGTCCTATTCTGGCTGACTGTGCTGTGTTGAGTGGTATAGGGGTGATATTACGAGTAACTAAGAGTCCAGTACAATTGACAGCATGAAGAATTCAAACTGATTTAGCATGAGACCACTATTGGAGAACTGTTCAGGGATTTGTTCAGAAGGATTGCATACAATGGGATTGTGGACTCCTTTACTCGTAGAGTCTTGATGCTGAAAATGTTGCCTAACTGAGCTTATTGATGCACTAAAGGGTTTTCAGTGTTCTCTTTCTTCTATTTTATGATGAATGACTATTCATGGGAGGAGAAATAGATGATTGTGCAGTTATGAATCCAATAGAGTCTTTAGATGGAGGTTTGTGTAGACTTGTATTAATGGGAGATATAATTTGAAATACTAATAAATTCACCTTCTTCCTAAGACTGTATGACATATGATGTTAATGCTTTGTTCTGGAATCCAGTTGTGATCTAAATGAGGTTGCCTGAAGCAGTGAGATGTAACAGAAACTGGTTTATTTTATCATGCACAATTAGATATCTAATTGAAAGCTATAATCTTTTCAGTGTGAACATTTATGGTATTTTGAGTGGGCATAATTGTCTGGAGTTGTGTCACCTCAATAGCATGTGTGTTTTATTGATTTTACATTTTTCAAATTGCAGGTGGCTTTAGAAGATCCAAAAAGGTTCCGCATAGAGCTGACATTTAGCCGCGGTGCTGATTTATCCCCCTTGGAGGTAAATGATATTCAATTTATATTGTTTGTTCATGAGCAATCTAGAAGAGGGGTTCGAATTCAATTCAATTCAATATCCACTAAGCATCAGAATCCTAACGGTGCAACTGGTTTTAAACTTCGTATGAAAGTATAAATTTTCTAGCTAATGCAGATAGCATCATTGTTTTTACTCAAACTTGCTGCTCATAACGTGTAGCAATATGCTGCGGGCTTAGTTTTTACGTACTCCTTTCATGCAAATTCCATTGATTGATTATGATAAAATTTCTCCTCTCGACAACTTTTTGAGAGGAAATATGTTGATTTTAGGTAATGAATTTCTTTCATTAGCTTATTTCTGCTGCGTTATATGCTTGACAGAAAAATGACAATGAGGCCGCTTCATTGCATCAGGAGCACACACTGCCTATTATGGGTCCTGAAAGGCTACAGGAAATAGGATCGTATCTAACATTGGAAAAAATGGAGATGATGATTCGTCCATTTGCTATGCCTGCAGAAGACTTCCCTCCACCATCAACACCTGCGGGATTCTCTGGCTATTTCTCAAAAAGCGTACTTGAGCGTCTAGTAAATCTTTGGCCTTTCCATAAGCATGTCAATTCTAATGGAAAATAGTTTACTCGTTAACTACTCCCTCTATTAATGTTCCAGCTTCATATTTCTAAATGTACATGGGAAAATTCTGATACAACCAAAGCGAGCTTAGGCTCCCCTGGAAAAAAATTTTTGGAGCTAACATCTTCCAGCTAAAGAATGTTGGAAGTTGCAGAAAATGGCCGTAGTAGTTAAAGCAAGCTTTCTTCGCAGCTCTTTCTATTATGTTTTGTTTGAAAATTGATATGATTATGGGAAGCAATTAGCATGAGGAACATTTATGTGTGAGAACGGGGTGATGTAGCAAAAACCTGAGAGCAAACGGTGAGGACTGTGGTTATTGGAAAACGACAGGCTTGGCTGGAAAGCGTTTGGGTTGCTAGAACCTGGGGGTAGTTGGAATATATGAAATGCGATTTTGGATCATTCGTGTTAGGGATTGTGGTGTTGACAGGACTTGAATCGATATTTACACAAAATCAGTTGACAAATCACTAGTTAAAAGAATTACAAGTTTTCTAAACATATAAATACATGTCCATAATAAATTCACTGATTAATGCAGTAAAATGTGACTTGTCTTGTGGACTTTCACTTATGTTATATTCTTTTTATCTGTTTTTTTTTTATCAAGATTTTTGTTAATATAAAACATAAAATAATGATAAAAATTAAATTAGTAAACTTATGAAAATATTAAAATAATGTTAATAAAAAATATTAAAATGATAAAAAGTAATTTAGATAATAAAGCTATGGGGAAAAATTAGATTGCTAGTTTGATAAATAAGTTCGATTTAAATTATATAAGACTAATTTTTAAAATTACATTTGAAATCTGATCTAACTTAATAGAGAAGTGGTTAGTTTAGTTCAGTTTGCTTAGATTTTGGTTTACTAATATTTTATTCTTTGGTTTAGTTTTTGTAATTATATTGGATTAGATCAGTACATTAGAGGTGAGTGAGAGAGACTATTGAAATCACCAAAATATCCTAAAAAAGTATTTAGGATATGGCAAGAGGATTTTTAAACACAAATTAAAGTATACAATTTTACGATAGCGATCGTGATTTCATGCTTGTTTTAATAAAACGTGGCATAATGCTCTATGCATTGATGATTCTGTTAAATGTAAACCCGTAATTGACTACTTTGAGTTGAACTGTTAAATCGTGAATCAATTCCCCATTGATTGATTTTGTCTCTCTGTCCACACCGTGATGAAAATTTGACGTCAAACGAAGTTCAAAGTCTAATGTCATGTCTAGTAGTAAATGAGCTAACAGGAGTATTGCTCTCAAATGACGTCTATTTTAGGACCTCTCCCAACTAGGATAGATAAGTACAAGGAAAGAGGTAAACCTAAATCCCTCCGTCTTAATGGCAGAATTGAATCAGAGTCTTAAAATGCGCCGAAATATCATGGAGGTTTAATGAAAATTTAGGTGATCATTTTAGTGTTCTGTAAACTCAGAACAATACTATAATTCATGTACATTACGACCATAACTTTGCACAACTGTATTACCATTTTATTTTCTCAAGGTCTGTCTATACAACCATTAAGATTCTTTAGGCTATTCAAATAAGATGCAAGAGTAAAATTGTGGGCATAACTACTAAGTAAAATATATCACGACTTCTTTACGGTGAAGACAAACTAGGTGGTAGGCATTCCATATAGTCACATAGGTCATGTGAAAAATGCACATATCGCTGTAAAATATATCTCCCCACGTAATTTGGGTGCTTAATGTTCATCTTAGACTTTCTCTTTTATGCTAACTGTTTGTTCTGATCTTAAGTCCACAATTCTAGGAGTTCTGATTTTAGGAAATATTTTCTGTTTTCATCTTTTATTGACAAAATTATCATCTTATTTTCATTATGTTTTCTATTTTTAATTTTTGTATAGGAAACATTGAAAATAATTGTCAAAACAGAAAATAATAATAGAAAATATTTTTTTATTGTTTCAGAAAATATTTTGTTTCCATTTTTAATCATAAAATTATTACCTTATTTTTATTTTCTTCCTTATTTTTAAATATTTATATAGAAAACATTGAAAATAAATTTTAAAATTTTCACTATTTTTTGTATAAAATTTTAAAAATAGGAAATAAAATAAAAATAAATTGAAAGTTTTGTAATTGTAAAAAACATAAAATGATAGGTAAACCAAACAATCCCCTAAAATTTAAAATTGATAAAGTTATATCAAAATGGTTGTTTCTTTGTAAAAAGGGAATCACTAGGAAATAGTGTCATAAGCTCAATGGGGAATCAAACTGGTTGACTCTATTTTTTGTTCTCTTACCTTAGTCTCCAACGGAATAATGACACAAAAAAAAAAAAAAACTATTGGCGATTTTTCTCTCTTAACTGCTGTTTTTTTTATTATTATTATTATTATTACTTAACTGGAGAGATAGTGACTCGTGCTGCACTAACGCATCCTTTCTATTTCTTCCCCATTTAGAACTTGTATTTCTAGTTTCGGGAATAGTTTGACTTTTAAACGGAGCTTTTTTTCAAAGTAAATTATACTATATTATCTTTAGAATAAATTTACATTACAAATGGTACAAAACATTGATCCATACGTCTATTATATTAGTTAGGGATTTAAACAAGTCATAATTATTCTTATTTCTTTACTTGAACAGTGACAACTCTACAACACACAATAAAATGCTGCTCTTTAATATTTTTTACACGATCATTTCTTCTTGATTGCAATGTCAGCTTGTTTTGACTGAGCTAGTTATTCAATTAGAGATAAGTAGGAAAAGGACTACATTCGATTTCTAATATTATAACAGCCTAGTGTATTATCAGTCCTTTGTGTAACTTTAGTATTAGAGTGTAAGAGGACGTTTTTTCCTTGAATCAGCATAAGAGATTTTGGAAATAATAGGATAATTTATTTGCTTTTCCATATGATTGTATCTTCATTAATGCTTAATAAAAATGTAAAATTTGTCACAAAATTATAAATGACATTAGATTGATCAGTTGCAGAACCTGAAAATCACTGAACTTGGCAAGAAATATCCATGAACAGTAGATAACTTTTTTCTCAAATGACAGTTTGGAAGAGCAATTTTGATGTGATTCTGTCAATGACCCACTTATTATATGGGGTACCTTCGTCAACGCTAAGTCTTCATTGGTCCAATTTATAAAGTTTCTACTTTCTATTGTCTGTATCCGCTGTGAGCAGGACGTGAACGTGTGTTCAAATATCAGGAAAACAATATGTTTAGGAAGGTTGCATAACCTCCGTAACACATCTGAATATCAAGAAAAATTAAACTCGTGGGAAGGTCACATAACCTTTGTTCCCCCAAAGCTAAACAGAATTAGTTTTTATGGGCTGTTGGTACCTAAGATATAAAGTACCTCATGATTTCATAAAAAGAAGTTTTATGAAGGAATCAACACAAAAATCAATTCTAGTAATATTTTTTAAAGATAAAGGAATAACTCGAGAAATGTGGAAAAATCTAACTACATCATAAAAATATCTTAAAAAAAAAAGACTTATTCAAACGCAATCTAAATTTCTCTCTCTTGTTCTCTATCCTTATCTCGTTTAAATCCATGGTCAAATATCATCTAGAAGAAAAGAAACACAAACCGTTGAAGGTAGTTTAAAGTCTGGTCCAAGAGTAACAATTTAAATTCAGAATATGGTAAAGTAGCTCTGGGGTGGGGAAGCTACTCCTTTAATGGGTGTTGCAATAGCTCTAAATGCGACATTTTTATCTATTAATTTGGAATTTATAATTAGTCCATTTTACTGGACGACATTTCTATAAATTAGATATACAAGAATCAAGCAACTAGTTTTTCGAGTAATATGGAAGAATTTATCCCATTACTTATTATGGTGGCAAGGAAATCCAATCATTTTCAAATAAGCTAACATGGCCTACTCAGTTCACAAGTAATACTAAACAACTTTGGACATGTATCATACATACCACAACCTGAACACCCCATGAGCATCGCAATTGCCAAAAGCCTAAACTAGTCGTTTGCAGAGACCACCACATTCAAGAAACATGTAACAATTATATTAAACAAAAACCCAAGACATAAATATAGAATTTAAAGTTGTATTTTAAAATGCCATGTATATTTTGCTGAAGCACAGAACATACATAATCTTCGGGAAAAAGCAACACACAATAAGTTTAAATTTTATAAGTTCACCATCATCATCATCACAAATGTAACCATTTATACTCAACTTTTTATTGACACATCACACATATGACATAGCTAAGCTCGATGTTTCTCAATCTTCTTTTCAAGCTCGTCCTTCTTGGCGCCAACAACCCTATCAATTTCCTTTCCTCTCTTCGTCAACACAAACGTAGGCATCGCCTGCACCCCAAACTCCTGCGCCACACCCTGTTGTTCGTTTCCCGAGAAAACAAAAAAAAGGGTTCACATTTCAGAATCAATCACCGAAACAAATTAAGAGAGAGGAAACGAATATCACAGATAATTCGTCGACGTCGATCTTGATGAATTCAACTTCGGTGAACGTGTCGGCCATGGCGTGAATCGCTGGCTCTATGAACTTGCAAGGGCCGCACCACGACGCCGAGAAATCTATCACAACCTTTTTTTGGGGTAAAAGGAAGAAGAAGATTGAGATTGTGCACATAAACGAAGAAGAAAAGAGAGGGAGAAATGGAGATCTAGGGATTTACAAGCTTCGGCGAGTCTTTGAGTTCGTTGAAGTGGAGCTGCCAGCGCGCCTCCGAGTGGAACGTTAAGACCCGAGAAGGCGACGACGACGACGACGTCGACGACGCATTGGCACTGGCGTCGCCGCCGACCAAGGAAGAGAGGAAACTGCCCATTGCTTTGGCTTTGGCTTTGGCTGCTTCCTTGTGCGCAACGCTCGATTCAGGTTGGAAGGATATTCTTCTTTACTTCGCAAATTCAACTCAATTATCCATTTTTTTTCTTCATTATCATTAAAATAATGTTAACTTCACTGATTAGCTACAAATTTAAATAAAAAATGATTAAAATATATAAGAAGAAGAACTAATGATTTTTTTCGTGTATTACATTAATATTTTTAAATTAAATTAAATCATTTTAAATGAATAATTAAAAATATATTACATATTTATTTTTAAATTTAATATATTTTAGAAATTTTAAAAAATAAATATTACAATTATCAACCATAAATATTTAATTATATTAATAAAATTATAAAAAATAAGATTAAAATCAATATAAAATACAAAAATATTTCATATGAAAAAAATATTTAACATGATAATAAAAAATCATTGCTTAAAATTACCCTTATTCAAAAATACTTCTAGAAACATGCTCGTTTAATATTATTTTAAAAAGTATTCATATTTAAAAATTAGTATTTAAAAATTATATAAAATATATAGTAAATATTAATATTACTAAAAAAATAATTTTAACATTTTACATCAATCTTAAAATAAGATTAAAAATATTCTTTTTATTTTAAATAGATTTTAAACACTGAAATGTATGGACATAAATATTTTTAATTTTTAGATTAACATAATTTTTTTCATATTTTACAAAAAAAATTATATAACATAAAAGTTATTTTATTTGATATGATCAATAATAATTTTTGTTATCATATTGTATTGAGAAATTTTATTTTTTTTAAAAATAATATAATATTTTACAATAGTCCAATAATACGTTGTTATATTATAATATAATCATAATATTTTATAAATCTACTTTTATTATATAAGACTTGTAACATTTATAAAACTATAATACTAGTTTTTACTATATAATGTAATAATTTATAAAATAATAATAAATTTAAATCATATAAAATGTTATAATATAGCTTTGTGAAAATAATAAAATTATTTTATAATAATATGATAATTTAATATTACTATAATTGACAGTATAACAGTATATTGCCTACTAAGATCATAATTCGTATGTAAAAACGGTAAAATTAAACTAAAAAAGTAAAAAATATATGCACTGAAAAGTTGGACATCAAGTTGTTTTGTGTATAAAATAAAATAATAGATCACTTAAAATGATAAAAATTGTTTCGATATCATATTTTATTTTTTTAATGATAACAATTAAAATATTGACATTTCTTAATTTTAAAAATTAATATTTAAAATTATAAATATAAAAGATTAATCTTTAGGATATAGAAAATCTCAAAAATTAAAGTGAAAACTTGTTAAAAAAGTCTTATATTATGCTCTAAAAAGAAACCTTTTCACTCCATTTCATTTGTTCAATAAAAAAATTAACAAAAAAAAAATACATTTTTAGTAATTTTTAAACCTAAAAAGAGTAACTTTCAAGAAAAGTTGAAAAGAAGGTATTATATCATAAAAATACCATTTAAAAAACACTTATATAAATGCAATCTCTCTCTTTATCACCTTAAAATCAAGGTGGCAAGGAAATTCAATAATTAAACAAAGAAGATTAAGCAACTTTCGCAAGCTAATTAGTCGTTTATCATTCAAGAAACGTGTAATAATTAAACAGAAGCCCAAGACATGAATACACAATCCATTTTAGTATTTTTCAAATACCTTCTGTATTTTGCTAAACTATGAAACTCAAAATTCGCGGAGAAGCAACACACAATGAGTTCAAATTTTTTACATGTTCACCATCACACATATGACATAGCTAAGCTCGATGTTTCTCAATCTTCTTCTGAAGTTCGTCCTTCATGGCTCCAACAACCCTATCAAGTTCCGTTTCTTTCTTCATCAACACGAACGTCGGCATCGCCTCCACCTCAAACTTCTTCGCCACATCCTGTTGTTCGTTTCCCGAGAAAAATAAAAACAGGTTCAGATTTCAGAATCAATCACGGAAACAAATTGAGTAAAGTAAGGTAGAGGAAACGAAGATCACAGATAATTCGTCGACGTCAATCTTGATAAATTCAACGTCGTCGAACTTTTCGGCCATGGCGTGAATCACCGGCTCCATGAATTTGCAAGGGCCGCACCACGACGCCGAGAAATCTATCACAAACTTCTTTTCGGGAAAGAAGAAGAATAAGAAGCACGTAAAGGAATAAAATAGTAAAGGAATGGAGGCTCACAGTTAAGCTTCGGATAAATTTTTAGAAAATTTTTTATAAAAAAAATAATATAAAAAAATAAATAAAACTTTTTATTATTAATTTTTTAGAAGATTTGTTCGAAATTTGTCCAAACTGTATTTTATAAGGAAAGATAAGAGAAAAGATTAAAAGTTACTAATTAAAAAATATTAAAAAAGAGTTTATAAGAATTTTAAAATAAGTATAAAACTCTTTCAAGATATAAAATTTTCAATGTTACAGTAAAATAAATATTTTTATTTTTAAAATTGAGTCTTAAACAAAGTTTTAGAAATTTACAAGCTTGGAGGAGTCTTTGAGATGGTTGAAGTGGCGCTGCCAGCGCGCCGATGAGTGGAACGTTGTGACCCGAGATTCCTCCGCCGAAGACGACGACTCACCGGCAGTGGCGTTGCCGCCGTGAAAGAAAGAAAGGACAGAGCCCACGCGAGGATCTATTCTTCCTTTTTTTGTTCCACCCAATTATTCATATTTTTTACTTTTTTCTTATTAAACAGAATATTAACCTCAATTATTAAGCATTGAACATTGTTTTTAAACTTTCAATCGTATTTTAGAAATATTTTAATAAATTCAAATTATATTTGTCAAAACAGTCCTTTTAAAAAAAGAAAGTGAGAATACATTAAACCTATAGATGTTAATATACTTTTTAGAAAAAGAATTATTTAAATAAGTCACACTTTTTGATATATTTTAACAAATTTAAAAGTTTATACTATCATATTTAAAAAAAAAATAGTATATTTACAAATTCCTTATTTAAACAACTTGAAAGGGAATATATTGTTAAGAATTTTAGTGTTTGCATTAGCTTTTTGTGTATTTAATAGTAAGAAATTATTTTTCTTAAAGGAGAAAGAATACAACTTTTCTTCTTGAAGAGTAAAAGAAGTTGTGGAAAAAACACAAGTGTTTTCTTGGAGCTAGCTAATATCTGAGAAGACATTCTATCTGAGTAGATAACGTTTTTAGTGCTTGGATCGAATTACATGCATGTCTAAATAATGTATTACAACCAGTTGGTACACATGTTATTACAATTGGTGACTTTCTGATTTGTTGTTCTAAATAGGAGCGTGGTTTGTGTTGTTTAATGTTATATTAGTTCTAATATTTTATATTTTATAAAGATTTTAATATTCATTGTATTCATAAAAGATTTGTAGCAGATTTTAATACTCAAAAAATTATCAAGTAAAGGGTAAATGTATATATTAATTATAGTAAAATTGAAGTGTTTGAAATATTTTTAATATTATTTCCATAAAAATTATATAGTAAATATCTATTGCTATTATTTTTTAGATGTTAAACAAATTCAAAGATTAAGAATATTTAAATTAAAATAAAATTAAAGATTTTAAAAAATAAAAAGTGTATAAATCATAAGGTTGATTTGATATGAATGAAGAAACTTTAATCCTTTCTTATAATTTTTTATATATATTCTTTATTCAATTATATTAAAGTAATTATCAATCATTTAATAAGTTGTTACTTAATAAAAATCCTTTTATAATATAGAAAATAATAATATTAAAAGATATTAAATTTGTAGAACTCAACTAATTAATTAAAAATTTAGATAATAAATTAATAATCTAAATCATCTATTAGTTTCATTAATCTATTAATAGTATTAATTAATTAATTAAAATTTATCTTTGAATGACTAATTTAAAAATAATAACATAAAAAAATAATTACTAATTAACATTAATATCACAAAATTAAACTACCACTCAAACAATTTTTCTAATTTTGTGGTTCCCAACAGAAGCATGATTTGTGTTATTTTATGTTAGTTCAAATATTCTATTTTTTTGTAACAATTTTAATATTCGTTGAATTTATTTTAATACGTTTTTAGTTGTTGAAAAAAAAAGCTTCTTCTAATAGGGTTTATATATACAATCATAAATCAAATCCTTATTAACATTCTTAAAAGACATACTTATTTATTGACTAACTATATCGGTCCTTGTTGGTTAGTGTTTATATTATGCCTGTGTATCATTGTTATCGTTATTTGACAAGAAGTTTATAATTTTATCTAATTAATAAATTTACAATAATTATTTAAAATAAAAGAAAATTAATTTACATTAAGAAATTATAAATTTACTGTTTTGAGATTCACCTATTACTCTGGAATCCATTTTCTTCACAATTTTTTCCAAGCTATGAAAGCCACAACTCCCTCCTTTAAAACACCGAAACATCACACTCATCAAGAATCTCATGTTTCAACCCCAAAAAAACCACTTTAAACATTGTTCACACCCTTTGTCAATGCCCTATATTCTTTCTCATCATCATAACCCCCGAGAGCCTCTCTGCTTTTTCCTCCACTAGTAATTGAACAACAACTACTTCTACCACACTTGTCACTCTTCCAAATGAAATACACATAGAAGAGGAAAGTGTTGCCACTAATCACAACCGCAAAGAAGGTTAGAGACTCAAAGAAGCTAACAAAGGTTGAGAACTCACATGCAAATCCAAACATGATGGAACTAAGCAATACCCATATCCCAATTTTAAGCTTAAGTTTCGTAGAAGATTGATCAGATGAAGGAAACATGTGATACAAACGGAACCAATGGTCCAAGAAGAAGGTACCAAAGTAGACAAAAGTGACAAACGCTATCATTTGAATGTCGCCGTTGTTATATGCACGGTAGATTGTAGTGCCACTTGTGATTGTCATGTTGATGACACCAAACAAGGGAAGCAAAGAGTAGAGTTTCTGGGTATTCATATTGGAATTTTCTAGTGGAAGATGAAATGAATTGATTCCATTATGGGTGGTCATTGCTTGGGAATGTAATTCTGAAAGTGGGTGTTGTGTGAATTTGGTTGAGAAAAAGTGAAGTAGAAGGGGCAGAATTTCTGTAATCTTTTTTCCTAGTGCTATCTTACGCGCGTCTCCAAATTAAAGAATGATACCATTTTTTTATTAAAATTTATATTAGAATACATTAAAAATTACAAGAATGAACTTATTATATTTTTTAATAAATAAATATATTTTAATTTTTTTAACTAGTTCTCTTAAAGTATTAATTAATATTTTTTTTATCAATATTACATATTCTCACAGCATTTTGTAATAATTTAATTTTTATATTTTTTATCTGTATATGTTTATGAGGCTTTTGTTTTAATTTTAAATTTTTGCAAGTTTTTGTTTAGCTTTCTCTCATTTACTTAACACTACAAAAAAAAAATGGATATGTCATAATCTCTTATTTAGACATGTTATCATTTATTAGTTATTGAAAATTAAGAGAATTATATTAAAAAAAGAAACTAAAATAAAAAATATTTATTTATTTATTTATTCTTGAGGGAACCTCAAAGAATCTGCTATGTAGCTTTCCGAAAATATTATGGAAAATTCCAAACAGTGGAAATTGTATGAACAAAGTGGCACTAATGATGGAAATGGACATGAAGTATCCATCTCTTACTTGTTTTTTAGGATTCATTATTTCTCCTTATTAATTACCTATGCAATCAAAGTTCCATTTCGTCAATGCTATGACGTAGTGCATGTTGCATAACGTAGGAAACGGAATTTAATTGTAATGGTTTAACTTTTTACGTAAAGAAAACTCTTCTAAAGTAGTCACTCGTATTATCTCTTCTAGAGAACTGAACTCAGTTCTTTTAGACTTGAATTTAACTTAGTAATGTTTTATTAAATAAATATACTTATCACACTAAAATTATAAAAATATAACAAAAAATTTTAATAAAAATTTTATTAATTTTAAGTGTTTAAACTTAATAGTTAGAAAGTTAACAAGATGGGTCAACAAGACTGAACCACATCTGTCTCACAAACTCATTCTGTATATAAATTTGTGCATTGACGGGTAGGCATGGCAATTAAATACGAAGCTACGAGTATTCCACTCTATTCCAAGAAGAGATATTGACCCAAAAAAATATTCAAATTGATTTTTATATTTTAAAGTACTTATGAAACCTGTTGTTGTGGATTCTAATGTAAGACACAATTTTGATATGACCTAAGCTTATGTAAATTAATCAAGTACTATTTTACTTTAATATGTTGTAAAATAAGAGGTGTACGAAAAGTATTTTTATAATTTATTATATTTTAAGTAATAGATATGCATCAAAGAGACTAAGATAAACTTAATAATAGTGGTTCTTTGTACAGTAGGAATAACTGGGACTATAAGTATATATACAGATCAAAACATTGCAAACAGAATCATACAAGCTCTGTTTTTATACTTGCCTTTTAATTTTAACTTTTTTACTCTGTTTGCTTTGGTGTATGCATACTGAAATTTCCAACTTGATTTGTCCTCCATGTTATTTTATTAAGCTCAATTAAATATTCCTTTTGTCCCATCCATTCTCCCATTTCCACATTCAGATTTTTATTGTGCCATTTTAAAAATTAAAAAATAGAAACAACTAGTAAGAATGCAATTATAAAAAAATAGTACAAGGATATCAGCACTGGGCCACACACTCACAGAACCCAACCTTTTAAAGGCCCATTGGGACACCCTGAAAATGATTGACTCCATTGTCTCTTCCTTTCACAAATTGGCTTAAAAAACGTTTCAAAAGTTAGGCACTATTCTATTGCTCACGAGTCATGAGCTGTCCCATCCCAATACACGAAAATTGGGTAAATGTATATTGAACAAATAAATAAATAATATTAATGATAATAACGTGGCATATTGTGATTGATGGAATGAATGATAGTGCAATTGCTCCTAAGTTCTAATTTACTTTAGACCATAATTGTCCTTAACATAATAATTAAGAAATTAAAAATGATCTTTATTAAAAAGTACAATATTTAATATTAGTTATCAATTTACATTTATTGATTATTTTTAACTATTATTTTTAAGAAAATCGTTATGTAAATACCTAAATATAGAAAAAAAAAGGTTACGTATGAAGATAAGCTACCGAACTGTGCCTATTAATTTATTGAATAATGTAACATAGTTATGGTTTTCATTTAATGATTGAGATTTTTTTATATAAGAACACATATTTTGTAGGCAAAAAGAACATTATCTTGTGTGAAATAATTCAGAGTGGAAATGGAAAGTCAAACAATTAAGGGGAAAGTAGATATTGTAAGTTGTAAGTTGTAACTAGCAACTAGCAAGTGCTCTTCTCAAAAAAGCAAAAACATAAAGAAATGGCTGTCACTTTCTCTCTCTTGCCCACACTGCCCCGTTGCCTACTTTCACATTTGAAGGCTGCCCGGCCGGCCCGCTGTTGAAAAAATTTCTCTTTCACATGCAACAATCTCCCACTGCCTCTCTCTTCCACCACCTACAGCCCCTTTGGACTGATTTTCAGAACTGCCTTTGTTTGTTTTGGTTTTTACTCATTTAGCTGTGTACTTTTGTTGATCCTTTTGTTGTCATTCAAAACAGTGATTTTGTTCTTTTAGTTATATTGATTGTGATGATGATCATCATCATCATGATGGGTTCCAAAGCCTTCAATTATTGAAACTCTGGTTGCTTGAAGTGGCTTTATATTTTTTTTTCCTGAAGTTTGAAACTTTTGGAGACTTTTGATTATGTAAATTTTTTGGTAGGAGTTTTTGGAAGATGGGGTTTAGGAATAATGCAATTCAGGCTGGGAGTTTGGATGTGGGAAAGTCAAAGGGAAGGATGAAGCGGGATGGTGGTGAAAAGGAGATTGGATGTTGTATTAAATTCTGTTTCATTGGCAGCTGCATACCTTCAAGATCAAAGGTTGATAACTCCATAAGTGGCACTAGTGCTCATAGTGGTACCTTTCTTTCCTTATATGTATCATTACTTTAATTTCAGGAAATAATTTCTATTTGACATTAATTTTAGGTGAAGGAAAAAAATTTCTCTTTAATTTTTTGTCTCTATTTATCGCCTTCTATTTTTGAGCTGGTAAATTTTAGTTTCAACTTTCAAGAAACTATATAAGTTCTGAGTTAATTAAAGTGATACAAATTTTTATTGTACTTTTACTCCTAGGCAAGTTGGAGGTTTAGTAATTTATTTGCAAACAGTTGAGTTTGAAAACAATGACCTGTTGTGTGTTACCATTGAAGAGATGCATATTCTTTTTGAAAGTATTAGCAGTGGCACTATTCCATTTGATCTTATCCATAAGGCAGAGGAAGGTATCTATCTAACATTTATGACAATTTAATAGCAACTTGAGCTGCTCAAGTGGTAATGGTGGGGTGGGATTTCACTGAAGTTGATAACTTCATAGGTTCAATTGTTAAACCAAAAAGGAAAAAGGAAAATTATTTTAGTTGATACATCCTAACTAAAAAGATGTCATGGTTCTAAACTTAAAATTGACGTTAAGAGGTCATTATTAAGTCATATAAAACAACGAAAATTTAAGGTTTTTTTTTTCTTGTACTGCCATGAACAAATTCTTAGTATGACCATTTTAGAAGCACTGAGCTTGATTGTATTTAGTTACTGTGCAATGTTACTGATCCTGTAATGAAGTTGCATAAAGTGTAGCACATCATGGTCATATCATATAATAGCATTTTTTTAAATTTTTACACCCTGAAGATGTGATAATTTAATTTAAGTATGATTTCTTAATCAGTGGAAAGAACATCTGCATGTGAGAAAAGAAAGAAGGAAACAAGTGCTCCTCCAGGGTCCTCTACAACAACCAGTAATGCAGAAAGTATCCCTTCCACTCCAAAATTCAGTGAGGAGTTGAAGGTTTCTTCTCGTTTGAGAAAATTTACGTTCAATGAGCTTAAGATGGCTACAAGGAATTTCAGACCAGAGAGTCTTCTTGGTGAAGGAGGGTTTGGTTGTGTTTTCAAGGGTTGGATTGAGGAAAATGGAACTGCACCTGTGAAACCAGGTACCGGGCTTACTGTTGCAGTCAAGACCCTCAACCATGATGGTCTTCAGGGTCACAAAGAGTGGCTTGTAAGGAACTTATATATCCTTCTCTTTAACTTTTTTCCTTCTATGAACTATTCTTTTACAATTTCTGTTTGTTAACATTTTCCCTTTTTTTCCTCCCTTCCCAGGCAGAGTTAAACATTCTTGGTGACCTTGTCCATCCGAATCTGGTTAAATTGATTGGTTTCTGTATTGAAGATGACCAAAGATTATTGGTTTATGAATTTATGCCCCGTGGAAGTTTGGAGAATCACCTCTTCAGAAGTACACTGTGAACTTGTTTTATTTATATTTACTAGTGCTTGTTTATATCTGCAGTCCCTTGTCTTTGTAGAAAATTGGATGTTCTTGACACATTAAAACAAAATTTATCACACTACACGTGAGATAAAGTTTAAGTGAAAATGAGCTTGATTGTTACTGAAGCTACTACTTTCCTCAATACAAACATTAATGTTGTTTCCTATACAATGAATTACAATAATTTTGGTACAGTATTTGATTCACAACTAATTCTCAGAATCCTAGATCATAAGTGAATTCACAGGCTTTGGTGCTTAAAGAAAACATAAACCAGAACAAAATGATTCTCATCCCATAATACATTGTTCTTTGTGCTTTGCTTGTTAGAAATTTTTATGCATAAGGAGGTTTATTGTTTTCTGGTAACAACCATGAATTGTGCAGAAGGGTCCTTGCCTCTTCCTTGGTCTATCAGAATGAAAATTGCACTTGGTGCTGCAAAAGGTCTTTCTTTTCTTCATGAAGAAGCGCAGAGGCCTGTAATCTATCGTGATTTCAAGACATCTAATATTCTATTAGATGCGGTATGTGAATTAATCAGGAAAAAGGTTATTAATTGTTTGCTATTCATCCTCCAATTTTAAAACAAAAGCAAAATTGTTTTTAGGAATACAATGCGAAGCTCTCTGATTTTGGACTTGCCAAAGATGGTCCTGAAGGGGAAAAGACACACATATCAACAAGAGTTATGGGAACGTATGGTTATGCAGCTCCTGAGTATGTGATGACTGGTGAGTTTCCTTTTTTAATTTTTAGTTTGTGTTTCATCAACTTTAGACTTGACTGCATAATTCAGGCTCTAGATTGCTTATGGTATCTGGGATTGTATTGATTCATTGACCTGTGGGTCTTGATATCATGGAATGAAATGTTTAACTGGATATGTTTGTTGCATTAATATTAATTTTAAGCTAAAATCCTGTTTGTTATAAGTTCTTTGACCCAATAAATTTGTTATAAGTTCTTTGACCCAATAAATTTGAGCAGTTTTCCTAGCACAAGTTTAAGATTCTTTTTGCTTGTAAAGAGTTGAAGTAACAAGTGCTAAATATTTGGAAATTTCTTTATACTCTTTTTTTTTCCTTTCACATATTATATTGTTTTGTTAATTACTCTGTCTCTGTGAACCTAGTTGTAGTAGTTACAAGAGCTTTTATAATAAAATATGTCACAAGTAGAGTTAGTTAAAGGATGAAATATTATTAATTCTGCAATTATGCCTTCATCCAACAGCACATACTTTAGAGCTAGTTGGTTTATGACATTATATTAGAGACTGTATGATCATGTGGTGTATAGTCCAATTCTTGTTGATCTCATTCTTCAAAACAAAAGTTAAATTTCACCACATGATAGGGTGGGGCTGTGCATTGGCCATGCTTCAATACCAACAAGCTCTTGCTTGTTGAAGAGTGTTAGATATAAAATTATTTGTGTCTTCACCCAACAATTTAAACATTTGAAATAGATATCAACTAAACTTTGAATCATCAGGTGTCAAAACCAAATGCATTATGCATGTTTAATCCTTGAAAGTGGGGAAAGGGGGCCAGAGGACTGTAAAACTATAAAACTTGCATATAGTTGGATTGTTAAATATATTTTTTTCTCCAATACATATTATAAATATTCATTTTAACTGCATGATCTTTATCTTTATTGAGAGGGATCATGATGAAATAAAATTTAAGAAAGCGCCGTTAGTTTTTTTCTGTAATAACAAGTTTTTCAACACATCCTCTTTTCATAGTTGCACACTTCTGCTGTTTTAATTTTGACCTCAACTTTGGATTCTGATTAGGGCATTTGACATCAAAAAGTGACGTCTATAGTTTTGGAGTAGTGCTACTTGAAATGCTCACTGGGCGGCGATCTATCGATAAGAATAGACCAAATGGGGAACACAATCTTGTGGAGTGGGCAAGACCTGTACTTGGAGACCGGAGGTTGTTATTCCGCATAATTGATCCTCGCCTTGAAGGCCACTTCTCTGTTAAAGGGGCACAAAAAGCTGCCCAGCTAGCTGCTCAATGCCTTAGCCGCGATCCAAAATCAAGACCTGTGATGAGTGAAGTTGTTCAAGTTCTAAAGCCTTTGCAAACCCTCAAGGATATGGCTATCTCATCTTATCACTTCCAGGTTGTGCGAGTAGATCGTACCATGTCCATGCCAAATTCTAAAAATGGCATGCAAACACAGTTAGCATCTTTATCAAGGAAGGGTCAACCTGTAAGGACCTTGTCCAGTCCACGTGGTCCACATGGTTCTCCGTATCATCATTATATGAAGTCACCAAAACCAAATGGATAAGAAGCATTTTCTCTCTTTCATTTGCTTCTCTATTCATTCAGTTCCCTCAACATAGGCTATCAACTGAACAGAAACTGTGTGTGTTTTGAAAATTGCTCTAATTGTCTTATGTGAAATTTGGTGGGGGGAACATGAGACAGTTTACTACTATATATAGTGGGGACTGAGTTGACACAAGATGAAGAGCAAAGTAGAATACACAGCTTTCACTTGGGAAATTTGTTTCTGTGAAGTTGTTATACTTTTTCTACCATTACATAATCATAGGCTTTTTTCTTCCTTTCAGAATGTATTTTTGTAAAGAAAACGAGGGGTGGTGTTAACTCATGTGATGCATAGATATTTTTACATACTCATTCGTCAATGTACTTTTCAATTAACACTTATCAATGTAATTAAATGTTATACTTGTACGAAAAACTTGCTAGAGTTATGTAATTTGAACGACTTGAAGTTATGGACATTTTTCTTTTGTCATTGGTGGGTCAAATACTTATATTTATATTAAATGAGATGCTTGTTCGGCAAAAGAACTTTGTTGCTTTGCTGTGTGGATTATGTGTGTTTTGTTATTGTTTTGTCATGCTACCTACGTGTATCACTACGAACATTCGGACACTGGTATAGTTTTTCATACTTGTAAAGTGTTTTATTGTGATAACAATTTTGCACGCTCAAGTATTGGGGCATTGAGGTTCTGAACACTATTAAGATACTGAGTCGCAAGAATTTTTTGGGACACAAGTGTGTCATGTTGTATTGACTTGGAATTTATGAAGTGATTGATGATAAATGAGCCTTTGTTGTGACACCCCTCCTTGTGTGTGTGGGTGTATTGCAGCTAGAGCCCCTACCTATTGGTTTTGAGCATCATCCTTTTACACATAGTGCTCAACTTCAATAGGTTGTAGAATAAAGAAAGGAAAAAAGAAAAAACAAGAAAGCCTTTAGGTTGCACCATTATATGCTTTAATTTTATGTGGCTTGTATTTTCTGGTAAATTAAACTAAGATATATTATTCTGGCGTGTATTTTGTGCTGGAAGACTGAGTCCATTTCAGGCATTTGGTTTGTATTTTACTGTTTTTATTATGACTAATTAAAATATCGGATTACTTTAGTTATATATTTTTTTGTCATAATTTACTAAAATGCATATGTGAATGTAACGAATTTATTTTCTCAATTTCAGCACATTAACCGTTGTGAAATGTATAAAAAGTATTGTGCATCATAGAATCCATCCTCATATGATATAAAAATATCTGCTTTTTGACTTACACTTGTGGAGGTAACAATTTTAGTATTTATTTTTAGTGTCATTATTGCATTTTAATTAAATAAAAATATTATTGCACATACTACATTGGGCCTAGGAGCAGAGTTATTTTTAATACAAGAGACAATCTGATTTGAACCCCAAATACAGTCCTATTACTTGTTACAACAAAGATAATCTCTCTCTCTCTCTCGTCATGAGTATTTTCTATAGATATCTGATTTGGGACAATCTACTATGAGCTAATCTCCATTCATGCATTTATATTTGGTATTCTATGTGTGCTTATGATGGCGAGATCGTAGTCATGAATCGCACTTATAATCATAAGGACACTGAATCTTTGGCAGTCACAAGATTATAGCCATAAGTTACACTTATAATCACAGGAACACAAGAATCTTTGATAGTTACACCGCACTTGAGCACTGTATAACCAATGATACATTTTGTTATGAAGTATGTAATCTATTCCCTGCTATATTCTATTGGTACAAATCCTGAATTTAGTGTTATAATGTCTTTTGCAAATACACCACTTATTTTATCATTAACCTCAGATACTAAATTTATAATATCATTCTCTGGGCTATTTGAATATATTGTTATGGCCTCATTGAAAATATATCATATCAATATCCATTGAGTTTTAATCAAACCTGTAAGCACTTGTTTAGTCCATCATGATTTTCTTAGATACCCAAAATATTAAATTTATATATTTAAATATGTTTTAGACCTTATATTTTTATGAGATTTTATTTTAGTTTCTTAAATTTTTTTATTTTAATCTCTCATTTTTTAAAAATTCTAACACTTTTGATTCTTAGTAATAACATGATTAAGTAAAAAATTGATACAAGTAAATTTATCAAATCACGTGATCACTAACAATAGAAAATATTAAATTTTAAAAAATAAAGATCAAAATAAAAAAATTTAGATTAAAATCAAGGTATAATAAAAATATAAAGATCATAATTCTTACTAAATTGTAACTAAGAAAAGTGATCAATTTAGGAGTTAAAAGTGCTAATTGATACATTATATTCTTATTAAATACCTTACAAATGAGAGAAAAAAAAGTTAAAATCATTGCAATTTGTCAGTTATTTAACTCTTCAAAACTTAAATTTTTTAATAATAATTAAATGAGACATTTGTAATAATTTTCGTATTAAGGCTTTGGAAGGGTCATATGAATTAGATCAGAATACTGGTCTTGCGTACGATTTTGCTTGTTCAATATTCGTATGCCAATTGGAAGCTTTTACCATTCATTGTGTGTCATAGATTTTAGACTAGGTCTATTCAGCATATTTATCAATTATCATAGCCACTACTTAATTATATAAATAACTATATTGGATGATTATTTAATGTTAACTTAAAATAAATATGTTAGGCTGATTCTGTAGTAAATTTGCCTTTAATAAAAACCCTGCATCCTTTGGTGACGTTCGTAGTACAAAATGATTTGCTCAGCACAAACTTCGCTTCCTCAAAATTCAAACACGTTACTTTAAGTTTGATCTATTCATAGTTATGTATCGATTGTTTATTTATTATGTTTTGTAGACTCGCCCACCGGTTATTTAGTGAGTTAGGTTCAATTTCTTAGGTGCTTTTTTTTTTTTAATTAAAATTAGAAGTTTATCTCAATAATATGTAATAATATTAAATTTTTCTTTACCGAAATCAAATTCTAATTTTAACTAAAAAAAAGTAAAAATACTTACAAAATTGCACCTAAATTTTGTCCTTTATAAAATACTTTTTATCTAATATATGCTCCTTGACGATAAAGGTTACAAAAAATTACTATCCTCCCATTTCTATTTATTTATCCAATGAAAATAATTATTATTATTTATTTGTTCATGTAAATTTTTAAAAAAATATTAATTATTATTTTTTATTAATACCCTTTTGTCCATATAAAAACTCTAGCTACAACAAATGAACATATATACTAATCGTGAAACCCGAAAGGAAAAAAAATACATTGATAAAAGATAATTAAAAAATTATAACATAATTCTGACAAAATTAAATTCTTCAATCTATATACTTTTGTTTCTCTGAGATGATAAATAAAATTAGAGCTAATATCATAGAACTACTTAAGGGATTTATTATAAAATAATATTTCCACTATATATTCTCAACATACGATACCATCTCTTTATTTCATTATTCAATGTATTCTACTTAATGTAAAAATTACTGTGAAAACGTGAAGAAATAACATTACTCTTTGCTATTGGATCCCTTTCCTTTGGACATCATACCCTAGTTCTAGATTTTAGATAACCTCACTTGTACCTGTAACTTTTGGTGAAATAGTTACAATCTAGGTCGATATTCCTCCGTAAAGCCATAGTCCAAGATGCATAAGACTAATAGTCCATACGGTTGATATCTCTTTTAAAAAATCCATTCATGATAAGTTGACATAATAAAGAAATGTTTTTATCACAATTTGTTTATTTTCGTAGAAGAATTAAATTGAAAACAAATTGTACCCGATAAATGAGAAACCTTTGCTACCTTGAGTAATCTGCATAAATACCATCGAACATTAGTTCGAAGAGGTAAGAAATAGTATTTCAAATCAAAACTTTGAAAGTACTCAACCTCAGGAGAAATTTCCTATCTCTATTTCGATTTGAATTCTAAGGTAAAGAGAATGAGATGTGTAAAGTGAAAAATAAGTATTTATTTACCTTTGATTTAAGAGTTAAGTATATGCAATAGATGCTTAAATTCAAATCAAGCGAATAAGGAAATACTTGACCAAAGAAAATGAAAACAAGAACAAAATACTTAACATTGATCGCATCTTAAGGTAATATGCAAGGTAATATCGCAGAAAATATCCATCAAATCAGAAGAAATGAAATTTCGCATCAAAACCTCAATAGAGTACCAATCCTCATTCAACAGAAGAGGCTTGCTGAGCTTGTGGGCATTTAAGAGTCGCATTTGGTTTTATAGAAAACCTATTTATTTTTACAAGGTTGGATTGCTCAAATGCAAGGAAAACACCATCATGAACACTTCTTACCCAAGAAGAGAACCAACTTGAAGAAAATAATTTTAGTCTGACAGACTATGCTTCCTAACCCCTACCTCAATGCTCTTGCCATGATGGATCAAAATTCTTAGGGTTTGAGAACCAAACCTAATCCAACCTTGGCACTCTTTTCAATGGCCCTGGTGTCTACCTCACCAGATACAGTAAAGAACGATTTGGGACGCCACTCATGCTGGATGAGAGCACTTGCCTTGCCAAAGTTGTTGACACGAGCCTTCAATGTGGTCAATGGATCCAATGCATGTTGGGCACCAAGTGTGAGGGTGTTCTCATTAGTTGAGAATCTATGAGTGACCTCAGCACCAACGGCAGTGTTGGCCAAGGGGTTAACCACATGGTAATAAGCAGCATTCAAAGCATCACCTTTGTCATTCCTGCATGCAAGAACTCATCACATCACAAAACATATAAACTTGTATTATCCGTCACAGGCTTCTGAGATAGTTTTACTTCAACAGTATATGTACGTGTATATGTCAACAGGCATGTCTCTAAAAGAAAAAGGAAAAATCTCTTACAGAGGAGCCCAACAAGGTTCACCGATCAGCTATACAGCCTTGAACAAAAAGTAGACATTACATTTTTTCTAGATGAAGACTGTTAAACAGAAACACACTCAGAGAGGAGCAACAATTACTCACACAGTCAATGAGGCAATCAAGTCATCTTTGGTGAAGCTCAGACCAGCATTGGATTTTGTCAACTCCCCACTTTTGGTGTCAAAGGAGAGATCAGCACCAAGGGCAACAACATTAGTTCCTATAACACCAGAGAAGTTCACAATTGGGTTCGCTGTCAACCCAATGCTGGTGCTTATTCCAGCATAGTCATGCAAGTACTGAATTTCCACCTGTTCCATACAAAAGACAACTCAAACTATTGCCATGAAGGACTATCATAGGTAGTTCTGATAAGGTTGATTCCTCAAACTACATAATTTACTTTAGAACTGCGTGAATTTCCTTTTGATTTTTGAAAGCTTGTTAGACAAAATGGTTTCCTATCTTACCTTTCCAGACCTTTGGTCAGGAACTTTGAAGCTAAAGATAGTCTTCAGACCAGGGGCAGCCTCATTAACAGTGATAGTTGTGAAGAGCT